GGTCCCGGTTAGACACGAGTGCGGTCCGGCGATCCCTTGATTTTGGATATTTACCAGAAAACTTTGAGCCTCGATATTTCGAGAATGATAGTACTTAAAAGCATCATCTTTGGTTAAATATTAGATTTTAACAATGACTATAATATAGCAAAATATGAAATTATTTCAGATTCTACAAGCAAAGTTATTGCATTGTGTTATTTACGTTACCAGATTTGATTCTTGGTTATAAGGAAGGATTTATCTTGAATGATATTTATCATTAAATGAATTAGCTCAGATTTTATTCGGTATAAAGTTACATACTGCTATAGCCCATAATAAAATCTAATGTTTGACCAAAAAATGATGATTTTAGGTGATTCCATTCTCGAAATATCGAGGTTCGAAGTTTTCTGGTAAATGTCCAAAATCAAGAGAACTATTGATAAATTGTGAAAATTGTTTCGTTCATGATGTGTAAAAACAATTTTAATGTAGGAATAATAAGTTTAAGATCTCTAAATATTACGGTCATGGAAAGCGATCGGTTCAAGTAAAAATCGCACTTAACTACTTTAACGAAAACGGAAAGTTTTTATTCTAAAAATAAGTTCATTTTCTGCTTGCTAATCAAAACTTACATCAAAGACTTAAGTTTCGTGAAAAAATCTGTTTTCATAACGGTACAAAAAGCGATCGAAATTTCAACTTTGAACTCGATTTTCTCGACAAATGTTGATCTGAGAAGTTTTTAAATCACACAAATACATTCAGTTTTGATTTTCCTACAAATTAACAGTTTTCAATTTTAGAAGAAATTCATTTTTACCCGTTTTATCCCGTTTTTTCCCATTTGTTTTTCAGTGTTTGTGTCAATTTGTGCAAAATGTAACAAACAGTGTCTTTTTAGCAACAATCATTAACTAACATTCAAATTAATGCTAACAAATGCTAAATTATAATTTCTTGTGTTTTCTCAACATTGTCCTTAATGGAACCTCTTCTTTCAATAGTCAACCATGATAATCAGTTGCAATGGAGTGATCTAATTGGAAATAATAACAACCTTTTTGCCAATGGATTGCCTTATTTACCATCGGCTGATCAACCCATTGGACATCAACTTTTTCATGGCAAACTTTTCGATGACTACCGTAGTCTACTTGGGCAAAACTATCACCTAACCAAAGGACATCATGAACCTCATCACCCAGACAAACAGGAGCATAAACACGATCATAACCATAACCATAATCACGAACACAAACATCATTATCACGTAACCAAAACAAAAACGAAGCATATTCACCATGTAACCGTTCCAATTCCTTATCCAGTTCACATCAAAGTTCAAAAGCATCACAAACATCACCATCATGATCACAAAAGCAATCAAAAGGACATCAAACCTTGGTTATTAATTGCTGCTATTGGGTTACCACTTTTACTGGGCGCCTTGTTGCTTCCTTTGGCTCTTTTGTTTCTAACAACACTTGTCACACTATTCGCAGCCTTAGCCGGTGGCGGCGGTGCAGGTGGAATATTTGGAAACGGTGGTTTCGGTGGAGCCACTCTTATACCCATTACCACGACGACTACAGGAGGTAGACACAGACGGTCAACGGAACTCAAAATTTACGATAGCCAATCATTGGATGCTTTATACATTCTCATTATGGAGGGTATCTATTCAATGGCATCAAACCTTCAAAATGATCATTACCCAGCCTAATCACTAATGTACATCTCAACCAGCAATTTATTTATCCACTTATTTATTTATTTATTTGTGTATTAACCCCTAAATTATTGGATGTCATTACATGAAATGTTTCCCGTCAAATGTATTGAAAATGATTTATTTTGCTCTGGTCTTGAAAATCTTATTGAAATGCCTTAATCTATTTGATGACCATCTGATCTTTGACTAATTTATTTAGGTAAATTTATATTTTTTGACAATGGTTACATAAGAAGTGTTATACAAGGTGAGTTATTCAATCAATGAAATGGAGTTGAAACATGTAAACAAGAAAATTTAATATCGTTTCATAATCTGTAATTAGAAGAAAGTTGAATAAGTATCAGGTTTACTGTCACAGTCAGTCTGATTACATGATGAAGATCCTTGAATGTAAGTAGATTAACTTGAAGTTATGCTGGAAATTATATACAGATAAAAATCCAATTTTATTTGACTCCTTAATTTATATAAATTTGAACTGAATAAAAGAGTCAAATGCAATTGTTGAATCGTTAGTTTATCCATCGACAGCAATCAAGTTACATCTAACTGTTTGACCAGGAAAAGTATCACCACTGAGCCTAAGCTTTCTTCGTGAATAAAAGTTAACTGAATTGGTGATCAACCATTAAAACAACTGTTACATCGAAAGCTGAAACATGACCAAAGCTATTCTAATTGTATTGTGCTTTTCAATTCTGTTGACGGCAGTTGAGCTACAAACTGTGAATAATCTTGACTCTAAGGAAGTTCTGGATGCTGTTATCGAAACTAATCAAACTGATGATAATTTAGTGAGAAAACAAATTGCCCAAATTGAAGACATTTTGGTTGGGCTTGATCGATATATCGCTATAAACCATAGGATTAGGTAAGTAACCTAATATGAGTTTGCTTTTATTGTATTTTATATTTTATTTTATCAAGTTTTTCTTACATTATTATCCTTTAATTTCATTGTATTTATAGATTTGGACGCAGCATTAAATCATCAAATGATTTATCTAGTTCATTAAAAAGTATTTCAAAGCGGTTAAAATCAATCTTGAAGCGCTGTAAATTGTTGTAAACTGGATTCCAAACTCCATTTCAGGTTACTATCGAGATTCATCATAAGGATACCAAACAATAATACGCTCAATATTGATTGTTAACCAAAGAGATTGGATTTAGTGTGACACTGGATATAAATCAAAAAGTTAATATAATTAGCCATCTAATTGTGAATATCTTTATTTTAATTACATATGTACGATAAAATAAACTGTTGCTTTCATCAACTTGTTTTGGGTTCATATTTTATTTCCTACAATTTGATATTCATTTATCTGTTATGATTGTCAATAGTTTAATGATGACAATTAGATGCTTAAATTGATCTTGTTCAATGTATATAAATTAACCAAAAAACAAACATAAGCAGTTGAACTTGAAGAAATACCAGTTTCTGGTTATTTAACCAGAAACTGGAGGCAGCCATTACAACCTATTGTGTAACCGAAGCTTCCAGATCTGGTTGCCCTTCTTTGTTACATTCATTGTATCTTTGACAAATCCAGATTGTCTATGTTGAGTTATCTTGTTATAATATTGGAGTAATTCAGCTATTTTGGGTTCGCATTATCTACCCAATTTTTATCATCAGAATGCGATAAAAACATGAGTTATTCAATATTGCACAAAATTTTATCCTTTCACTTTCAATAGTCTGAATGTTTATTCCGTTTATTGTGCATAATATGAAAAATATTATGCTTATTATGTGTTGATAAGTTTCCTCTTATTATTGTATGATGAGAAAAAACCGGGAAATGATTTCAGTTGATTTCAGTTATTTGTTTGGCAAACATTTTATTTTAAATATTTTTAGTTACAAGAATCACTTTTATTGCCATGACATAAACTTATTTTACAATGGCTTTTGCAAAACTTAAAAAAGTGTATTAAAAAATGATTCGGGAATGAAAACAAATTACATCAAATTATTCCATTATTAAAGACAATCATGGAGAAAAAAGAAGAGAAAATCGGTGGTAATTCATCAAAGACTAATGAAATGATGCTACCAAATGAATATTGATGATTGTGATGAGTAGATTTGTTTTTTTCTGGTTAGATGAAGCATTATGACTCGATTGAAAAACAATTTTAGACAATCCTTTTGGTTAAAGTTGTTTATCTTTATCCATTGAATGAGATAATAGACAAGATTTAGGGCCACTCAAAAGTGGGTCTGGGATGGTCGTAATGTTCATAGTCAAATTGGGTGAAAAACCTGGACTTCTTGTGGTCAAATTCCTGCCAGGGTTCAGTGGGTGGATTGCGATGAGCAGTCAAAAATGATAATGGTGAACGAGCATTATGAATAGCTGTGGTTGAAGCCATCGAGAAAGGGATAATAGTGGTCAGGAAACCAGCAGGGATGATCCAAGAAGAGTTTCGGCGAACAGCTCGACTAATGGTAGACATGGTTAAGATGATTGTATAAGTTGGTAAATCAATTGAAGACGATTGAATATTTGAATAAAAATTTCAAAAAAAGAGACACTTTGTTGAAAGAAGATTCACAAGAGAAAACAAATTGAATGTTGGATTGAGGTAAGTGAAGATTGATCAAAACTTATTTGATTTTATTTAGGAGGTAAGATGATTATTGCTTGAAAGATCGAGTTGGAATGGATCATTTTCATCTCATCTCACCCATTATAAAGGAACCTCAAGAAAGCGATTTGAACAACAACATGCAAAAAGTCACGTAGTGCGAGTCAGGCTTTCCCTTTCTTTATCTTCTTCCCTCTTTCCTCACTCTCCCTTTCGGCCTTCAAAGTCACGTGATGTAAACAAACTGTCTTCCACCTTTGTTTTTACTCCCTTTCTCTCTCTTTATATCAATCTGTATCATCATTATTGAATTACGTGATCTTTTCAGTCCATTTATTTGCTTCTTTGATACAATCATATGTTCAACTTCCTATCAAATTTGTGCTGATTCTCTTATTTCAATCTACATATCGCCATTCTATGACCATCTTTATGTTTCCCATTAACCCGATTACCTGATCTCTGGTTAAACAATTGTCATCCATTGGTTATCGTGACTTCTCAATGTTACCTGATATAATTTTACTTCACCACCTGACAAAGGATCACCTTCAATGTTTCACTTGTTCAGATGTAACCAATTAGACTGATAAACAAAATTAGGATCCATGTGTTTAGATACATTGTATTAAGTCTTGATTTACTGTTGTTTTTTGAAAAAACTGGTTTTCTCTTTTTACCCAATTTGCCTCCAAAAATCAAAACAAACTTTCTCACTCACTTTTCTCTCTTTCTCCTTCCCTTTGATGGTAACCAAAATTACGTGAGTACATAAACATTTCTGGTAAACTAGTCGTTGTCTATTTACTAAAAACAAGGTCACTTGGGTCGTTAACCATAAATAGAAATTTATCCTCTCTACAAATCTTCTGAGGTTCCTCAAAAACTAGCCTTTCACCCAATATTAATGCTATTAGCAGAGAAAAGCTTTTTAGTAATTTTCCAAAGAAAATCTTGACCTCAAAATTTTCTCTTCATTCTGTTTCAAACACTCATCAATCTAGTCTTTAATCCTTCACATTTACTTGAAACAATTGTCTCGATGTAACTTCAAAATCTCATGTATTCAAGTATAAAAGAGTTATTGTACTTCACTCCTCTCGAGTTACATTTCTATAATTAACAAGTTATCTTTGTTTACAAAATTTTCCTATCATAATCAAGGGAACAATTGATTAATTACTCAACTCTGCTGTTTACATTCATATTTCATTTCAACCGGTTAATCTAACCAGAAAGTCAGTATAACTTGTTTACTCATTATTTTCAGGTTGATTGTTAATGGCCTTGCTTTGCATGTATTACTTCTGATTCAACAAAGAGTTACACGATTTCAATCACGTAGTCCTTTTACACCTCATATTGATTTTGAACAGTTAGGTAAAGAGTTTAAATTTTACCAACAGAAATAAGTAAATAAATTATTAATTGAACAATATAAATGGGTTTACATGCTTAGGTCAACGTGCATATCTGCTAAAACCTATTCAAGAGTGAAATTGCTTGTTGACTAGAATGTGATGAAAACTGTTTTCCAATCTTTATTAACAATTTTATAATTTACCTCATTCATAAAATTTCAAATGATAAAAACTCGTTGACTAAATGCATTTCAGGTTCAAAAATGTGTTTAATGATTATGAATTATTTTTATATTTCACTCTTAAATAAGACCCAATCATTTGATCAATTGGGATTGAACAAGTATTGTAAACGTGGTAACCAAAAATTAAGAAATATCAAAAATCTTCAGCTCATCATTGAATTTTCAAAATAAATGAGCTTATCGTTTGGAATAATCTAATTTCTTTAATATTTTTGACTTGTGTTTTAATTATAATGATTAATTTAAATGAGAATCACAAGTAGAAACTGTTTCATTGCCATAAAAAATGGTCAATATTAAGATAATTCACTAATTTTGCCATTTACTTATACAGATAGCAAATGGACAAAATCATATGTTTATTCAGCTGATTATTATTCATAATTTTTACCATTTCAATATTTTTTATTAGACCAATCAATTGTTCCAGTCAATAGTTTTCCTGTAAATCATCGAGTTTGACTGAAGCGCGTTATTGTGAATTAATCTTGCTGCTAAGTAACTGGTTGAATTGCTCCATTGCTTTTGTGCTTTAATTATGGCGCCTGTTGAGGCCTTAAGTCTTTTAAATTCCAGTAGAGACTGTACCCACCTTCAAATTGATGTACTTCACATGATCAACTGTTTCTTTGCTACATTCCTTTTTTATCACTGATGTTTGGACAGTAACTTTCCAATTTGCTTTATGGTGAGTACTGCGCTACTTTTATGTAATCTGCATTCTAACAACCGTTATATGGCTTATATTTTATTTCAGATCAATAATGGATAAATGTAGATGCTCCTGTGGTAGAGACTTAAGACTATTCTTGGAGGAGGTCAATTTAATTTACCTTCATTCATGTTTCAAGGCAAGTTGTGATCAATGCAAATCGTGGAATGATGCATGTTTTCACTGTGGACAACAAATGGACGCAAGTAATTCCATGGAGATAAAATATACTGAAAAGCCTTCTGGTTTAAAGCCTGAAATAATTTTTTGTCGTTGTCAAGAAGCTTTAATGTGTATCCATCATTTGACGTACATTTATCAAAATCGATTCGTTTCTAGCGAATGTATCTCAAAGTGCTTGGAATTAGCCAAAGAAGGAAGAGCACTGTGTTCAAGTTGTGATAGCCAAAAATATATTGAATGTATCACTGTAGATGGTAAAATTTCTGTATGTGTTGAATGTTATTTCAACCTTTGTGATAACATACCATCTTTTATTACTGTCAAAGAGGTTCTAACCTATCAATTTGTCAAAGCAATCAGACCCCTAGTCGTTGATAATACGAATCAGACTCTAGAATGTGGTGCTTTTAGCTTTCAAGACATGGATTCAGAGCTAACCAATATCAATAGTTCCCCCGATTCATCATATGCAAATCTTAAACGAATATTACCTTTAACACTTGAAGAAAGGTGCGATTTCACATTCTATCGCTCTAACCAATGTGTTATTGATATACTCATAGATTCTATCACGGCAGAAAATATTGGCTGGGAGCAAGCAATTGACTCGATAAGATTGTTAAACTGTACAATTATTGATTGAAAAGATTTTAACACTATTTTATTTTACATAAACAACAACCTGAATTGTCTGACTTTTAAACTCTTAAACATACAACATGTAACCTATAACCTAGAATTTTATGCTCATAACCACACTATTCCTCATTTCTTAAAGTATATTTAAAACGAGATTTAAAAACAACTCATTAGTTGCCAAATTGATTAATTTTTTAACAAATCAACAATAAATTCGCCTTCATTCTTCAAGACAGCAGATTCTTTATGAATTCATTGAATTCTAGTAAATACAATGAGATTTGAAATTATGGTCACCTACAGTGAGATCATTGTAGGTGTCCATAATTGTCACCTACGATTATTATTTCAAAATGATAGATTGGATGATAAATTGTTAGCAAGGTTAGATAAACAATGCTAGGAGATACTTTCGAGCGATTTACTTAAAATTGTGAATCCAATAAATTGGATTACATTGTAATTTTATATTGAGGAAACAAGCAAACTGACAAAAGAAGATATCACAGTAATATTTTGAGTGTAGAAAAATACCATTTATAAGCTTAAATAGAGATAATTTACAAATTCAAGTGAGATTACATTTAAAACACAAGACAGTTTTTACCGAGATAGATGCATGATTGATACAGGATGTGCTATTTATGTATAGGAATAAGCAGAATATGAGTAAATCAATTGAATTTTTCGGGTAGATTGTATTCAAGTCGATAATTGTTTGATAAAATGAGCTAACATATCACCGAAATCGTGAGAGCTCTTATAATCGATTGTGCTATAAGTAGTTTCGTTTTGTCGACCAAAATACTCCATATATAGCGGTATTAGTGTTTGACTTTGCCTGCTTTGGAAGTTATTCGTTGTGTAACTATCTTATTGATATTTTGATCTACTTCAGGCAACTCATTCACATCTTCATCTATTCGCGTTGATTTTTTGGATTGACTCTTGTTTTTCTTTTTGGCCATATGCTTTTCCAAGTTTCTTTCTCTTATGCGTTTCAAATGGAAGGTAATGAAATTCCACATCATCCAAGCTTGCAGGAGGAACAAAGTTAACAAACAGTTAATTCTATATAAGCGATGGAAGAATAAGAATGAAACATTAAAATATTAGTACATGAGTTGAAATTACGTTTTTTTACTGAATGAATTTATGTTTTATAGAAGTGCAATGATTGACCCACCTTACTAACTGTGTATTAAAGTTGCCTTCGATGAAAGATATAGTACTCTTCTGATTAATAGCCAGTCCATACCAAAATGTCAGCACAGATAGAGTAATTGTAGCTAATCGTGCAACTACAAATAGGACATTCCACAGCTTGAAACTAGAAAAATGAATATAAAAAAGAAAACATTGGTATAATACAACGTAAGAGAATTTTTTAGATCAACTCTAAACTTGGCAGATTAAATGAATTTTTCCATTAGATTTTTCCAGCATTGAAGTTAAAGATGTGAAACCGATATTTGAGCTAATAAAAGGATGTGAACTTACCCATAATCAGATACTGACGTAATATCAGCAAAATAGCAAAGTCGAGAAAAGTGAAACAGAGCTTCGGCAGTATAGTGTATGATTGAAAGGCACAACGCGATTCGAGTGAAGCTAGAAAATAGAGGATAAAAAATAAAGATAAATGATACAATATGCAAACAAAATTATCTGTATTTTCACTTACTTTTGAGAATAAGCAGCAGCAAAGAAGAAGAGATAAAAACTTGAATAAGTGATCCTTGAAACCATCTCGTCTCTTTTAACCTTTTGCAAATAAAGCTCGGGAAAATTGTGCAACCAATATGCTATTTGAACGATAAAGTAAAGTTTGAAGAGGTAGCTCATATGATGGAAAGGATAGTCTATCCAAAGTTTCGATATGGACCAAAGGTAGCCTTCTCTTCTGATAACTTCACCTCCCCAGAGAACAGAAAATAGGTAAAAAATTAAAAGTTGGCCACTTTCATTGAACTTGCTGTGTTTAATTTTTGATAAATGAAGTTTTCGATTGATTTTCTATAGAGAGAAAAGAGATTTATATCAACTGGTGTTTCGTGAGATAAAAACTAAGTTACTTACATCGAGAACATATTCTTGAATAATCGCATGTACAACGATTGAAATTAAAAAGTAGAAAAAAATCAGAGCAAGATCCTTAACACCATAAGAATATAAAACGGTTTCTTCGTGTATCTCGGTAACATTATGGCTCATCGCGATGAAAATGCTCGCCAAAGGTGCAGTAGACTGAATTGAAAAGAAGCGGGAAAATAACAGTAAGATTAAATTTTTAGAGAGCAATGAAACGGTAGAAAATAGGATTTTTTCACATCTGATTTGATTTGATTGAGATAAAAATATGGTTTCAAGTCAGATTATGCTTACCTGAAAAAGCAGTCCCATCACGAATAACATTGCAACACAAGAGATAATATCAGGATGATTTTGAATGAAAAATTCATGACTGAAAATTGGTGGATTTTTAACCACACCGATACGACGTTTGATTGGCATTTTGATTAAAAGTTTCAGCTCAAACCAATAATTAAAAATATGTTGACAAAATAACGGTAGGTGAGGACAAACCAATCAATAGGGAATCAGTTTTAACGACAAAATGTCATAGAATGCGAAAACATGATGGACAATAGCAATTACTGAGGGAAGGTAGAGGTTTAAGCTTACTCTAATCCTAATAAACAGGTAGATGGCATTTAAAGTTAATTTTAAATAATGATTTTATGCATAGCCATTCATTTTCATGCTTTGAAACATCACTTTTCGGTCAACTGTCAACAACTGCTAAACAACGTCAAAGCAGAGGGAGAGTTTAACAATTTCTAGACAAAAATATATTAAAGCACGCTCCCTAAAGCTTTAACTTCAAAAGTTGTTGTTAAATCAAAATTGTAAGCTTGTAATTTTCAATTTGATTTATGACAATTGACATCATGAAAAATCTTCTGAAATGCCGATTTTAGAAGTTTTTTTGCCTGTCTTAAAATTTTCTTTGCTCTCTACTAACAGCTATATTGATATCTTCAAATGCGGAGTTGAAATTAAAGGATTTAATTCGTTGAGACAAAAAGTGATTAGAGTTAAAAATTGTTAAAATCGTGGTAAAATAAGCAAGTGACGATTTACATTAGATGATTAAATTTTCATCAAAACTCCAGTCATTTTAAATTCATTTGATTGAAGTGAGGTGATAAAATAAAAAAAATAAATGGACATTCATTGGATCGTATTTTTGAACATTGGATGAAAAATCTTTTAACCATCCTATTAAATTGGTTAAATAAGCAAGGACAAAGAATGGCAAAAAAGGTGGATTTATGGTTGGATGATGAGATGTTGTAATGAAACACAAAAAAAAGCATTTTGATGTTCAAATAGGTCCGAGATGAGATGATTTTTTGGCATCTTGTGATTGTTGAAGCGTTAAAAGTTGGAGATACAAATGATCCTTGGTTAAAATCAATCATCCTCGCTGTTAGATGAATCATTGGATGAATCGTTTGAGGAATCGCTGTTGGAAGAATCATTGGAGGAATCATTAGCAGATGAAGCATTATCAGAACCAGCATAACCATCAAGCCAATCAACAAACCGTTTTCTTACATCTTGAACAAAATCATTTGTCCTCTCACGGAATCGTCTCACATTGGCAACAACTCGTCCAACCGGACCTGGTGGTCGTCGCGGAGATTCACTTTCCTCAGACTTATCACTTTCACTATTAGAGTTTGCACTGTTACTTCCACCGCCACCACCACCACCGCTTCCACTTTCACTGCCACCACTGTTGCTATTACTGTTAGCGGACCCTCCACCACCACCACCGCCTCCTCCAGCTCCAGCTCCTTGGTTATTATTAATGCCACGAAGTAAAGCACTATTCAACAAGTCTGTATCATCAGAGCCTGCAATTCCTGCTGGTGGCGATGGGGAATCATCTGAATCATCATCTGAATCAGAATCTGAGTCTGAATTGGATGAACCTCCACCACCTGCTAAAAGATCTTCTAGACTTTGTCGTCGATTGGTTTTATCATCAGGGTAATTAAATAAATATCCTGTTGAGTCTTGAAATGATCTTCCTCTGATATCTAAAGGATGATTGAAAAAAAGATTGTTAGATTCAATTTTTTAAGGGCAACTGAAAATCGTGTAATTGGTAAACATGTGAATAAAATCCGAGTAATGTTAATCACCTGGTAACTGATCGATTGCAATCGGATGTGTTACAATGAATCGACACAATGTTGATATCAAAATGGTCTTGACAAAAAGTTTTGTTGTTGATATTGATGAAAACTGTAAGTTGTCCAACATATTTGGGTGAAAAACGGTTTAACGTCTACATTCAACAGAGCTCAGGTGGAAATGGCTGATAATATGTTAAATCCAATCATTTATACGACAATCAAATGAAGAGAAACTCATTTGTCGTTAAATTGATCATCGACTGTCTTTACTATCATCATTTGTACCAACTATCTGCTTATGTTTTTCATGATGATGATGGAAATCTTTAATTCTGATCATTATTTTCATTGAGTACAATGGCACGGATCATTAAGCTTTATCGATTCAGTCTTACTTTCATTTAAATACACTTATTGATCAATTGTGTTTAAACAAACTAACAATTGTCATTTAATTTTTCCTCCACATATTATATTTACTTTTATAAACAATAATGATTAACAATAAGATTCTTCCGGCCCTAATAATGACTCTATTTAATCACCTCTTTCTCGCCAAATCAAACATCTCCAATCTTGCTATTGACTTGTCACTTAACTATATTATTGATTTGCTGAGCAATTATAAATACATTTACAAATCATTTCTCAGGTTTTACAATAATGAGATACAGTAATAAGTTGATTGTCTAGATACTAAAAAAGTTTATTCACAGAAAAAAAGTTACATATGACAAATATACAAAAGGATAAAAAAAGATTTGACAAAATGTCGTTTTGTTTAAGTAAGTACAAAAAGAGGTGATGAAGGGTTAAAATTAACAAGTGCTTTGCATAATTAGCAAAGGAGGTTTAGTATTTAAATGAGAGATTGCTCCATTGTAAGAATTCATTTTACTTTCAGTTGATTTGGTACCATTTTTATTGGTATTGGTGTTACCATAGTCGGGTCGAGATTTTTTCCTCTTTTCTAAAGATCCATTTAAACGAGAAGAGCTCAATGAACGATGACCTGTGATATTTATTTGTCTCTCAGGAATCGGTGGAGGCTGGGGTGAAGCGACTGGAGTAGCGGTCCGTCTCTTTTTACGTTCTAATGTTCCATCAAGTCTGGTGAAGCTACTGCTTTTTGAATGGATGCGAGCATTCAAAGAGCATTTAAGATGTTCCTCACTTTTAAAGGCTTGACGTCTTCGTTCCAGTGTACTTGGAATATTATCATTTTCATACAAATATTTTCGTGGTAAACTATTGTGCGAAGAAGCAGAGGTAATTAATTTCAATCCTGCTTCAGCTTCATAACATTTTTTCCGACTCTTTCGACTCCAGCTTCCCGTTCGAGAGCCATAAGAGTCTTCACAATATGTATCTATCATATATGTCTTGGTTTGATAATTTTTCTTTTCTTTAACTTCTTCATGGTAAATTGGAAAGTGGTCATTGCTGATGGATGCTGTTACATTGTTGATGCTTGATTTGTCTGGATGAGATGAGAGAGTATCACTTTCATTCTTGTAATCATCCAATGATGGAATTGTGCGATGCAAAAGAGATCCATTATTGATCTCACCATTAACTCGTTGAATTATTTGGCCATCTTTTTTGCGCTGAGGTGTTTGTTTAAATCGATTACTACATTGAATAATACAACATACAATAAATACAATCAAAGCGAATCCTCCAACACTGCCAACAATTATAAAGAAAATATCAGTGTTATTGTCAATTCGGGAATCAAGAACTTTATCAAGACCCTTGATAACATTTGTCATTTCAGTTGTTGTTGATATTGGATCCTCAAGTGTTGCAGCGGTCAAAATCTGTGAGAAATCTGAAACACCGGCAGAGTTGAAACATTGAATCTTAAATTCATAAGAGGTTGCTGGAGAAAGATTATGAATAACATGACTGAGCTTATTTGACCCGAGAACAGTAATTTGAAAATATTCTCCTGCAGATGAGGTAGCTCGATAATGGATAAAGAATCCTTCAATAGAGGTTGCAATTTCTCTATGATTTTCCCAAAATATCTCAATTGAAGTTGGACTTCGTGGAGTGACAGCTTTGATTGTTGGTGGTTCGTTAGGTTTCTTGAGCATACTAGTGCGAATAAGATGAAATTTATCAGAAGCTGGACTTTCCCTGTTATCGTCGTTGACATAAACAGCAGTTACTCGGAATCGATATTTAGCGTCCGGTACAAGTCCAGTAATTTTTTGAGATGTTATGAATGGAGGCGTATCCTCAGCCCAAGTATTCCAGCGACTTTTCTTGGCCATTTCCTTGTATTGAACTTTGAAAAAGCTTATCTCTAAACTAGGTTTGTTAGATATTTCCCAATGAACCATTACTGAATCGTCAGACAGTCGAACTATCTTGGGTTTGGAAGGAGGTATCATGATTTCACTTGGACGTTTCCTACTTGACTCGTAAGGTCTTACAGTAATTCCTTGAAAGTTATCTTCATTGTTGGTATTCAAATTGGATAGATCAGTTGATTTACCTGAATTACCATGATGAGAGGGTTTTGATGGACCGATTTCTCCTGGACGTAGGATTACAACACGAGCAAGAGAATAAGTTGATTTAAAATCACTATTAAGTAATTCATTTGAAACAAAACATTGATAAATTCCAGCATGAATGGATGATTGAGCAGCCTTTATATTCAATTTAGAAAAGTCTTCAGAAAATGAAACAGTGTTTTGCTCAACAGCGATTGAATCAAAGTTAAAACTAGGTGGTTTATCTTTGAAGGAGTTCAAGCTTTTACCATTGAAAAACCAATTTATCCTAGGTTTTGGGTTACCTTTGGCTTGACATTCCAATGTAAAATCATTTCCTTCAACGACTGAAAGATCTTTCAAGCTTTTAACAAAACGAGGTGTCATTTGTACATCGACGAAAGTGCTTGCTTCAATTGTGGAATCATCAACTGTTGCTCGGCAAACATAAGTACCAGAGTCTTTTTCATCTACAGTCATCAAAATTAAATTACCGGCAACTTGGCGTGAGTTTTTCATATTCAGAGATTCTAATTCGTTGTTTCTTTTCTTGAACCATGTTATCTTAGGTGGCTTAATACCACCAGCAACACACTCTAAAGTTATATTACTTCCCATCACAGCTTTAGTTTCGATTGATGGCTTAATCACAAAATAAACAAAATTTTTGGCACTATTATCATTTATGGACGAATAGATTTGATGAGCATCGACTTTGGAACGATGAGAGGGTTTCACGTTAAGTTCGATTGTCCACGAAGCATTTTTTCTTTCTCGGAGAAAGGCATTGAATGCAACACATCTGTAAATTCCAGAATCAGAAACTGAAGGGTTTAAAATTTGCAAATTCCCAGAATTGCTTAACAAGTAATGATCTGCAAATAAATAATATTTCATGAATGAAAACAGTTTTAAACTTGATTTGCAAAGGTAATAACTAATGTTATACTCAAACTTCATCGTTTTATAGTATCATAGTTTATATAGGGGCAATTATACAAAAAGTGCTACTTGAATCTTACCGTTTGATTTGCTGATTAGAGTTTGATTAAAGTAATATTCAATGATGGCAATGGGCATACTATTCGGAGGTTTACATGATATCACAGCCGTATTTCCTTGGATTGTATTAATTATTGAATCATTTTGAGATGCAAAATCATCTAAAAATGTAATAATTAATTTAGCAGGTTCACTTATAACAGTTTCCGTATTAAGAGTAGCTTTACATTGAAACATTCGCGATTTGAATGGATTTTCTGACCATTTTGTTGTGGCAATCCTGTTGAAGTGAACGAAAAGTTTATCCTTTTCTCGAGTGAAACGTTGATCTGTATCATCGATTAAATCTCCGTCAAAAAGCCATTCAATGGAGGCCATTGGTGAAGTAATACATTTAAGAATAGCTCTATTATCGGTATAAGGAACCATCTCAGACTGTACTTCAGCCAAGAGACCCCGCCGAGAGTTATGGTTTTTTGGACGACGGGTAACAGTCAAAGGTAACAAAATAAAAGATACAATCATCCATAGCCACAATCGGAGATCCATTTCATGATAAAAACACTCAAATAAAAGCACTAGGTATTAAAAAAGTAGTGATGATAGTTAAAAAATTGGTGAGAAAAGAAAAATATGTAACTAAAAACAGGGTAACTTAGAAAAAGAAAGGCGAACTGAAGTCACTTTGTTCAACAAGTTTGTTGGGTAAGAAGATGATGATGTTAAAATAACCAAAAAGTGAACCAACGGCAGCCATTGACATTTTATGTAGAAAAGTTAAGATTTGTAAAGAATAGAAGATGATTAATTTAATAACATGTTAAATCAAGTAAAGTGATTCATTTTTCAATAATTAAATGATTAAAGGTAAAGATTATTACAATAAACAAGACAAAAAAATAAAGTCAGTAAAAGTAGTTGAAGTTGAAACAGAAGTAAAGTTACAGCTTGAGGATAAATGAAGGGACTGTATAGAAATAATAACAAGAAAGAAAGCTGGTCGTTTCTCTCTTTCTTTACTTGCTATTTCACTTTCTTCTCTTTCTTTTCGCCCTGGATTTGACTGGTTCAAAACTGAGAGTATGATGATGAATATTTGCGCTAGGCTAAGAAACGCTTCTTGATAATTTTCTTTCTCTTTTTAAGGTGCATCGGATCCTTTTCTATACATTTCTTTCTTCTCTGTCTTCCTCATTCTTTTTTACAACATCTTTGTGTATTTTAAGGGAGAAAGAAAGACAAGAAGAAGAAGATGATGAAGATGATGATGACTGTAGGAAGAAAAAGAAGATTACTGGGTTTGTAAGGTTCCTCTCTCTTGGCATGTATATTTTTAGGATTTTCAATGGTCCATTGGAATGGCTGTTTGGTTCACCTTGGGCGCCATTAAAGTAACCTTTGTAGAGTCTAATTTCAGCTTTTTTATTAATATGATGATACACCTAACATCACCTATCTCCTTTTGATGGCCCAAATCATCATTATCATCTCCATCATCTCCTTAATCGCCATCAAAACCATAAACAAGGATGAAAAATTTTGACTTGTAGTTACCTGTAGATGGAAAGGAATGGAAACAAGTTACTAACAAGTGAAAATATTTACTTAATAGGATGAAATTTCACCTCAATTGTTGATTACTTGTTGTCAAAAGTTAACCATTCAAGTGCCATTTGTTATCTAATTTAGCCCAACCTTAATGATTAATGGAAACAAGATAGACCTAGAAAAACGAAAGGAGAAAGGTGAAAACGAAAACGAAATTTGATATATTTTTCAAAGCATCAAATGATAACACATAACCATAAAAGAAGTAATCAGACGATGATCAAAGAAAGCAATCAATACTTGTTTACCAGAACGAAACATTAGTTTACATAAACACATAGACTTTTACATTAAGTAGACAATTGATTGTTAAAATTCAAGTTTAAGATGGGAAAAGAGTCCAACAGAAATGAAAGCAGAAAAGATTTATGGTAACAATAAAATTACCATATCAACTAATAAACATTAAGGATAATGATTTGAAATTAATGTTACTTTGGGTTGAAATATTTCCCACGAAAAGTGTGTCTTATAATAGTTGTAGGCTATTGTGCATTGAGCGGTAAACATGAGTAACCTAAAGGGAAGACCAGAGAGAAAAAAGAAACACGAAAATGTAAAAAGAAGCGAATAAAATGGTTAAAAAAATTGTCAGACAAAAAGATTTTGGAACAAAGAATAATTCTTAAATGTTTGTCTTGGTTACAGTGAACATCCAATAGGATTTGGAGAGATGTTTATCATTAAATCAAGTGTTTAACCTCATGAGGTGTTGGTAACAAAGTTGGTAATTAATCATCAATACTAACCGTTGACTCTATCCAACTCTTGTTTGTTACCAGGTAACATTCAAACCATGATTCCTGGTAACAATTGGACACAATAGATTCTTGAGTAAACATAGCAAGCTCAATCGACAATAAACGATCCTTAAAGTCAACTTCCGTTTAATTTTGTACGTTTTTTTTCTTGTTTTCGACTTGTGTTATTAATAACCAACCAATCGACCAAAAATATGTTATTAACCAGTTTTGTTGTCTCAATGGTTTTACCATTGGTTCAACCTTTGGTTCAACCTTTGGTTTTAGTCGTCAACTGTCTCCAATGTTACCCTCAATTATTATAAAGGTAAGTACAAACAAAATTTTAATTTTAGGTTCCTTTTGGGCTACATTTGGGTTACTTTGCAACATTTTACTTCCTTCAGTTTCATCTTTTATTTTGTTGTTTCTTTCAAATAGATTGTATCTTATTGACTGTGTGTGTGTGTGTGTTTCAACTTGTGTGTTTACAGGAAGTGTGATACGGCAAAATCTTACGAGGATAGCCACATCATTATGTGTGTGGTCACAAGGATTGGAGACTTGGGTGGGAAAAGAAGAGTGCAAAAAAGGAGGAAGAAGATGTCTAATCTCTGCATGTATTTGGTACAAAATGAAAGATGAGAGCTTAAGCTTTGTAAAATGAAATGGATTATTCATCATAGAGATTAACCAACTAAGCTAACGTTAATTGATTGAAAATGAGCTGTTTATGTACCAAAGGTTAATGTTCCCATGTGTAAAAGTTATATTGTTTCTGTGATAATATTGAATCAATCATTATAATCGATATTCTGTTCGATTTAATGAGAAGAGTAGAGAGCTTTCATCATGAATTCTGGTGGTTAAACAGGTCTAACTGGCTGTAGATGTTGATCACCAAATAGAGAGCCCAATGAACCTCTGTTTCACGAAAATGTCCATTTTAATTTTTCCACTCTTTAATTAAAAATTCAATTAACTTGTTACATAAAGCAATTCGATGATTCTCTCGCTTTTAAATCAACTATCTCATTATATCATCGATTTTGAGTCAAAAATATAAAACCTTAGATTAAGTTTCATAATTTGATCAAGTCAAGAAACTCTAGAAAGTCAATTTTAGCTAATAATTCAAAGTCTCCATCTGTTGGTCAATCAATTAGATTGAATCAATTTCTGTAATCAATACTTTTTGAGTTTAAGTTTCATTATGAAACTTTCAATGCTGAGTTAATTGCTTTATGAAAGTGAAATGAATCAGCTTTCCAACAATTTATTTTAATCAATCAGCCAATCAATATAATGAGGATGAGTTTCATTAGCAGTAATCGTTTACTTGCTCATAACGATCCGATTACAAGTGATAATTAGATGGTAAACAAAGTTACCAAATTAAGCTAAATGGTTATTCAAACAGACTTGTTATTGATTGATTCTGTAACTGTTAATTGTATGAAGTTAACTCAAATAATGTACAATTAATTGGTGCCAATCAGTGAGTTAAAAACGCTGTATTATTAGCCTTATGCACAGCTTATTGGCTAAGAATGATCAGTTTACAAATCACATCTCTACAAGTTGTTTTTCATTATTGACAATAAATACCATTCAAATTATTGTTACAATGTATATTTAATAGGATAATTAAGCGGCATCATTTTAATCAAGTGGAGATCGATTTCGATGTCAATTGTTTAGTAAACATGACCTTTTTCACGACGATTCTCATCGGATAGGATTTCAAGTATACTTGGGTCAAATTTTGGAGTCTCTCAACTATTAACTGCATTAAGGTCTCAGCATGAAACAAGGAAGCACAATTTACATCTAATCAAGAATCAGTAAGAGTCTTTTGTTGTCTTCATTACATTATATTGACTGTATAACTGGACAATCAAATGGTTAGGAACAATTCAAATTGTATTATCAAAATCTTTTGGACTGTAAGTCTGATTCTGAGTCTGTAAGGTACATAAATGTATGGAGTCTATCATAGTCAACCAATGAATATCAATGTCGTCATTTTGAATTTCATTGTTTTCAATTTTTCTTTTGCTTATTTCAACTTATATCAACCCTGTTGAATCCCAATCAAGCTTACCTTTAATAATATTGATACTGATTATTTGCAACCTTTTGAGTTTTAAACCCACTTTACCTTTAGCTTATTACCTTGTTGACGAAAAGTTGTTTCGGTTTAACCTAACCTCCTACAAAAAGCCTCCTACAACCCACTTTTCAACTTACATCCCAATTCTTGGTTAAGTGAAAGTTTTCTTCATTTCTGGTTACTTACTTTCATTTGAAAAAGCTTCTTTAATTGAATAATATCATATTTTGTCCTGTTAATCATATCGCTTTTTTATTTATAAGTGCAAACATGAGAAATCTCGTCTTCACCCTTACAGTCACATTTGTTGTCTTTCTTTCCCAGACTGGTAAGACTTTGTTTTCTAGAAATTATTTTGCCTCGCTTTTCTTTCTTTCTTTGCCACTTCAATCTGGTTCAATTTACTGTTTCTGGTTATCATTTTATTAATTGTTGATACTAATTGTTAACTGTTGTCTTGTGTCTTTGTAGATTTGTCCGTTTCAAGGAAACCCAAATTAGGATCAAACAAAAAATGTGTCCTCAGAGAAATGGATAAAAAGGCTGAAATTGTTTTTGTGTTTGGTCGAAGAGATGTTTACTTACCCAAAAATCCAACCGAGATGGTTCCTCATTGCAAGTAAGTGGTTAATTTCATTCGTTACAGATCTTCTACATGGTCCTGATAATATTATTCAACTAATTTGACTCGTTTTACCTCTTTATCTTTACCAGAGAAGAGTTTGATGCTGAAGATTTTGTCAAATCATACTCAAGACGTTGTTTGAAACCTCTGCCAAGACAAATCATTGGAGTCATATTGATGGGTAATGCACCTATAAAATTTTCAATATACAGTTAACTAATTGTTTGATAATTTTTTTACAGGAGCATCTCAAGTGATTAAACAACGATGTACGCCAGAAGGAACAACTGGTAAGTTGGAAATGAACATTAAATTGATAGTTACCTGTTTCTACAGATAATTTAACTTTATCAATTAAAATAATAATGATTGTTTATGCAACTGTCAAGGTTTAGATTGAGTGCTAGATATTGTTAATAATTGAACTATTAAGGTGAGCATTGATCAACCATCCATGAATACTATTTCATTTATATTCACGATATCTATATTTCCCGGTTAAATTATTTATCAGAATTGATTATTGAAACTATTTAGTGGTTAACAATCTTATCACTTATCAAAGTTCAACTTGTCTAACCATTTGGTTGGTAAACATTATTTTCTTATTGTGTTCAGCAAAAAAGAATCAATTACTCAAATGAACTAATTGAATTACTTTAAAAATTGTTCATAATTATTGCAACTTGACACACAAAATGTAAACTTTCTTTACCTGATACCAAAAAATTGTTATATTCATCTATTCAATTTGATTAATATTATATTTTTTTCTGACCTTTCGTATTTTCACAGAATATTTAAGCCATTATGAATGCATTCACAACACAATACCTCATTTGCATGACTGCATGGACCAGCTTGTTGTCAGCTTACATGAAATTACCAAAAAACCAGTGGAAGAAAGGATTCCTCAAGCATGTTGTTCCTTCAGCAGATATATTTCATGTTCAGTCAAACCTGTTCGTAAAATGTGTCCCAAAGATCCGTCCGCTGAAGATTACATCGCCGTTAAAATGATCAAGGGTGAATAATGTTTCCATTTGTCAACTATACTGAACAATTACTGTCCTACAATTGACTAACGACTTTTATTTGCGATTTTTCTAGGTTATGCAAGTGAAGTCTTGGATATGGTGTGCCAAGGATATGATCTTGGTGGAGAGAAATGTAACAGAATAACATTACCTGATGGCGGTTTCAAAGATGAATCAGGTCAATTGTTGGTTCCAATCCGAAACATTACTGATCGTCCTCATTCAATCATACCGCCCTTTATGGACATCTTCACACAAAATTAGTTAACCTCTTGAGATGAATTTTTCTTACACGGAGGAAGATGATTATTATTATTATAAATGGTCAACTAATTGCGCATCAGTCAAAAATCAATGAGCAAAGTTGATTGTACCTTGCTTTGATATCTTTTTATGCAGGTATAAAACCACCGTTAACCAGTTATTCGTTTATTTTTGTTACAATTTATTATCATTCTCCTCCAATCTATTGTATTTGACATTTCATTTATTGCACATTTGATAAATTTCTCGATATTGTCATGTTCAACTTGTTTCTATTTCTTTAAATCACAATTTAAGAGCCTTGGATGTGTTGAAGTGAATTTTTTTTTCATTTCATTTGATGACAAAATCAAAGCTGTAATTTTGACGATAAACTAAAAATTGAAAGTTTTATTTTTTATCGCATTTTAATCATTTTATTTGGTAAAAATGAGTGATCAAAATTTTTGCTTCCTTGTACAGTTGACACTAAACATGAATGTATCAGGACTTGCTAATGTTTAGGTTCAGGTCAAGATTTTGTGAGTCAGTAAACCTTAATTTCTATCAGTTATTCAATCATGAAATGAATGATAACTGGAACCTGTTGAGAGTTTTTAACTTTTACTCGCAAGTTTAATTAATGAAGCAAGAAATATCATGCCAAATGTAATCACTTTGACTGAACAGCTAAGGTCATTTAATAAATGAAATCATAAACTTTGCGGTCATATGGTTAGGAGTGCATAGTAGGTGTGGATTTTTCAGCAATTGTAGACAAGACTCTGGAAACGTCGAGAGCTGGTCGTTAAGTTAACTTGATAATTAAGGAAAATTAAAACATAACAAACGATGCATTAAAAGAAACACAAGAAATTAATTTCCATCAATTTGATGACAATTTTTACCCTAGATAGAGCCATAAAGTGACCAACCTGGATTTAACGGAAATATTTAGCGATTGTTAAGCAAACGATACAGCAAACTAAACTAATACTCAACAAATTGTAAGCAAGTACATGTAGATAAATATCAAGTAAAAAAGTCGGGTGATAGTTCAACGCCACTGTCCAGTTTTTTAAATTCAATCAACCAGAGTAAAGAATTACTGACTGATGGCCAAATCTAATTTGTCCTTTAGTAATTTAATTTATTGCGTGAGAAGTGATAAAAAATTTCCTTAATTATTGAATAATGTTTTTCCCGCTATTAATTTTTGATTTGTGCATTACATTTCATCAGCTGTTTTTCATAAGCAGTGTCTAGTTATTGCGTTCTACATGAGTATTTCAATGGGATTTATTTGATTGGTTGTTTTGAGAACTGTCTTTTAATTTTATTATTATAAATAATTATGTCGGGAGATCATCCATCTGACTGTGTTGGTATCGACAGTGAACAAGCTGGTAAAGCTCCTGGTTGTGCTGGATGTCCCAATGCATCTGTTTGTGCCTCGGGTAAACAGTTTGATGAAACTAGCCAATTGGTTGAGATAGAAAAACGATTGCGATCTATCAAACACATTTTATTGATCATATCAGGAAAAGGTGGTGTTGGTAAAAGTACCTTTTCTGCCAATTTGGCTCGTTTTTTAGCCTCCAATGAATCAATTAATGTTGGCTTACTGGATATTGATATTTGCGGTCCTTCGATCCCTCGAGCAATGGGTCTTGAAGGTGAACAAGTTCACATGTCTTCTGATGGCTGGTCACCAATTTATATCCAAGATAATTTGGCAGTTATGTCATCAGGATTTCTTCTTGGTTCATTAGAGGATGCTGTTATTTGGCGTGGACCTAAGAAGAATGGTTTGATTAAACAATTTCTGAAAGATGTTGACTGGCCACCTCTTGATTATTTGATAATCGACACGCCACCAGGAACTTCCGATGAGCATCTTTCCATCGTTTCTTTTCTTAAAAAATGTGCCAACCTTAATGGAGCCATTGTCGTGACCACACCTCAAGAAGCAGCGCTTTTGGACGTTCGTAAGCAAATCGATTTTGCTAACCGTGTTGGTCTACCCATTATTGGTCTGGTTGAAAATATGTCTCACTTTGTATGTTCATCTTGTCATAAGGAATCCTTCATTTTCAAACCAACCTCTGGTGGAGCTAAATCACTATCTAGCTCATGTAACATTCAATTATTGGCCTCTATTCCAATTGATCCAATCATCGGCAAATCAATTGATCAAGGAATTGCTTGTTGGGAAGAAAATAAAGAGTCACCAGCAGTCTTAGCATACCAGTCTTTGAGTAAAAAAATTATCGAAATGTTCCCAATTTAAAATTAAAGTAATTTTATGTAATCAAGTGCAAAAATCTTCACTTAACTTTACAAATGACCACTCGGATGAATTATATGTTATGTTTGTAACTTATATTTTAAAATTATTAAACATGTACATTATAATTTGATTCGAGTCTCAATATAATTGATGATTAAATTGCGAATGGATCAGTTTTCCAAATTGATTCGTGTGTAAGACAAAAGTAACTTGCGAAAAAACTCGAAAATGTCTGTTGTATTTAAAAACTATTAGATTTGTGCATTTCCGCTAAATTATACCATTTGTGTCACAAAATGAAACAATTTTTATAAATTGTATAAAATTTTATTTAAAATTGAATAAAATTACACCTATTAACACATCTTTAGGTACAAATATGTATAAGAGTAATTACATGGGCTCATTTACACAGCATTTAAATATACAATTTCAATTAAAAAAGATAAACGATATGAATATAAAAGTATGAATAAAATTGTTGAATTGGTTGGATCCTAAAATTGAGTAAATTCATGAAGCGATTTCCAGTTTCAAAGTTCATCATGGTTAAGGTTAATAATTTCGTCAAAATTAATATTCAAGTTTACTGAGTCCATTGGGAAAGGCCAATTCTTCTCACATTTAACAGCTAGTCTATTGTTGGACAAGCCAAATCGTTGAGTATTCAATTCCATAACAAACTTATCGCTTTTACCAGATTCTATCTTCCATTTTCTCCATCTCTTGGAATCACCGAAAAATTGTGGTTCACCAAATTTTGCGAAACTTCCCCAAGCATTCATCATCATTAGTGATAGTAAAGTGTCTTCTTTAGAGTAACCAGATGGATCAGTGAAGGGAAGACCAAAGACCATCGGTAAATCATCACAATGGGTGGCTGGTATCCATGTATTGTTGGGTGTCAGTGAAATCGGTGTTTTGGATGGTTTCTGGGTTTGGAAGTAAGCGTAAACATTTGCTTTGCCGGTTTTGACAGCATCATGACCAAACATGTAAGTTGGACAAGTGAGAGATATATCACCTAGAACATGACCGATAGCTAATCCAAATCCATAGTGATCGTAGCGATCAATGTGACTGAGGTATTCTTGAGTGAAAAACTGTTCTCGTTGTTCGCCAAACAATTGCTTCACAAAGTTTCTAGCTTGAACATAAGTCAAGTTGACGGGATTGTTTGGGTTGAAAAATCTTTCATCGAATCTGAGATATCGGAATAGACCAACACCCTCATTACCAACGACTCCTAATAGTATGTTGACATTTTTATCAAGGCTTTTAATCAGCTTTTCTGGTTCACTTGGTAAAAACTCATCTCCCATCACTGGGTAAAATTCAGCAATCAAATTGAAATTTTCTGCTTGAACTGAGCGTAAACATGAGACTTTATCAATGGCAGAGGTACAGTTGACTCTTTCAAGGGCAATTTCGGCTGTTCGTGGATTGATCCAGAGAGGTATGTTATAGAGTGAACCACTTTGCATAATAGCATTCTTGAAGAGACCGTTAGACTGTGGGGAAAGGATGTGAGCTGACACAGACATTGAACCAGCACTTTCACCGAAAATAGTTACTTGATCAGGATTGCCGCCGAAAAAGTGAATATTATTCTGGACCCATTTCAAAGCCAACAGTTGATCCCAAAGACCCATATTACCTGGGATACCAGATTCGGGTAAATGTAAGAAACCGAATGCTCCAAGACGATAGTTGATGGACACAAAGACGACATCATTCATTACGGCTAATGCGGTTCCATCATAAAATGCGTTGTTGGCTGAACCGAAAAGGAATCCACCGCCATGGATCCAGACCATTACAGGTCGAAGCTTTGTGGTGTCATTTTGAACGGCAGCAAGAGTTGACTGGGTAACAATTACGTTGAGAAACAAGCAATCTTCATCAAATGAATAGCCATCATTAAAACCAGGTAAATACGTTTGCATGCAGTGAGGTTTCCACTCTTTAACGTCTAATGTGTTGCTCCAAGAACTTTTAGGCACTGGTTTAATAAATCTTAGTTCATCGAGTGGTGGTTCAGCAAAAGGTATACCAAGAAATTGATGCACTTCACATCCTCGAAACAGCACAGATTTACCTTTGATTTGGCCAGTTGATATTGTTAAAGTTGGTTCCTCACTTACATCGCACTTGAATAAAGAAACATTAAAAGTTGATAATAAAAGAGTAAATAAAATACGACGAACTATTTCCATGTTGATGATGTGAGTTGATATGAATTGCCCGAATATTTCAAGCCAACTTACAAGTGTATGATACTAAAAGCAAATGATACTGTTTTCATCAGGCGATTAGTTTAAATACTCTAGTTTGTTGAGCAATTTGTGCCCTTCGGTGTGATAGGCAGAACTTTTGCCTTTCCCTTCCTAATTGTTGTCTCTTCCTACTTTACCAAAGAGGAGCTCTTTGTACTTTACTCTTTGTATTTATCTCTCTTTAAACCACTTTTTTGAAGGTAACCAGTATACAGCCACGGACATTAAGTTTCGTAAACGTTCAAAGACAGATACGCATTTAGTTGATTATGTAATCAAAATTGCTTTGAAATTAAGTCTAAATTGATTAGGTAATCAACTAAATCTGTCTTTGAACGTTTACGAAACTTAATGTCAGTGTTGGTTAATAGTTAACCAACACTGTTAACTAAATATGCACAGAAGCCTAAAATGAAAATAGGAAAACCCATTGAAAGCAATGGAAAGTGAAGACAAAATTTTGTTTACAAAATTAAATGAAAGTGTTGAGATTAGATTAAATATTGGTCTAAGTCAGGTAAACCTTTTTATCTCGAAGCTATGAGATAAAACACACGGGCTTCGCCCTCGAGTTTATATCTCATAACTTCTCGATGCAGTGGTTCAAGTAATGGTTACATGACTCAGTGGATGATAACCACTAGTTATTGCGACTGATATTTTTGGTTATTGGAATGGGTTTGTTAACAGGACCATAGAAAGGCTTTGCCCTCGTGCATTTAACCATCATATCACCTCGCAATCGTCGTTTAATTATTCCAATAACTAGTGTTAATAACCAAAAATATCAGTCGCAATAGCTAGTGGTTATTATGCACTGAGTTATGTAACTATCACTTAACACGTGTTTATCTCAAACAGCTGATAGTCTGTTAATAACATTACAAAAAATCGTAAGCTTAAATTTGAATTAACTGTTCTGTTAATTAAAATGAATTTATCATCTGAATTGTTAGCTTCAAAAACAATTTTCAGTTTTTTTATCGCTCGAGGTCAATTATTCAAGTTACAACAACGTCTATCATCAAGTGGATCGTCCAAGACTTATGACATTGCATTGGTTGGCGGAGGAATCATTGGAGTTTCTACAGCAAGACTTTTATCATTGAAATATCGTGATTTTAAAATTATTTTACTCGAAAAGGAAAAGAAATTAGGTAAGATTTCTGATTCAAATCTATTAGCTATTATGCTGACAATTTTTATGAACTATTGTCCATTTTCAACATGGTATTAATACTTCGATTTCGGTTCATACAAATTGTATTAATTTTGATTTTCCTTTTTCTCTAGGGGTTCATCAAAGTGGCAGTAACAGTGGTGTTATTCATTCAGGAATTTATTATCCTCCCGGTTCTCTCAAAGCCAAATTATGCGTTGAAGGATCTAAAAAGATTTATAAATACCTAAAAGAGAAGAATATTGACTATCGAAGATGCGGTAAATTGATTGTGGCTGTCAAGAACAATGAACTATTCAGACTAGAAAAACTTTACGAGCGATCTCTTAAAAATAATGTTCCTGGCGTTGAAATTATTGGACCTGAAGGCATGACAGCTATTCAACCCGGAGTAAAAGGTATCAGAGCTCTTTGGTCGCCTAATACAGGAATAGTTGATTGGGGTTTAGTTACTCAAGCATTTGCTCAGGATTTCAAATCTAACGGAGGTCAAGTTAAAGTTAATTTTGAGGTTCAAGGTTTTGACATGGTCGAAGGAGACCCACCTAAAGTCGTCATTTCAAATAAATTATCACCTGAAAAGATAGAAGCTCGTTGGGTAATCACAGCAGCTGGACTTTTTTCTGATAAAGTTGCCCAAATGACGGGCTCTCCAGTTAATCCAAGGATTGTACCTTTTCGAGGAGAATATTTGTTGCTAAAAGGAGATAAAAAGAATTTGATCAAGACAAATATTTATCCGGTTCCAGATCCTCGATTACCTTTTCTTGGACTCCACTTTACACCTCGACTTGATGGCAATGTTTGGCTTGGACCAAATGCTGTTCTTGCAACAAAGCGCGAAGGTTACTCTTACAGAGACATTGATTTGAGGGATATGATCGATGCTTTGACTTACCCAGGTTTAATCAAATTGTCCCTCAAATATTTGAAAGAAGGAGCTCAAGAAATTTACCGTAGTTTAAACATTGATGCTCAGATCAAAATACTCCAACAATATATACCAAGCATCAAAAAGGAGGATGTTGTTCGTGGTCCTACTGGTGTACGAGCTCAAGCTTTGGATGAAAATGGTAATTTAGTGGAAGACTTTGTCTTCGATTCGGGAAGTGGTGCATTCAAAGATCACGTTCTTCATGTTCGCAATGCTCCTTCACCTGGAGCGACCTCATCGCTGGCAATCGCTGAGATGATTGTCCAACAAATGGAGAAAAAGTTTTTTAAATAACATTAGCATCGAAATCCTAATCGCCTCTCTGTTACTATTTGTTAAATATATGCCATTAATGATTTCATTATTATTTGTTGTTTATATTCTGATTCGTTTTATTGACCTAGTTGATCTACCTCTTCCCTATATTTGATTCGAAGTGCATTTCATTTTAAATGGAATCAAGTACAAAATGCAAAATCTTTTAAATTGTATTACATAAACTGTAATACAATTACTATTAATTAATGATTACTATTGATTGTAAAAATATTATATAGATACTCTTTTGTAGTTCGCGGTCCTGCGAACCTGGTGGACAATTTTCTTTAATAAATTTCTAACTGCTATGAATTATTGTTGTGTTCAGTCCTGATTGAAATGTAATTTATTTACATTATGCTTAATTTGTTATTCATCTCATTCATTTATCGTTGGTGCATTTTTAATTCCAAATTATATAAACAATCTCCAATCCTAGCCTTATAATCTATTGACCCAAAATTATTGTCTGTCCTGATCTTTTTTCCTTTACTCCCTTCCCATAAACAATTTACTCATAAAAAACACATTCTCCTAATCGCTTGGTGTTCAATATTAACTAAATATTGATGTGTTTTAATTTGCTTTTGCCAAGCTACAATTTGTGTTAAAAGTGTTTGAATAAATTGAATTTACTCAAATCGCATGAGATCCACCAGTTATGGGATGTGTATACTCAACACCACAAAGACCTTTGTTCCGTCGATCAGAGGAAGCTAATGGCAATGGCTCAACAGTTAATAACTCTAAGATTTTTGATGTTGTAAATGTTGATGATCGTGGTAATGAGATAAATCATGGTCAAATTGAGATTACCGAGAATGATTTAATTTTGCATCAAAGGAACAAAAATTCTATTGTTTGGCCATTGAGGTAAGATAATCTTGTCATTAATGACATTGATGTTTTATTTTGTTGTTACTATGCTCAATAAATTAATGTCTATCATTGATTCATAATACAGTTCAACTATAATATAATTTAATTGCAATCTTTAACTTATTTTTTATTAAAGGTCTCTTCGGCGTTATGGATTTGATGCTGAATTGTTTAGTTTTGAATGTGGCCGTCGATGTTCAACTGGACCAGGTAAACAAACAGTTTCAATTTATTCATTACTATTTTTGTTTTACGTTTGATTTCAATTACTACAAATTTTAGTAAATCTTTTGAGTAATCTAATCGTTTTCATGGCCAATATTCTTCTATATTCTCTTCACAGGTATTTACGCCTTCAAATGTGTTCATGCAGAGCAGTTATTTAATGTCTTACAAGAGTCTTTACAACATTGTACTAACATTACGACGCCAAATAATCATATCACTTCACCTCAGCATGGGACAAATCAAGAGTCTGTTAATCTTGGTACAACAGTTGCATCTCCGGTGATTCCAACATCAACAGGTTCAAATTGTAGTGCTCCACCTGAATTAGCTGCTAGAGCTCCAGTTCCAGTTCCTCCACCACCACTTCTTCCTAATTCACCTCCTCATTCTTACGTCAATGACATAAGAAGCTATATAAATTCACCCTTCTATGCAAATACAGGAGTAATGAATGGAACAATTGCTGGGCTCCCATTTCCTTCCTCGCATGTAAACATATCAAAAGGAAGGACCGGATCAGCACGAAGTGCCAGTGATATAAACACTAATTATGCTAAACTAGATGATCTTGTCGATTATGTAAATATTGATACTGCCGCGGCTCAATATCAAACCGGCGTATTGGACTCCACTGTTACCACCACTGCACCAACTGTTATCGCCACAACAACTTGTACTAATACATCAAGTAATTCTGAAACAAATGAGTCTTTATCCACCAAACGAAGAGCTTCGTTAGCATGTGAAGAATTTATTATTACCAATGATGAAGAACAAAATTGTTCGACTAATGCTAAAGATGCTAAACCACCAAATTTACCAGTTAAACCTTTGCCTACAATGGTTCCATCATGTTCATCCTCCACAGCCATCCAAGGTTCATCTAGTCAATCTTCTCAAGCAGGTCCAACGATAAGTCCTAAATTGACGAGAAGATCAGAGAGTGCTCTGAGTGAATCAATAACACTATCCGAAATTGCCGAGCCTGTAAACTATATCATATTAGATCTTGAAAATACTAATACGAACAATAATAACGGCCCTGTCTATGTTACAACTGGTCCAGCTACACCTGTATTTAAAACTCCAGAAGAAGGTTCATTTATTTTACCAGGAACTACACCACCTTCAACTCCAACGTCGATTAAATCTATAAGTAGTAATTATCCACCTCAATCGTATGCTACAATCGATTTCGACAAAACAATGGCTCTCTCCAATTCAGCGGCTAGTCATCGAAAGATCTAATCAAGCCATCATTATAGCCAAATCCAATTAACGCACATTCATTAACATCGACACTTCAACATTTTTCCTTTTATTTTTTCTTTCTTGTTCAATCTCATATCTATCATGAATTTTTCTCAGCGATTGCATTATCGATCAAAGAAAAGACGACGATGTCTAAAAATGTCGTCTCGTTTAATCAACTAATCAGAAGACGAATTGTTATTTTATTTTCAAGTGAGAAAACAAACATCTATATTACAATTACATAATGTAAATTATCTGTCACTCATTTCATGATGAACAACTGGAACCTGTTGATAATTTTTAACTTTTACCCTTATGTTTAATTTATGAAACGACAAAATTTCATGCCAAATGTATTCAATTTGACTGAACAGCTAAGATCATTTTATAAATGAAATTATAAACTGTGCGGTCATATGGTTAGGAGTGCATAGTAAGTGTTGACTCTACAGTAATTTAGACAAGACTCTGGAAACATCGAGAAATGGTCGTTAAGTTAACTTGACAATTAAGGATATTTAAAAGTAACAAACGGTGCATTATCAGGTTCACAAGAAATCAATTTCCATCATTTGATGACCAGTTCAACGACTCGATGTTCATTTATCTATGAATGTTTATCGCTGCTTGACGGTAAATTTTTAACATTTTTTTACACCGGATAGAACCATCAAGTGTCCAATTTGAGTTTAACTGAAATATCTAGTGATTGTTAAGCAAATGATACAGTAAACTCAACGGACACTCAACAGTTTAACTGTCCAGTTTTTCAGGATCCAACCAACCAAAGAGTAAAGAAACTTCTCTACTCTAATCAATCAAGTATTGCTGCCTGATGGCCTAATCTAATTTCTTCTATTGTATTATAAATTATCTCAACTGAGAAATACTACGAAAAATTCACTTAATTATTGAATAATGTTTTCCCGCTATTTATTTTTGACATGTGCTTTGCATTTCATCAGCTATTTTTTTTATAAGTAGTGTCTAATTATTGCGTTTCAACATAAAGTATTTCATTTTATCTATTTAGCTATATTTTCATTATCATTCAACATTGGTCTCTATTCCAATCGATCAAGGAATTGCTTGTTGGGAAGAAAAGGAAGAACCACCAGCAGTTATAGCACTCTTCGAGTAAAAAATTATCGAAATGTTCCCAATTTAAAATTAAAGTAATTTTATGTAATCAAGTGCAAAAATCTTCACTTAACTTTACAAATGACCACTCGGATGAATTATATGTTATGTTTGTAACTTATATTTATAAAATTATTAAACATGTACATTATAATTTGATTTGAGTCTCAATATAATTGATGATTAGATTGCGAATGGATCAGTTTTCCAGATTGATTCGGGTGCAAGACAAGGTAGACAGACAAGTTTTTTGTTGTCACAATGTTGAAACATTCAAATTGTTAATAAAAATACATATTTATTTATGATAACAATTGAGTGATTCCCAGTAATCTCTTAAAATGATTAAGTCACGAGCAAAAAGTGTATCTTGAATCGGCGAAGCGGTCACAATGCTCATCTAGACTTTTGGTCATCAAATTTGAAATTTCTACAGTTCTAGCCTTTTCTTCAGATTTATACATTTATCATTTGCAATTTGTTTTCAACAAATCAAAGAATCTAGAAGCTCTTGATTCATCTAAAATTGCAAAAACTCTCTGTTCATAACTTAATTTGAAAATAAATACAAAATTATCGATAAAATCATTTGTGTACGCGTACAGAAAGAGGTTTTTGTTAGTTACCAACAAAGTTGTTCAATGAACTTCATTTTTGTTGTAACAAAATTGACCATTTAAATAAATGGTAACAGTATTTATACAGAGATCGAATTTAAAAAGAGAGAATTGTATTAATAATCATCATCGCTGCTATCATGTGTTGCTTTCTGAGAAAATATTTCTCCTTGTTTCCAGGGACGTTCTGTTGGAGAATCATCATCATCTTCATTTCCTATTAATCTTTCTTCCAAATCTTTAACTTCTTTAGTCAATTGTTCTCTTTCAGCAATAACACTTCTCAATTCTTGTTCATCATCATCAATTTCTCTTTGCATTTGAGCTATGGAATCAGAGATTTGTTTAATTAATTCTTCAAAAGCTTTACCATTCGGTGTTTTGGGAAGATAACTTGGAATTGGTGAATTAAACTTATCACTGTTATTTGGTAAATCTAGTTTTGTCATTAAATCGTTGAGCTGATTGTTAGATTGATCCCTATTAGAAGAACCAATTACAAAGCCTACACCTTTACGGATTTGTTCTTTCTCCCAAAGATCTAATTCATCTTCAGAATCATCATCGTTATTATTTTTTACTCTATTAAAAGTCTCTTCGTCTTCTTCTTGAGCTTGAATAAATGCTTCTTTTGCTCTTTCTCTTTCAATCGCCTCTCTATCAACAGCAAAATCAATTCTATCATCTTCATCTTCATCATCATCATTATCAGGTTCTTCATCATAAACGGGTTGTTCGTCATCAATTAAACCTAAAGCTGTTCTCTCAGCTGCTGTCTCATCTTCGATAGCGATAAAGTCGTCGATAACATTATCCATTTTAAGTTTTTTGCGATCCTCTTCGCGTTTCTTTCTTGCGGCATAGATTTCTTTAGCACTTGGGATTTCTCCTTTCTCCACTGGTTTGAAAAAATGACTGACATCATCGGTATTTCGTTCATGATAACTGGGAAGTAAAAAAATAATTTATTAGAAAGGTCTGAAGGGAGAAATTGTTCAAAACAGTTAAACTTACTCTTTGAAAGCTGATGAATTTAAATTTTCAATTTCCATTTCTACATTAAAATCTTCTCCATAACTGGTGAAAGCGGAACTTTGCTCGGATTTTCTGGCTTCTTCTAATTTTTCCTCTTTTTCTTTCTTTTTTTTCTCCCTTTTTAATTGTTTGGCTATTCTTCTACTGTAGGCAGATTTTTTAACCTTGAATACATCAACGTCTTCTTCCTCATCATCACCGAAACTTAATTTGGCTTTCATTTTATGTTCAACTTTTTTCTCCCCTTCAACATGAGATTGATTAACAGCTGATGATCCAGCTTCATTTGTTTCATTTTCATTGTCTTTTGTCTCTACAGTTGGCACTTGCGAGGAAGATTTTTTCGAATCGTCAATTTCCTGAGTAGACTCATTATTTTCATCGTCATCGGTATCCTCGCGAGTAACTCGCAATCTGAACTTTCCTTTTGGTTTTTTGAATAATGACATCAATCACATAAAAAAAGTCCACAGTTGAAGGAAATAATTAACCAGTCTTAGTCGGTAGCACCAAGTCAAGATTAACCATCAATGGTTCTGTTATGCACTACAACTCAAACATCAACATGACACAAAAGATATATAATTAGATGATGGATTGAATAAAAAAATATTTGAAATTGAATTACAATTAATAAAATTGGTTCAAAGGCCAAAAAATTAAATTACGTCTGCGTAATAAGCATATGGGTTTGATTTTGTTATGGTTACTGGTATTCAATAAGGCGCGTTTTTCATAATTACCGGCTTGTCAGTTATAATGAATAATAAATACAGTTTACCTTTCCATGTGAATGTTATTTAATTTAATTTATTTAGTTGTGTTAACTTTGACTTCATCGGTATGGAAATTAAACTTACAAAAAATGTGATATTAACTAAAATGATTGATTCGTGATTTTGCTCATCACAAGTTTATTTACGAAAATAGTTTTCATCAAAGTCATTGTTATCAGTTACAGCGATTTGGAATTCAAGAAACAAATTCCCAGAAAATACAGGTTACTTGATTTACTTCAAATGCCTGAACAATCTCTAGCATGTTTATTTCTAGCGACCACATTCTTGAAGTCAAGACCACATTTCATGCAGTAAAATCTCATATTATAGTGTTTAACAAGAATATGATCTTGCCATGCAGATCCTGAATGCAACTGGCCACAGATGAAACATTCATAACCATGATAACGTTTAAACTTGATTTTTGCGGGTAAAGCTAAGGTTATAGCCTGAATGATTTGCTTCATAGCATTCGCTTTCCTTTCTATGTATCTAAGTTTATTTGCCTGGTTTTTAAATCTTACCAGATCCTTTTTGATCTCTTCCTTACTCATTGTTTTTTTGTTTTTTGTTTTCGTATCAACAGCAAATGCATCATTGAAATCATCACTCTCATCAGTTTTATCTTCTTCTTCCTCATATTCACTTGAACTGATAGCAGAGGAATCAGAAGTGTCTTCATCATTTGAGCTTGCAGACACATCGGAAGACTTGTGGCTTGACTTGTACCCAATACCATTACACTTTTTTGTGTTGCTCTCGTTTCCTCTGGAGTTTGAGTTACTGTTATTATTACTGGAGTTTGATCTGGTTAGTTGTGAATAATCGGTCGTTTTTGAATAACCTTTCAAAGCAGCGTATCTGTTTTTGCACGGTGACTTGTTGATTGGTTTTGATACTTGGGTGTTACTTTTCGCATTTCTTGAAGAGCCGTTGGTGGAAGATCCGGAGGGCGGTTGTTCAATGATTGCTTGATTGATAGTAGTATTGACAGTAGTTTTTGCTTTTTGTATTGGAATTATTGGATTGTATTTCAAATTTGCTGATCGAGGTACTGATTTTTTTGGTGGACTTTTGGATGGTGACAAAGTCTTGTTTTTCTCAGGAAGTAAAGATTCGGAGCCCATGCCAATCGCCTTGACTAAACTTCGTGTGATTGGTCTCGGTGAACAAAACAAACCAAAATCTGCCAGAAACTTCTCTTTATCATCAGTTTTGTGTTTATTCAACTCCTTCACCTCACGGCTCGGGCCATCAGATTTTAATGAAGAAGTCATAGAAGTTACAGTCATCCGATGGAGAGCAATGTCCTGTTTACGTTTCAATTTACTCTGGACAGATGCCTGTTTGATACAAGATAATCCATCGGTTGTTGTCCTCTTAATCTGTGTTCCTCTTTGTTGGATTTCATTCAAGTCAAACCAACGTACCGTTCTAGATGTTTCCTGGATTTCATCAACATTGGATCCATGACGATTCAACAACTCTACATCTTCAGTAGGAAGAATCATCCGTCGAGTCAAAGAAGTATTTGGTGTTGATGTATATGGAAGATACGGATTCTTTTCCTTGTCACTGTAACTATTATTGAGCTGAACTTCTTTGTAATTTATATAGCTCTCGAGTCGCCTTTCAGTTACTAATGGTAGTTGCAAAACCTGCAATTGATCACAAAGTTCCCAAGCACGTTTCTCATCAGTTACCAGTGGACCAACGTAAATCAAGTCGTACAAAGCTTGAAGTGCATAATAACCAAGTGTTTGAAGGCGCATCTGCTCAATCCCATCACCGACTTCACCACAAAATTTATTTAAATAATCAAATTTTGGTGAAATGTTCTGGAGAATGGTCTTGTGAAACATGAGACTATTCCCATCAGAATCGATAAGACGAAAATCTTTCAATCTGTATCTCCACTCAGCTATAAGGCATTCGATTGGTACTGGAATGCATAATTTAAGATGAACCGTTAGAGACATGTAAACAGCAGTTAAATCACAATATACAACAAAAAATTAAAGAAACAAATTAGTTCAAGTAAATTTTAAAAGCAAAGAAGCAAACTCAACTGAAAAAGGATACTAAGCTCAATGATTCTAAAAATGAAAATTTTTCTAATGCAAACATGAATTGTATTTTAACAATCTTATAAGTACAGTCAAGATAAAAGGCTTGGATATGATCAAGATCAAGGCTTTGACCATCGGTCACTAGTTTACTAGTATTATCTAGACCTTTTGAAGATCAAAATTGAAGTGTTCAGATTAAGTATCTTTCCATCTCTCAACAATTTGAACTAATTGTTCCAGTTGTTTAAGTTGGGTTATTAACTAGATATTTTAACAAAATTTTAACAATTCTTCAACAAATCAGTGTTAAATATACAGAATGACACAAATCCATTATTTGTACCAATTTTCAAAGCGGTGACCGAAAAGGCCAAAATTAGATTCTCTTTACAATCAAATATTGACAATCGCCTTGCCATCATTAAAGTATTTGTAAGCAATCACTTTTACATTCAGATTTCTTCCAATAACTTGTTCAGATCAATTTCCATTAAATCCTTCTATTAAATTGACTTTTTCAATCTTCTAGACACTTTCAAGTAAATCCTTTCTTCTACGATGGTTTAGATTTATGGATCTCTTTTTATCAGCTAAATTATTTACTCCATTTATTTTGTTTATTACTGTAACCAAAAGTGAGAGAAATCAGTTTACTTCAACACAATATTGAAAGATAGGTCGATCGATTAATTCATATATGTATAAAAACATGTTACCCAGTAACCAAATGGATCGATCGACCTTTAACTATTCCAACCAACTCCTTGTTACATTTTCCAGTTTCAATTAATATTGTTATCCATTTATTGTTTCATTTGAATAGTGCACCAAACATTTTTTCAGAATTATTATGGAAAGCTTGATTCTAATCACCAAAATTCTAGATAGTCTTTAAATATTTGATTATTGTGCCAATCTGATTCAATTTTAGGTTTTGATCTTAGTTAATTTGTTTTATAATGATAAGTTGAACTCAACGCTGATCTGAAGAAACAATCCAACCATGTGAGTTTTATTTCTCGTTTAATTGTCATGTTTGTAATGAAAGTCAAACTCACAAATTATCTGATTTATAATTTCTTTATTGTTGTATTTTCTTGTGATTTAGGTTTTCAAAAGAGACCTCGAATGAAGAGGAACAGCAACAAATTGAAGCTGACAATCAGTTAAACAATGAAGGAAATAAACTGAACGAAGGAGAAAATTTTACCAATAATGTGAGCTCAGTCTCATTTTGTCAAGAAACGGGTGAAATCGCTAAAAAAGAGGCTAATCTTTTGGCTAATCTTATCGGTCGAAGTGGATTTAACGAGGACGATTCTTTTAACCAAAGAGCTGTTGATATTTGGATGAATATGGAAGAGGTTGATCTATTAGAGATAGAGAATGAAGATGAAGCGAAACCAAACCAAGAATCAGGAGAACCAGAAGATGAGAGAAAAAAATCGAACCAAATTGATCTCAACACAGAATGTCGATACAATCATTTGGATAAGGTTAGAGATGAAATGAACATAAATCTAATGGACGATTGCTGTGAAAAAAACGCACCAGTTGAAACCAATCCTGGAGATGATCTTCTCTCTTTGGTTGATTCAACAAGTTGAACAATGATCCTGATTTATTGTTCGAGGATCAAGTCATCAAAGCATTCATTTCTTCTTTTGGACTTCAAGGCTTTCATATTGCGTCTTTTTTAGAGCTTGCATTACTCATATCAAACAATTCATCTTGTTCAATAAAATTTGGATGTATTATCTATTTATTTAGTTATCTAGGACTATTGAGATTTGTGGTTAGAGTTTATGCTGCTCTTTGGCCTCTATCACATCGGTCACATTGGTCTTTTTGATATTGGTATTTAATGTGAGTTCATATCGCTGTATTACGATATTTCTGGATGTTAAATTACAAGAATCTGCTTAATCTGCGGTTTTGCGTTTTTCATTAAACTTGCCCTGATCACCTATTTGAATTACTGAGTCTGTATTTGGTGAAAGATTATTTTTACTGGTTCAACAGGATTTTGGTTTGTCAAGAGGTGAAAATATGCGATTGATGTTGATGATGTTTTGTTATAATTAAAAAGTAGAAACTTGATGTTGTTTATTAAGTGGATGCCGAAGACTTGGAATTGTGCTTGAAATATAAGTTACATAGTAAATCGAAGTAACTATTCAACATATTAGATTCACATGGTTTGGACTTATCGGTCAAAGCGAAATAACAGGCAGTGATCATCATCGTCAAGAGCTTGCTTTCTTTTTAAATCTAAGAATCAGAAGGTGTTCATTACGGCATTTCCTTTCGATCACAATTTCATCTAAATTAATGTTGTATTCCTTGAGAATTTCAATTACTTCGTCTGGTTGATTCTCTTTGCTCAATAGAAGATAGAGCAAGCCGTTAGTAGCAAGTACTTGAGAAACACTGGAGCAAAACCTATCGATTACTCGACGACCATTAATTCCGCCTGCCCAGGATTTAGTTAGAAGATCATCACTTTCAATCTAGAAATTTCAAGAGTGAAAAATTAACAAATTGTAATTGAATGCTTCATTTTAGGATCATTGGAATCTATAATAACAAAAAGATTTTTGAACAAGTTAGTAGTTACCTCAGAGTCCTCAGTAGGCACATATGGTGGATTGAACACAATAAGATCTACATTAGACCTTAAACGATAACTCAAAGATTCAATTAAATCCGTCAGAACTATTTGGGGTGAATTAGCGAGTTGATTCAATCTGAAAGTCTCATAGCAAGCTAAGCCTGCTTGAGGGTTTATATCTGTACCTCTGAAGTATACAAAGAAACAATCGTTACATTTTGATGAAAAAAGAACTGATAACAGTAATTAACTTAATAGTGATAAATGAGTTATAATTACATGAAATAAGAGTTACTAGAGCCAAGATGTTTACTCAATGCAGTGGTAATTATTCCCGATCCAACACCAATCTCTAGACAAATAGTCGGTCTATTATCGATTAGATCAAGGAAAATATAAATTAATTTATATCACTTACTTTACATTTTTAATCAATTTTAAATCTTTTTCCAATGCATCCAAAAATAAAAAACTGTCCTCTGATGGTTCATAAACCGATTGATTATGAGTTGAATAAAGTGGAGTCTCCATGTAGCTAAAACAAAAGTAAACTTCATCAGCTGTAAGTCACGCTTGTCAATGAAGAGGAAAAAGATAGAAAGAAAGAGAAAGATAGAGAGAAGTTCTTATTACACACATTGAAGCTCAAAATATTAGGTATTGACGAATATGTCTGTATAAAACATACAATTAACTGAACACTTTCCGCTAATGATATGTTTCGTGCAAATCGATGTTAAGTCAACGTTCTTTTGGACAGATGCCATTGATCGAAATCGGTTCGCAAGTTTATTTACAATTCAGATTCATTTTGTTAATATCTCAGAAAATATTACATTACTATTACTTTCTTACTTTCAGATCCAATTGATTCAGTAAATTTCTGGTGATTAAGAAGCTAAAGACTTAGAAAAAACAATCTAAATCATAAGAAAAATTTTAGATGATCTTCTTGAATAGAATCATGAGCAGAATTAAAACGGAACAATAATTGAAATCATAATCTTTTGGTTTTAAAGCTCTTTAATTCGTTCAGCAATCATTGATTCAGATAATTTCCAAAGTTTAATGATCAATTCATCGTTTTCAATTTCAGGACAGGGGTTGCATTGAGTGCAATTATTAAAATACAGTCCAGATATGTTTTCCAAGTCCTTTGAAGTCGCACAATAAACTGGAGTTGCCGCTCCCTGTTCCTGGAAAATTAACCAGAAAAAAGACAAAAAAATCTTCATTAAAAGTTCAAACAAGATGAATCAAGAGACTTACAATTGATTTAGTGAACGGACGAGCAAAAGAAAAAAGCAGTTTCCAAAGCCACCAATTCCGAGAAATGTCTGTATTGATCATATTACCAGGATGGCAACAATGTACAGTTACACCGTAATTTTGGAACATTCGGGCCAAATAACGAGTTATCAAGTTGAGACATAGTTTGGAGTCATTATAAGCTTCGAGAGCTACGAAGTTTCTAGAGGATAATGGTGAGAGACGTTCACTGGTGATATCATTGGTGGTTAAACGACTGAAGCGATGACTTTCAGAGGAGACAAGAATTATTCTAGAAGGCGATGAGTCTACCAAATTATCCTGAAGAAGCTTGATCAAGTAAAGATGAGCCAAAAAATTAATTTGAAACGTCAGTTCAAAACCATCCTCAGATAACCCAAAAGGCAGGGAAAAGACGCCAGCATTGCAAATAAGCATGTGTAGTTTTCTGAAAAAGGTAAATAAAAAGTTGGTTATTATTCCGATTGAGAATCCTGATTCAAGGTATCAGGTGTATTTGAATATAACTCACAGATTCAACTTTTGAAAATCTTGAGCAAACTTTCGTACACTTGTGAAGCTGGATAAATCACATTCCATGGCAACTAGTTTAACATTTGGCTGGTAAAATCATTGATAATTTGTACCATGAGACAAAAGGTAATTAGGATTTTGCTTCGTGAAAAATTACAAGAAAAATTAATTACTCTTTGTCCGCGTAATTTATAGATCACTTTATTTGTCTTTTCCAAGTTGCGACAGGCCATAATAACGGTGGATCCATGGAAAGATAAACTCCGAGCAATTTCAAGTCCTATTCCACTTGATGCACCAGTAACAATTGCTACTTTACCGGTTAAATCTCTTCCATTCAGGATAACATTGGCTGTAGTCGATGAATCGTATCTTTGTCTTACTGTGCCATTTGGTTTGTCTTCATATGAAAAGGCCAATCTAGGGTCAGTTAGGGTCTTCTTTTTATTAATATGACTGAAGAAAAAAGAAAATCAAAATAAGTTGTATTAATTAAAAGATAAAACAGAATCTTCATTGAAAGATTGATCTCCTTATTTCAAAATAAAATCATACATTTTCAAACTGTTTATTTTTGTGGCAATTTTGAAAGTCAAAACTCAACCTTAAATGAACAAACTTGATTGACTTACTCTTCGAATATGATTTCACCTTGATCATTGACTATCTTTTCCCAGCCAAAGGGCAACTCATCAGGAACTCTCCTTGCTTTACCATCTTTTGGATGTAACCATTGAGTGGTTTTATTTGTGTGGTCAACAAAAAACACACGTCCATCTGGATCAACTCTTTCTTCCCATCCCAAAGGCAGTTCATCTTCGCTGTCTGTGTCAGGGAAATATGAAGCCATCAACTTGAAGATTTATAACTTCAATCAAGAATCACGAATAGTCCTGAAAATGTAAACAAAACAATCCACACTTTGATTACAACGCCATTTTAATCATAATCCCAAACCAGTTGTGTACGCATGGCTTGCCTCTGAAGGTAAGCTGAAGCTTTTGAAAAAATATTTACTGTATCTGTTGTCATGTCAAAATCTCTCATCTGGTTAGGATTCATGAGTGACACTTGTTACAATATCATGAATATCTTCCCCATTTTTATTTTAAAATAACTGTAGCTGACTATTAGTGAAATCAGTTATCATTTAACATTGTACCTGTGTATTTGATAAGCGACCCATTTGATGGGTATCGGGAAAGACAGTGTTAATTTATCGTCAATCAAAATGTGGCTTTTAATAATTTGTTACATCTTTCTTATAACCGATACTTCACTCGGTTATGAAGTGAAATATTATCCAATGTTGATGCCCAATGTTCAACCAACTGAGGTAAATTGATTCTATCTTTCTTAAACATTTACAATAATTGTGATCAATAGTCTTATAGTATCATTGATGGCTGCTTGTTTCCTTTCAAGTTACACAAGTATAATCCTTGTTTGTTCTGAATAGGCTAGCACCATATGTTTACATGACATAAACAATGATACTGTTGTTTATATGCCGTCTTATCAGATATTTGGTTCTACTCATCTGTGTAATGAGCTGACTTCAAGTTAGAATTTCATTAAATTTAATTTATTAATGTAGCTTTGAATGACATCTATGGTTTATTGTATTCAATTCAACCAGGCTTGAATATTGATTATGAACCTTGACATTTCTATTTTGTTTCCTATTCTGCCTGTGCAGTGGTTTTCAATTTTTATGCTATGTTTTCAATATCTTTTTTTTTATTTTAATTATTACAGAAAGACACATATTTATGTACAGCATTTAAAGCACCTCAACGAGAAACTGAATATATCATTGAATTTCTTCCAAATGCAACGATGGCAACAGCTCACCATATCTTAATTTATGGATGTAAAGTTCCTGGTTATTATGAACGGGATACTCCTCGAGCTGTTTGGGAATGTGGAGAAATGTCTAGTTCCAGAAACTCAAATTCAGCATATCGTCGAGCACCCGTTTGCTCTGGAACATCTTCTATTATTTACGCCTGGGCAATGGATGCCCCTAAACTTGTATTACCCGAATCAGTAGGATTCAAAGTGGGAAAAGGAACAGATGTCAATTTCTTAGTATTACAAGTACATTATGCCCATGTTGAGCGATTCCGTAAAGGGGCTACAGATCAATCTGGTATAACACTTTCTATGGTTCCAGAATACACTAATGTTGTTACCAAAAGAGCGGGAGTTCTCCTATTAGGTACATCAGGCTTCATTCCTGCTAGCTCATTCGAGCATATGGAAACTACTTGTATGATTTCTCAACCCATTGAATTGCATCCATTTGCATTCCGTACTCATACTCATAAGCTTGGTAAAGTTGTTTCTGGTTGGTTTGTTCGAGATGGAAACTGGCAATTGATTGGTAAAAAGAATCCACAGAAACCTCAGGTAATTAATTTCCTGTAGATGTCTACAGAAATATCTTGTCAATCATATAATTTTGCGTGTATCTGTTTACTTTTCCGTCCATAGTGATATCAGAATGAATCTAGATTTCCCCTATCTTGATCTAATTATGAATTCTGATTTTTTAGCAACGAAAAACAGAACACATATCATTATACTCAATTATATAGTATTGTTGGATTCTAAATTTCAATCAAATTGTATTCTTACTGTTTTGTTAATAATTGTCTATCTGATTTTTTTATTTGCAGATGTTTTACCCAGTTTCAGACAAATCCATTGTTATCAAACAAGGTGATATCGTTGCAGCTCGGTGTACAATGGACAACTATTTACCTTATACGATTTCAATTGGATCAACTGGTGACGATGAAATGTGCAATTTTTATTTAATGTATTGGGTTGATGGTGACAATGAATTAGATCGTAAATATTGTTTCTCTGCTGGTCCACCTCTCTATTATTGGTCTAACGATCCTTTATTGGAAGGAAAGATTACTAAAGAAGTCGATCGGATGGCAAGTGAACTATAATTACAAGACTCTATTTAAAAGATAAAGAAGACCAACAAAGCTTTTAATTAAATTGACTACAGAGTGAGAATCAACGAAAGACCAAGCCAACAATATCGATAATCAAACAAATAGTCATGGCAATCATAAATTTCCGTATTTATCATCTAAAGTTTAAATGGTTAAATTTTTAAGAGCGTTAAATTATCCTATTATAACTGTTGTTTGTGTTGAATTCACCTTTAACTTTATAACCAATCCATGACATTCAGAATATCCATCATACAATTCGTACAAAGAAAACGCACAACTCAATGTTTCGCTCTACTCTTCACTGTATACATTATTCCAATTGCGCAAAAGAAGGCTTTAAAATCAGAATCTAAATCTTCAATACATTGACGGCATTGAACCCTAACCGAACTTGAAATGTCTATTCAGATTCAAATACTATTTATCGTTAAGGTTATTAACAGTTTAATTTCCGAGGGAGTAAATTGTTACACCTTTAAATGAATTTCATTCTCATTAGAGCAAAACTTGTAGTTTTTGATTTTACTACTGATTTAATTTATTTCCCGCTTACTTTAGTAAGTTCCCAATATTGTTTTATCTGATTCTGTAATTAACTAAATTTATGATCTTTGTTATTGTTTTTATGCCATTTGTTTGAGTTACACAGAAATATTCCTCAATTAAAATTTGTACATAAAAATGTTTAATATTTTTCAAATAATTGTTAACATCATCGTTGTAAGTAATTAAATGAATAATTGAATAATATTGAATCAAGTTCATAAGCTTATCGAGTTATACAGTAATTTATTGTTTATTTTTTCATCAAATGTTAGCATCCAGTTACAACCAATGATTTATTTATCACATGTTGGCTAAATCACACATATCTATTATCAAAGGTAAGTAGAGTATAAAAAGGTATTGTAACAGATGATAATTACTTTAAGGTTTGCACTTTTCTAGTCGCAAGATTGTTGAAGCTTATTAAGGAAGCAATGATATAAATAAATGTTGGTGTTAACAGGACGATCTCAGTTTCACCATGTTTCATTGAAAGCCACTTTAGATACTCAACAGGTTATAAATAAAAAAATCAAGCATCATATTTATGTTGAAAATCGTATAGAGCTAAGGCAGAGATCACCTCTGATGCTTAAAGAGTCGATCGAGTCGATTGGCAATACTTGATGATTATAGTTAATGTAATGTTGTCCATTCAAGGCAACCATCAGCTTCTGTTCGGTAATCAAAATAATCATATCGAAATTTACTCCAAGAGCAAATGGGAAGTAAGAGATATGTCGCTCCTCTTTCAACCAGTCCCCTGAGGTAAATGAATTACGGACCACAGCTTTTTCGTCAAATCTCACGTTGAAATGAAAGGCTATATCTTCACCAGATAATAAATCAACAGCAAATCTGTGAGCACGTAATTCAGGACGGCCTGAAATATACACCATGAAACCAGCCGAGACTGTAGAGGGAAATTTGCATTTGAAAGGTAGTTTTGGTCGATATATTGGATAACCAAGCAAAAATTGTGTACAGTCTAGTGTGTGATTATTATCCATGTGGTAACTAATTTTGTTAACAACTACATCTCCATTGATTTCCAATTTACGTACTTCACTAAAACGAGTCCGGTGATCGAAATCAATAAAATGTTCACCATTCACAGCAGCTCTATAACAATTGCTTTGTACGAGTATTAAAAGGTTGAAAGACTCTCCACGACTGAAAGGAATGTGATTCTTGGGATTCCTTTCTTCGTTTCCCCATTTATTATCAACGAAGCTGTTTCGCACTACACACTGTTCTCCAAATCGTGGATTGAAATGAAAGGCTTTGTCACCGGTTCCAGCTTTAGCGAGATTTACACAGAATCTGAAAAATAGGAAAATTGATATTACGTTAAACTTGATGTAAGATGTAAAAAGATGTAAATGCATTTTGTGCATGATAATAAAATCGATAATCTTCAGTAGTCACTGAGCAAAGGTCGGACTTACTTTTCTGCATTTTCAGGAATTCGTCCATGGATATAAAGAAGTAATCCTGGTTTACATGGATATGGCAGCAATCCTGAGTAAGGAATATCCTAATAGAACGAGAAAGAAAAAGTTTAAGAAAGGTTAAAAGGACAAGTGAATGGTTAATAAGGCTGAAAATTGATGGCAAAGCTGATTGTTTATCTGACCTCTCCACTCACCACTGAAAATAAAACAGCTTCAGGTTCAGGATAAATGACACATATTTCTGACATAGTCGAAAAATAATTGAAATCAAACTGATAAACTGAAAAGCATGGTTAAAGCGATATTGACTAAATAAAACTCGATACAAAAACAAAAAGGAAACAGTTGTTGCAAGAGATGAGCAAGAAAATAGACAGAAATTAAGAAAGGGGATAGAGATATAGAGAGAGAGGAATTAATAAGGAAAGTAAAATAGACAGATATCTGATGTTAAGAAAATCTATGGATTATATTTAGTGTTTAAACATTGAAGACTCATGAGCTACTCTAAAAAATGAAACTCTGAGAGCAAAAAAGTCTGGAACAGAGGCAAACAAAGCACATGAATTGGTGACAGGTTGTATAAATAAATTGTATTAATCAATTAACGCAACAGAAAATGCATGGAAATTAATCAACATCACTTTGACAATAGATGAAAATACCGGTAGGTAACATGTGAAACGAAAAGGCTTATCAACTAAATTGTAAACTGAGATGAAACATGATTTATGAATATAACAACATTACTTACTTTAATAGAATCTGTCAGTTCAATATGACTGGTCATTTTAATTAAGTATTAAGGTTAGATCACAGTAGATATCACAGTTTGCAATTTGAGAATCAATTAAACAATGTTGAATGTTTATAAACAATTTGTTTAAGGTGAGGAACAATGTTCGAGATAGATGATGGAGTTTGTTATTAACCACAATCAGTTGATGAGTGAACACAACGACAGACAGATGAAGAATGGTGAAAATGAAAGTTGTCCCTTTGGTTTTTAACTTTCATTAAGTTACTTAAAGTCACTAAGAGATGGTTTGACCTGTGGCTAAAGGTGAAAGACTGGTTTAGCCTACTTTGGGTGAGAATAGGAAAAGCTAGGGAAGGAAGAGAAAAGACGATTAGAGATGAGGAGTTAAAGTAAGGATAGGGAAGAAAATTAACATGGAAAGGATTTAAGTGAGTGATTAAGAAATGAATATGATTGTGATGGTTAACCGCCATGCAACTAACTTTCCGGGTTTGGGTTTACAGAGATGGGTGTGTGCTTATTATTACACATAAGCATTGTTATTATCAGAGTCATTATGGTTATCATCTTGAAAGTTAATAGTGATCTTCAAAAGAAGACGAAAAATATCAATCTTTAATTGCTAACACCCCAAGGCTAACAATAGGAAAGTTAATAAGTATTAAAAATTGTTATCATGGGTACAAGATTATCATCTAAACGCAAAAGGAGTTAACAGACTGACTCTAAAAGGCTGTCTCTTTAAGATTCTTATTGGAAACTGATAAGATTATTCAGACATGCCTTCCTCTTGATCATCTTGAATTTTTCATATTCTTCGTCTTCTTCTTCACTTTCAAGATGCTGATGATGAAAAAACAAGAAAAAAAGATTAATTGTTGATTGGTAATACTTATTGATAACATCCTGACTAAACAGGTTTGAACAAAGTTTACATTTCCAGTTGCTATTAATACATTTTTAAATATCATTGTTGCTTTCATTATATCCATTAACTTGGTTAAGCTTAATGCAACTGAGTATCAACTTGAACAATTAACGGCTAATTAATAAAACACTAGAGTTAAATTGTTATATCCATTACTTTGCATTCAAAATACTTTTGGCCGCAATTCCGTCCATCATTGAGTTATGTTTAAGGGCAAAGGAAGATAGAGTTTGTCTTTTCATTGATAAATCTTATTCAAGAAAATAAATTGGACTTCTCCTGATTCAAATTGCTGTGGAAAAACATTGAGTTTAATTTGTAAACAGTATTGAAAATAGAGTATTCATATTTCATATAACATAACAATTAAAGTTAAATAATAAAATGAAAAAAATGTGCCTCTATTTACACAGAGAGACTCATTTTTTTTTGTATATTCACAGTCACAATGTTTAATTGCAATAACTTTGAACAAATGATGATTTTTTTAAGTCAACTTGTAGATTGAATTGTTGACTAAAATTAGCATTAGATGAAACTTTCAAAGGATTTGTCAGTTGAATTGGCCATTAACATTGAATAGCTGACTGATCGAAAAAATCGAAGAAAATGAACCGAATCAGATAAAAACAAAACGCAAAACAAGAAAATAAAATAGAGAAAAATAATAACAACAAGAAATAGCCAAGTCTTTTTTTGCTGATTAACCAATGTATCAACCTTTTCTGTTAATGGATTAATATGTTGATCAAATTGGTTGTTATTGCCGCTTTTTAAATTACCATTGATTAGAGTTTTCTTATTTTGAGCAAATCTTTGCCGTATCTTGTTATCAACAAAATCATCATCTTCATCGTTGATACCATCATAAGCTTGTTCGGATTCCAAAATAGGCAACAATTTGATTGAATATATTTTACTTTTTTGCTGAATCCAGATTTTGTAAAAATCTTCAGCTGTTAACCGAGGTCTGTTGATGGGCAAGCCAAGTATTAAAAATTTGTCATTTACAATTGCAGATCCAGAGTCTTGATTAAATTTAATAGTAACAGTCATTGTTTTCTTTGGTGAGATTATTCCGAAACTTGGACTAACAGTGTATTTTGATGGATTTGTCGACTTAATTCTGAAGGCAACAGGAGATTCTAATGGATTAGACATCATTAAAGTAGCTCCATAAGCTCGGTCACGGTAATCATATCTAAATCTTATACTTGTGGACGTATTGATAATCAAACATTTATTGTTTGAATCTGTTGATTCTAGGTCCGTGATACTTCCATCTTTAGTCTCATTTTCATCATCGCACGAGTCCCAGAAATCTGGGTTTGGATTAACGTAATCTTCAATTTCCAATGATTTCGAAGCCTCTTCCAATACGTTAGAGAATTTTGAGGAAATATTATCAATGTCTTCTTGGGTGTAGCCTAATTCAGTAAGTACTTGAGACATAGATCGACAACCAGGAGGTATGGCTCGGTAACTACGTTTACAGGTTCCGCCTAAATAATCAGGAACTGATGATTTGTCGATGAAATTGAAAATTTCTTTTCCATTAGCAAATTTAATCAAACCAAACCAAGATGAAGGTAAAAAAGAAAGGGCGGCTCGTCTGAAAGCATTAAATGTCCAAGGAACGTTAACCACTAAAATATATTTTACACCGACGGGAAAATAGTTTGCTCCGATGTTGATTAGAAATTTCATGTAGTCCAGATCCAAGTTACCGTAGCTAGCACCAGTAACGTCAAAAACTATACCAATACCATTACCTCTAGTCAAAATATCTGCCTTGTTTAGAACATGAATTAAAAATTTCTGGCAATGATCATTTAACTCAGGTACTTTGAGATGCATTTTAACTCTAATGTAAACCGTTAAGTAACCATCTAGATCACATTCATAAATGAACAAAGTACCAATCTTGTAAAACTCCATGGAAAAATGCTGATCACGAAATTCTCTGATTTTGTAGTGTTTTCGCCATTTCATAGCCTCAATGATCATTTGAAGGGCTGCTGTTTCATTTCGATTGCGTGCCAAGAAGAACCGTTTCACATACCAATCATCTGTTTCTAGCTTTTGATAATCTTGATCATAGTAAAGGTCTATGGTTGAAAGATAAAACAAAACAAACAAATAAACGAATTACTTAATGAAATTTTTGGCCCTCATTAATATTGACAGCAGTTTATTGATAGGAAGAAGATTGAATAAGGTCAAATTAATGGGTCAGGTCGATGTCATCTTCTGTTTCTTTTCTTAGACTCAATTGAATAATACTGATGAATTAAAATGATTGGATTGAACTTACCTGGGTTAGTTAAGTATTCTTGTCTAAAGGCTTCTCGTAAACGTTTAACATTTTCAGCACTTCGATCGGTTCGGCTCATTGTTTGACAATTGATTGTTGGCTTCTTTTCGTCAATCTTTTAATCACTAATAACAAAAATGAAGCCAAGCAATTTACATCAACTTGTCATGAACCAACAACACCACCTAGAGGCTGCTTTGAGTTCTTTGATGTAAACAAAAACAAACATGGCCGTTCAGTTCTTCAGCATGTTTAAACTGTTATATGTATTTGTTATTTCTATCTTAATTGGAATTTCACAGTTTGTTTAATTAAATCCAGTGATTAGAAGTTTCTATTGATGACTCATGACTGAAATGAAATGACTCTGAAATCATGAATGACTAATAATTTTGAGTCAAACAGACAAATGCAAAAAATCTCGTAACCACATGTGGTAATCAGCTGTAGTCATCGTTTTGATAACCATGTTACGTTTATTATTTCGTCGTAATTTAATTGAATCTAAAGTAGTTACACGGTTTGTCAGGCAATTTTCTTCTCAGGAAACCAATGCTATTCCTAAGAAACAAGTGTCTACTCCATCTAATGATTTGGTAAGTTTAAAGATTACAATAATTTATAATGTTTTGAATTCAACTCTAATTATTTTGTTCTTGAAATTCAGGAGGATAATTTACTATTTGAGAAGATCGAGTCGATCGAGAAAACCTTCAACAATGTCATAGAAGATATCGATGGTATTGACCAAAACCTGACCCATAGTAGTGAGTTAAATGACGAGGAGGAAGGTGAATTACTATCATCTTTAAAAGAAATGGCTGCCACTTATGTTGAAAAAAAATTGCCAACAAAGAGAAAAGGTGACAAAAGTTTAGCTGAAAATCATCTACGGACAACATTGAAATCGTACTTATTTGCTTGTATAAATGCAAACATGATTGAACAAGCTCAAAAAAGTTTCACCTTTTATCGTTTCAAATTCAAAAGCGATAAAAATTTCAATCCGGTTGATCTCTCTATTTACAATTTGATGATCAGAGGATGGGCAGCCAAAGGAGATATTAAACAAATCAAACATCTTGTCAAGTCTATGAGACACTATGGAATCATCCCCGATATGAATACATATGCAGGTATTTTGCTGGGTCTTATTAATCAAGATAATATAGATCTGATTGAGTTAAACAATCTGCTGAGAACAATTGAAGCCACTGGTTATAAATTGGAAAATCTAATCACAGAATCAAGTTTAACTTTGACTGAGCGTAAAAAAATTGAAGATAAATTTCACCAACTTTTACCATCTGTTAAGTTCGTCAAAAGTAAAAGTACAACACATTACCCGTGTGATCTTCTCAAAGATTTTGATAAACTCAACCGAACCAATTATGAAGTTATCCCAGATGAATATAAACAATCAATTAAACCTTGGTATTTGGAGCAATTGAGCCATGAGCGTCGAGGAAAAGTCCTGATTAAATCGGTTTTCATCGATAAATCCATTAAAAGTGATAAAAATCGTAGTGCTTGGGAAAACTGTACACATGAATGGAGAGAAGTCGTTCACACAGGCTTTCAAGAAAAGTTAAAGATTCTCAAAACTCGTCTACAATTTGAACACGGAATTAATATCGTGCCCTATTTGAGTGCCATGAAAATTGATGACTATGTTGATATAATTATGGATTCGTTTTTTGATTTTCTTCGTTATAACAGTGGTTACAGTCCTCCAATCAACTTTCTTTGTCGAGATATTGGCAAAAGATTTGCCAATAAGTATTACGGGTTCTTGAAGACTCTTTACTATGCAGAATGGTTGGATTATTATAAAGATCTATTAGATTATTATCAAGATTCATCAAAACTGGGAAAATATAAACCTCGAGATTACATAAATCATTTAATTGAACGGGATGGTGGAAATATCAGTCCAGATTTCAGTGACTTTCATTTAACGGATAGCTTGCTAAATTCAATTGGAAGATTTTTCTTTGATATAATAATCAGTGAAATCAAATTTGATTCAAAATTCATCTCACCCAAATCAAAGGTTCGAACAAAATTGCCAGTTTTTTTTACCATTTATGGTAATAATGAAAGTCACACTCAAGAAGAGATTCGAGTAAATAAAATCTTCCGAGCTTTCTATCAAACTTTCGAAACTGATGAAATAGCATTTCAGACAAGCTTATTGCCAATGCTAGTCCCTCCAACTCCATGGGTATCAATACAAAATGGAGGATATTTACTCAGTGAATCTGATTTCATCCGTCCGGTTGGAAGTGATGAAGACTCATCCATAAGTCTTGATCTTGCATCTCGACATAACATTTTACCTATTTTTGATTCTTTAAATGCCTTATCAATGGTTGCTTGGAAAATTAATACAAAGGTAAAAGTTAAATCATTCAATTTTTGCCAATTCAATAATTTTTGTTAATTTATCGACTCATTTTCTAGATCTTGGATATTCTCATAGAGCTTTTTCGTGAATGCGGTGATCTCAGCTTGGATATTCCTCTTCATGACTCTAAAATGCCAACCCTTCCTAGTTTTGTTGAGTAAGTAAAACACAACGAATTTAACGCATTAATAATTTTTGTGCGAAAATTTTCATTCACAGAGCCAGAACAAATCAGGAAAGATTTTTAATAGTGCAAAAACGAGGTAGGATAAAACAGGAAAAGGCAGAGATGTACAGTTTATGGTGTGAATGTTTGTATAAATTGTCAATAGCTAATTTCGTAAGTAATTAGTTTAGATTCAATCTTGTTCTTCATACATTTCTGTAAATTTAATTGATTTTTTTTCATTTTGATTCAGCTTCGTGATAGAATATTTTGGTTCCCTTATAACATCGATTTTAGAGGTCGAGTTTATACTTGTCCTCCGCATCTAACTCACCTTGGCAATGATATCTCCAGATCCATCCTTTTATTTGCCAAAGGGAAGCCGTTGGGACCTAAAGGATTAGATTGGTTAAAAATACATTTAATCAATCTTACAGGCTTGAAAAAACGTGAAACCATTGAAACTCGATTAGAATATTGTAATGAAATATTTGATGAAATAGAAGATTCAGCGGATAATCCTCTCACTGGCCGTCGATGGTGGTCAAAACAAGATGATCCATGGCAAGTTTTGGCTTGTTGCATGGAAATTGTTGCAGCTTCTCGATCACCTGATCCAATAAATTTCATTTCACATTTTCCTGTTCACCAAGATGGCTCCTGTAACGGTCTGCAACATTATGCTGCTTTAGGAAGAGATTTAAAAGGTGCTATTTCGGTAAATTTGGCTGCCAGTGTGAAGCCTAACGATGTTTATTCAGATGTCGCTGAATTGGTAGAGCAAGAAAGGATTTCTGATGCTGCTCAAGGAAATGTAATTGCTCAAGCCTTACAAGGCAAAATCAAACGCAAAGTGATTAAACAAACAGTGATGACATTTGTTTATGGTGTAACTGCCTTCGGTGCCAAACATCAAATTCACAAACAATTAAAGGAAATCGACGACTTTCCTGAAGATTTACGTTGGAAGGCATCTATTTATCTAACTAAAAAAACTTTCAAATCCATTGCGACAATGTTCGAAGCTACTCAAGAAATTCAAAATTGGTTTACTCGATGCGCTAAATTAGTCAGCAAAAATTTAGGACTACCCATGGAATGGCGAACTCCTCTTGGATTTCCCGTCGTTCAACCTTATTTTGCTAGTAAAGTGAGTATTCAGTGTTAACTGATTAATCTATTTCCAGTCTTCAACTCATTGTTTATTTATTTATTGCAGGCCAGTCAGAAAGAATTAGATTTAATTTTCCGTAAAAAATTGTAAGTTTTTTTTGCATTTGCCATTACTTTGAATAATATTTAATCAAACTGTTTTGTGATTCTTTATTCAGCATTCCAAATATGATTAAACAACGGAACGCTTTCCCACCGAATTTTATCCATTCTCTGGACTCTAGTCATATGATGTTAACTGCTTTGGAATGCGAAAGACTTGGACTTAATTTTGCAGCAATTCATGATTCTTATTGGACACATCCATGCAATATTGATGTTATGAATGTTGTTTGTCGACAAAAATTTATTGCTCTTCATTCTGTGGACATTTTAGGAGATCTTTCTAAATTCATGGTAGCTCGATATACACCTCAGATTGAAAAAATTGCCTCAAATCCTGAAATTGCCTCTGATGTTTTGAATCTTTTTAAAGCTGTTCCGGCTAAAGGAACCTTTGACTTGACCCAAGTTCAATCTTCTGTCTTCTTTTTTTCATAATTTTGCAAAATTTGGACCTCTCACCGTACGGTGCCTTAATAGTCAAGTTCATTGTTACAAACGTCGCAATCATTGTCCAAAGACTCATTTATTGTTACTATTGATACTGAACATTTTTTGTTAAATCGACACAAAATCATTAATCAAATGTAATTAAAATTCATCAAAAGAAACGATTCTTTATCAAGAAAGGTTGTAAAAAGTTAGATAGTTTATTGTAATTAAAAGTTTTTTAAAAAAACACTTCAAGTGAACGAAAATCAAACAAAAATCCAAGAATTGTGTATTCATTTGGCCAATCTTTCGGTAAAGACCCAAAAGAGCTAAACTTAGAATGAACTACTCAGATGATTAAAATGAATTTGAGCTGAAAAGCTTAAAGAAGTTTGTCAAAAACTTTGACTTTTGAGTTAAGATACTTTTTGGGTTTTTAAGGGCATAACAACTGAATTCATCGACAGTTTTCGAGGAAATTGAGATCAAAGTTTCAAGAATCAGAAATGAACTTATTTTGGGAAATATAATTGTTTTTGTACAACGGATCAGTTTAAGCCAATTATACCTTCCGCTTTCTGTAACCTTGTGATTTAGAGAGCTGAAATTATTATTTTTCAAGAAATTGTTGTATAATTTTGATATTCAATATTTTCTTTTTTTATTTATATTTAATTTAATCAATTCATTAGAATTTAATGCGTTTATGTTAATATTTTATTTTTGTTTTAGATGTTTATGGGAATTTGCGAAAGATTCCTAATAATTTGGTGTTGAAAATGATGACAATGAAAAAATGCAAAAAAAGAGGCGATAATAAGTAATAAGTCGTTTGGATGATGGTGGATGTGCGAATGGTAATGGTAATGAGAGTAAAGAAACATATTAATACCGGTGGCATTGATGACAGGATTAAGCAATTGTGCTATTTGAATGAAGTCTGTTGTGTTTCTTTATCTGTCAATCTTGCTCGATTCATGAGCCATCATTTACATATTAATGGTATCGATATTTTTTTATGCAATCATTACCGAGATCGACTACAATCACATGATAATCATTAGTTGTTGCTAATCCACTGGCTCTTTTTAGTTTAGCATCCATACTGTCAATTGTTAACTTCAAATGACCAGAATAATAATCATACACTTGCACATAAACTTTGCCTCGTTCCGATTTGGTTGCTAAAAGGTGACCCTTTTTATCATAACACAGTCCACCGTAAGTATCACCTTTACCCCAAGAATCGGAGGCAATCTCTCGTAATAAAGTTGATCCATCTTTTGAGTAAATTTTAATCCTTGACTCGGCAACAATAATCTCATCGTCAGGTCCCATGGTAATAGCTCCAATAACACCGAAACCTTTACTGTTTCCTATTCCACTTGCAACATTAGACATTCCACCAGCTTTGCTGGTTCCATTTGCACTGTTCACTAATCTTCGATTGACTTTACCACACGGATGAAAAATGAAAACTGCTTGGGCACCATTGTCAGCGACAATAATTTCACGCTGACTATTGACACATAAATGGGTTGGCTCACGAAGATCACGATGACTAAAGTACCGTAAAACTTTACCAGTATCAGTGAGTTCACTTATTGTACGGGTAGACCAATTACTGACTAGAATTGTACCCGATTCGGGAACCAGGGCCATACCGGTAACCGAACGATCCAGGCCATCAATGTGGGAAACACAGGTAAAGGGTGAATTATTACAATCATTTTGGGACAGTATTTTGACTCGACAGTTTCCTGTATCTAAAACATAAATTTGATCATTTGTCTCACTAATGGCAATTGCCACTGGTTGAAGGAAAGCGTGCTGCTCATTGCCTCTGGATCCATAGATACAGATTGGATTTATTTGAAGAGTTGCCTCAAATTCAAGAGGATAAGTTTTGATTGGACGGCCAAAAATTGACACAAGAAGGCAATATTTTCCTCCTTTAGGTGCTATAAACTGAGCTTCATAAGTACCATCGTTTTTGTCCACTATTTTAACTGGAACATTTGATTCATCGGTAAGACAACGAAGCTCTGCTGTAACCGGATCTCCTCCAAACCTTTGCCTTGAACCAGCATAATCGTAAGTAATTATATTGGCAGAAGTACGAAGCTTGGCAACACATTTACCTATGTTGGCTTCACAGAGAGGCGGGAATGTTTTACTTGATCGAACAGTACCAAAAGAGTTGACTGCAGTTTGAATTGAATTTACAGCTGAATTGTGAAGATGTTCATAACGAATAAAACAATTCTCTCTAGGTTCCAGTAAACCATTGATGGAGTCAATTTTTTCATTAAGCTCTTCAATTTTTTTAGTAATATTTCGCAAGTCCACTTGATGCGAATAATCATCACATTCAGCTTCAATTTTAGCCTTTTCTCCTTCAATCAATCTCAATTGATTTTCTAAGATGTTAACTTTGTCTTGTTTCATTTTTTTCGCAATTGAAAGAACATCTTGACGTCTCCTTTCAACCAAATTAATAATCTCTTGAAATGTACGGTTTATATCCTCAAATGCTTGTTCAGCATTTTGATCAAGCTTGTGGATCTCAGTTGTTACGTTTTCATGGGCTTCATTATATTTGGCAATGCATTGGTGTGCTTTGTACATCAATATTTCGGACATACGTTTAATTGCAACTGCAAAGGGTATTACCTGCAATATCAAGAGGGGAAAAGATAAAAAGATGCAAAAGGTAAAGAACAAGAATGAGTAAGATCAACAGATTGAAAATTGAGTGAGAGAAGAAGAAAGATTAGTGGGAAAAGATGATGAGCAAACAAAATTGAGAAAACAAAGAGAATGAATAAGTTGAGGTTTAAGCAGTAATGCTGTAAGAGAGAAGCCTCTCTGAAAAGAAGATAATGAAAGATATAGTAACGGTAAAATTGTTTCAGAATCTTGTTAACTTACAGTATGTTTACAGTTGATTGTTGAATGAGATCCATTATTACAAAGTAGACAGAAAACAATGTCACAAGTTTCACAAAAGAGAAGCTCTTGGGTCACATGGCTGGAACACTTTGGTATAACCTCTCTCCTTTGACGATTAACCAGATCGAGTAACTGGTTAACCAGAAATGAGGGAGGAAAATTTATAACACCTTCTCTGGGCAGATGGATTAGTTCACGACAGATTGGACACCTAAATGAGCCAATCTCTGGTACTCCGGGTTGACTACAGATAGATTCCAAGCACATTTTACACAAAGTATGGCTACATGTTAACAGTTTAGGTGCGTGTTGACCAGCGTCATAAGTATTTAAACAGGTACCACAGGTGAGGAAACCTTCAGTGAAATCTTCATAATCAATCGAAACCGTTTCAACAAGAGTTGATGTGGTGGTCATCCTCTTTATCTCCTCCACAGGAGCAATTTATGTTGTTTTGGTTGCGTTCTCTTTTCAAATATAGTTATTTTTCATTACTTTCTCCCTTTTCCCAATATATTCTAAAATAACGATAAGAGAAGGAGAGAGGAAAAAGGTAATAAAAACAAACTCAACAGAGTACAACCAAAGAGGGTGATATATTTATATACATATGAATATTCCAAAGCAAGAAGAAAAATGGAGTAAAAACAAAAATTGAGCACAAAGAAAGACAAAACAGACTGAGGATAAAGAAAGAGATGATAAAAAAGACAGAAGATTGAGAGAGAAGGAAAGAGGAAAGAAAGAGAGGGAGAGAAACAACAACAACAAGCTTATGAGTTGTAATTCTTTTTTTTCTCTATTTCCAATCTAAATGAACATAAAGTAAAAAAGCAGAAAAAAAGAGATAGGAAAATACATTACCTTGATAGCCTTTCCCTCTCCAATAATCACAAAAGTCACACAATTTGGTGTAATCCGTAAATGGACAGTTAATTTATCTTGTTACTTGAATTTTTACGATCAAAACATTGAATAACTGAACAACATCCAAAATAAAAAAAGAGAGAAAGAGAGAGTCTAAATGTTACTCTTTGATTCAATCCAAAACATCAGGAAAGCTCGCTCACTTCATTCAAGTGGCGCCCCAACAAAACAAACCTGAGTTGGTCAAACATGTTTTTTTGGTTCCTGAAAAAACGATTATCGGTGATGACGCAATTTCAACGAAAATAATCGATAAAGATCGATCTTTTGGGTATAATCGCACATCTCTAACCTCGTTTATTAATCTACCTTTTTTATTTTATCTGATTACTGAAATTATCCTGCAAGAGTATTACAACACATTCTTTAAAATATCGAGTGGAATGGATAAAATCAAGCAACAAGGTATGAAAAATGATTTTCTTCGTTTCCAACCAGAACCAACTTGAATAGCTTGAACTACACAGTCTTTGTTCATGGTTGTGTTACATCATATCATATTCATTGGTTAACAACTCATACAATCTTTTCCTCCAGCCACAGAGCAATGTTGTCTATTCCATATTAAAATACATATGTAATCGATAAATAGACATTTATTGAAGATACTCTCGTTGGCAACAAAGGTAGACGTTTTAAAACCACTAATTAACTTAAAATTAATGATATCAACTGAGGACTCAGTATAACTCAACATTGATTCTTGTTTTGACTAAACGTTTTTTTCATCTTTTCAAGGTTTGAATGAGCGTCTTATGATATGACACCTCGATTCCCAAGATTGACTTGTGACTGTGGGATGGACAAAAGATATTATCTTAATGGTTACAGAAAAGTATGTTAAAAAGCTAATATGAGCGTTTCAAGTACGTTTGCTGAATTTGAATGGTCAAACAAAACAAAGTGGTGCAAAAGCTGAGGGACTAGAGAAACCTGCTAAATGGTAATGGAGAACCAACATTTTCAATTTCTTTGTCTTTTTTTGTGTTTTTTGGCAAAATAGATTAGGCTCTATCAACTTCTTTATGTTCAACTCTCTTTTTCTCATCATCTTTTCTGTCTTCCCTCATCATCTCTTTCTTTTTATCTCACACACTTTCTTTCATAGATTTATGATCTTCTCCCGCCTTGCCTGATAAAAAAAATTTAAGTATGTTCCTCTTTTTATTACCTTCTTCCTTGCCGTTTATCCCACCATACTTAACCTTTCTTTGTTTTATCCGATTCTCGTTCCGTTTAATATTTTTTCCTTTCCTCATTTCAATTCAATACTTTTTTATGGTTTACTTTTATTTTAAGATTATTAATGAAATAATTATTTAAGTAATTGAGTAAACGAATAGCAAATAGAGTCTGACTTTGAGCAAGAATTATGTTCCATTCTTCTTATAAAATATTTTTCTCTATTCAAACAGGTCAATAGTCTACCTTGATGGCAATATGTATTATCTTGGATGTCTTATACCTTACAGCTTTATCACCAGCAATAATGATTATAAATTGATCAGCATACTAATTCCATTCATGCATTATCTTCAAACAATATTCTATTCCTGGTAAATACTTTTTTTCAAAATTTAACCTCTTCTCATCTTTTGATTGTCATTATTTATAATTTTTGTTACTATTGTTTTATTTCCTTCTTTCTCTTTAGTCTATTCAATTGATAATCTGGTCTGTTACTATCATGTGTCCATCAATGAACCATTCAAGGTCTTTTATCATCAACATCATGATCCTCCTTCTCCTCACCATCATTTCCAGCCTGTTTTCAAGAGAGTCATTCCTATTATTATTACAATCTAGCTGATTATGTATGAGCCTGTAACCATAATCTTCTAATGATGAAAAGACCGTTTAATTACTTCTAAACTTCTTTTACTTCATCATCAACTTATCTTGTTTCTCTTTCTTTCTCCAAACATCTTACCTTCCCAAAAAGAGAGAACAGAAAGAGAAAAAGATTGTGAAAAAAGTAAAAGATGATGAGGATGAGAAAGGAGGAACAAGAAAAAACATTGTGAGGTAAATATAAATATATGTAGTCATGTTTTGTGTACAGTAGTAACCAGTAAAAATTAGTTTTGGGTAGTATTTAATTTTTAAGTCAGCAAAGACTGAGCAACAAAAATATGAGCGCATAAATGCTTCACTTGAATATAATTGAGCGGTTTTAACTTTCACAGAGTAACTCAATATCTTGGATACACCTTGACACTTTAGCGCAATCATGGTAAGACCATTACCATTCATTCCCCGACTGAAAACCTTTTTTTCCTCTGGTTAACATTTCTAACGATTTCCTTTCTTTTCTCCCTTTTTTTCTTTAGTCATTCCAATGAAATGTCAACTGGAAAAATTAAAGAAGGGAAATAATACAAAATAGTTGCGTTCAACAAGAATCAAGGAGTACAACGAAGCAATAGGAAGATGAAATAATAACTTTACAAACAAACCTCTCAGTAGGCGCATTTGTTTTTCACGGATAATTTGCATTCAGGGTGGGTCTACATTTTATACTTCTCGCCATCCTCATCATCCTTATCATCAGTCATCCCATCATCTTTATTTCTCTCACCTAGTTTCTATTTTGAAGAAAATTTAAAAGCTTTTCCTTCTCTCTCTCTTTACAGCCTTTGGTCCACCTTTGGATTGCAACCCAATCTTTTTTGGTCTTCAAAAGTTATTTAAACAAGTTTAACGCCGTTAATAATCAAACTGATCAACTGTACAAATATTATAATCACACCAAAGTCAATTAATTACACCAAAGGCAAATGAAAGGCAATGGAAGAGGCAGCAACGGTGCAATGGCGTTTCTTTCAAGCCCATTCTGGAAATATTGATGAATAAGTAAACCAATTGAAAGAAACTTTCCATTAATATTTGCTGTCTTCATACTAACTGAATCTGTGTAGTCAATAATTCAATCGATTTGATGATTCAATACTTTCTCAAGCCATTTATATTCAAACAAAGCTCAGCCTTTTGGAAGATGGAAACAAAAATTGATTGTCTGCAGAAACAGAAATCATCGTTAATCATTTAAATATGCATGTATGGTCATGTTTGGTTAAAATGCACTCGGATGTGGTTACAAAACAAAATTAAGATCAATCATGTTGATTAACGCTGACAATTTAAAATTTCTCCAACAAAAGTCATTAATCTAATAATTATACGAAACAACCTGAAGACAAAATGAAGGACAATTTGCATGAAAACATTATAATGGGCAATCATTTGATTAATAATCTCATTTAGATTTTTAATGATTACTCTTGTCGCATTTTTCAATTTGAATAATTTTACCTTTACATTTCAAAATTATGTAACTGATTACCGATCTTAGATCAGGTTAAATTGTTTTTGGTTAGACTGTTGATCAATAATGACGATGATCGACATATCATCTAATTTGACTAACATCAATCATTTAATGGGAAGTGTTAAACAACAGGAGCAACAACAAAAAGCCAAAGTATTAAATAAAATAAAGGATCAAATATGGGTTAGTGTATCAGGCCAGGGAAGGGCTTTGTCTGTAAAATACAGATTGATCAACTAATTGAGATAATTGTGATAACCATATAGCATCATGAACATGAAAAGGCCAAAAAATTAACTCTTCAATGTTCAAATCGAGCTGCTAATTATGAGCAAAACACAAATCTTATTTAGCATGGAAAGTAAAGGCTTAACAGTGAAGAAAGAAATTAGCTGAAGGCTCTTTAATGATGATGATTATGATGTTGATGGTGATGTTGATAGTGATTTGGATGCGTTACAATAAATTTATTTATAAATATTTTTGTAACAAACATTTTATAAAATTGTTAATATTGAAAAATCACTTAACCTAATCACCTGATCTTTCTGTTAATCTATCTCACCATTTATCCTGGGTTATCCTAAGTTTAAATTGTTGAGTCCAATGAAGCTATCACTTGAAGCCATTTTTGTTAATTTTAATTTTATTTCGAATAATGTTAATTAAGGGAAGCAACAAATCAATTCACTTTTCATACCTGTATCAGTATCTTATTCAAGTTGACTACCAATAATAAACATTAAACGTTAACATGCCAATCTACTATCAGCATATTAATTGTTTACTTTCTTAATACCAATAATATAATCATCAAACTAAATTGCTATCTACTGTTAATAGCTGAAAAAAGTGAATATATTTGGTTTACGTATTTTATTAGAGAGAAACCAATTGAACTCGAATTTCATTTTTACCTTGTTTTGCCTTTTAAATTGTTTTCATTTTACAAATGTGAATCAAAATTGACTTGAATTTTGATTGTCTTGGTTACTTGAATCACGTAGAAACGTGCAATCAACTACAATCAACCATGATGATTAAGTTCCTAATGTTAATAACCTGTAATACATAGCATTGTGTTTTATTGTAAATTTTAAGCAAAATTTTTGTTTTTTGAGACTTTTAGCACTTCTTCAAACCTAAAATAAACTTGACTTAAATAAAGTTTTTAATTAATTTTCTTTTTCTTTTTGCATTCGTTTTAATTTTAAATATTTGTTAAACTGTAAGCTTAACAATCAGATGATTGTAAGTGTTAATATGATGTAAAATAAGAGCTATTATTGTATCAAAATTGTAATGTTTACGTTTCATATCTCAACAGTTTTTACACAAGGACTAACCCAATGCAAACCCAATTCTTGGCTTTGAAAACCAAAAATTTCAGCTGAAACTTATTATTTGTCGATATAAATTGTTGGTGCAAACGACCGAACACTTTTTTCAATTTATTAACAGTTCTCTTGATTTTGGCCATTGACCTCAAAATTTTGAGCCTCGATATTTCGAGATTAGTTGCACCTGCAATCATCATTCCTTCACCAATCATTAGATTTTGGTTATTGGCTATACATGGTTTGATATCATCACTGAAATTTCTGGTTGCATGCTTTATACTATCAAATATAATACGTACTAATAATAAATAGTTAAAACCTCAGAATTTACAAATGCTTCAATTGATTCATTTAATGGAACCACTCTAAAATATCAACAGAATATCCACTGGTTGAATTATGTGATGCAATTCGATGCAGAGATAGAGACAAAATAAAGAGAAAATCAAAATTTGTTATCAAACAAAACTTAATTTCAATTTACTAATTAAAATCAAAATCAAATGAAGTTACAAACTCAATTTTAAGTAGGTGTCAGCGCCATCTATTATTGTTCTGTGCATTTAAAGATCAGGATTGAATACTGAGGTTCTATAGTGCAGCTGGTAACTTGCAAGTGGCAACAGAAGGCTACAAGTTGTTACCTTAGTTTACTTTTTTTTGGTAATGTTTGTTTAATTTTTGTTAATTGTTTCATTCTAATTTGTGCGATTTGATTTAAATTTGTATTAAAATTTCTTTCATTAATCTTAACATGATCCAGACTCCAGTGATGATGCAAAATGATGGTTCAACAATGATTCCTGTTGATGCATCGAGTGCAACTTATGAAACCATGGATTATATGATGATGAACAATCTAACCGCCAATGCCATAAACAATTATAATGAGGTAAGTCAGTTCGACTTTTGTTGTCTATCTCTATTCTGAATTTTTAATACTAGAAAAATTGAAATGAGAAGTAAAATTATCACTAAGGTTTTATGAAGCAACTATTAATCATGTTTTTTACTTTGTATCGCAGGCTCAAGGCTCTGAAGAATCGAATGATATTGTGAGTCAAGGCTTACCACAACAATCAAAAAAAGGTTTAAAAGCTAGTAATGTCTTACCTTTTTGGGGAAATGAGAGGACTATGAATCTAAATCCTTTACTTTTAACCAATATTAAAAACAGTCCCTACTTTAAGGTCAATTTGTACGCCTTGAAAACATACCATGAAGTCATTGATGAAATATGGACTCAGGTCAAGCACATGGAACCATGGGAAAAAGGATCCCGAAGGGTATGTTAATTGTTTGACTGTATAAACGCATTGATCATAATTTTAATAATCTCTTTCTTTGTTAAGATGGGTGGACAAACTGGAATGTGTGGATCTGTCCGGGGAGTAGGAGCCGGTGGTATTGTTTCAACTCCTTTTTGTATTCTTTATAAATTGTTCACCCTTCGTTTAACTAGGAAGCAGGTAATGGGCCTTATTAAGCACAAGGATTCACCTTACATTCGAGCAATTGGACTAATGTATATTCGATACACCCAGCCTCCTGAATCATTATGGGAATGGCTCTCTCCTTATCTAGAAGACACTGAGGAATTTGATGCCAAAGCTGGTGGGGGCCAGAAAATGACTATTGGTCAAATGTGTAGACACTTGTTAGTAAAACTAGAATGGTTTTCAACGTTATTCCCAAGGATACCCGTACCTATCCAGAAGGATATTGAAACTAAACTCCATGAACATGATCAAGGTAATTGGTCGAAAAATGGTGATAATTACGAGGATGGTGAAGTTTACGGTGACGGCGAAGAAGAAAGCGAAAGATATAATGATAATGATAATAAACAAAGAAGCCATGAAGATGACGATGATTATAACTACCACAATAAAAAAAGACAATACAAAAGTGGTGTTAATCGTCATAGAAGTCGATCTCGTAGCAGAGAAGATTTTTCACGTAGGACTTATGATGATTCTAAAAGTAGATCTCGTGATTTTACTCGCGATTCGTCGCCAAGTAGAGGTAGAGATCGTTCACTGGATAAATACAGGCTAAAGTCCCCGAGACGGTCATTAGATAGATCAGGAGCTAGGTCAAGGAACCGATCTAGAGATAGATCTCGAGAAAGATCACGCGAAAGATCACGCGAAAGATCTCGAGAACGATCACGTGAAAGATCCAGGTCTAACGATAGACGCAAACGTCATCGTTCCCATCGCTCACCCAGTGACAGGAAAAGATCTCGAGATCATAAACATAAACATAAAAGGCGACATTAAAGCTTATTTTCAAATTCTCACAAATGTAATTGCTTAACTCATCTGTATCTCATCAGCCCAATTTGATTGTATAAAACATTGACATCAAATAAAATGAAAATAAAACAACCTGTTCGAAAAATTTACAAGTTATGTGCCCAGCTTTTTTCCACCAACCAAACCCACCTTATTCACCAAATCATCCACCACTACTTTTAAGATAACTTTCCTTAACTACATCGCCCCACACTTTATGAAGGGATTTTTATCCTTCACTATTTTCCCAGCACACCTTCCATTACTTTTATAAATCATATTTTCCACAGCCAGAATTTACTAATTTCTTGTCTTAAAAAACAATTTTATTGAATCAGTGAATCAGAAATTTTCAGCTTAATCATTTTGATCCATTATAATGTATCAATATTCATTATTTGCAGATTCATTTAATTTTCGTTCTTTATTTAGTTGATTATTATTTCTTGCTAAGTGGTTGGCCTTTTTCCTTTCCTCTGAGCTTCATGCCGAGGTTTCTTTCCATTTTAGCGAGAACCTGTTGATTTGGAATGGCTTTACCGTTCTCATATTCAGTTACAACTTGAACTTTTTCACAAATTTTGGTTGCAAGATCTTTCTGGGTCCAACCTTTATCTTGACGTGCCTTCTGAATCAATTTACCAACATCAAGGGGAACTGTATCATGGTGGAGATTTTCAGTCTCTCGGTCAAGTTTTGCGGTATTCAAGGTGGTTCCATGCTGTTTGTTTGTAGCAGCATTGAATTTCTTTGATGTCTCAATAGGTATTCCTTGTTTTTGAGCAGCATTTATTGCCTTACTTGTTTTCATTGAAGCTGGCTTCTGTGGTCGTTTCCTAAGAACGGTAACTGTATCCCAGTCGCTAGTAGACATCTTTGATTGCGAGAAAGTGAGGCTAAACAAAAAAGACAGTAAGGCAAATAAATCAGAGATGAAGGAAAAACATCAACAAAATTAGCAGTGTAGAAAAAAATTATCTTAAATATTACTCACACGTTGAATCGATTGATATAAGTGGTTGATTGTAGTTGAGTGGTTTAGAAATTGATTAAATTTAGAACAATATAGGACAGAAACAGTCAACAAAAGCAAATTGCAAATCAATTGCGGAATTAATACATGAATTGTAAAAAATCGTAAATAAATGTAAACAAAAATGGAATGGCTAATAGATGGCGATACCATTTACTCCTTTTTGTCGCGATTTATAAATTTGCAAACCAATTTAAAAAGTATTATAATTTAAAATATTTATTTTCATTTCGTGCTTAAAGTCTTATCAAAATGTAGTCAACGAATTTGAGAACAATAATAGTCCAAAATCAATGTTTTACCTAAATCTGTGCGTATTTCATAAATCTGTATCAAAATCAATCAAAGAAAAAATTTTACCATGAAAATAATGAAATTCAAGTTGCATCGAGTTGTTTACATTGCAAATTAACTTTATTTTAATCTAAAGCAAGGCAATGAAATCTTTCAGTTGATTATCTTGTCTGAGATTTGTTGATTTGTTTATTTATTTGTTTTAAAGATTTAAAACGTTTTTATAGTGAATGTGTTTCTTTGTTTTGGACTTTGATTCAGCTTGATTGTTCCAAGTTTGACGCCATTTTCATTTATTTAGTCTACAATCAAGAAAAATAAAATTAAGAGCCTCAAACATGCGCATCTTTTGGTTGATAATGAAAATGATAGATTTTTAATAACTTTGAGCAATTAATCACAGCTCTACATTATGATTAACAGAGGATTGCAAACTCTAGACTTTAATTTTATGCATCCAAATTGTAACAGTATCTCGATTCCTACTTAATATATCCTTGAATCTATTTTATACATCTAAAAATGTCATTTGAACGAAATAAAATCTAATTTCTATCCAAACAATATCAATAGATGGCGTTTTGTATAAACATGTAACAAAAAGACACTTAAATTCTTGAATTCCAACCATCATATGTTCATGTCAAGTTACAAGACATCTGTGATTGAAAGAAAGTAATATTTACTCACTTTTTTGTTATCGTTTTGCCAACGAATTGTTATTATTTTTTTGATTATTTCATTATGAATGAATTGGCTGCTCAAAAGGATGAAATTCTTGCTATAAAAAGTATTTTTGAGAGCGATGACCTTATGCTAGATGAGGATTGTCGTCGAGGTGTTTTCTTGGCCAGCCCAGTTATCCCAAATCCACCTTTAACTATTACCTACTCTGGATCATATAAAAAACAAACCGGCGATTGCTTAGGCCCAGCTAGAAAGTTCATCAATGATAAATGTATTGGAACTCTTCAAGTCAACTATTTACCTCCACTTGAATTTAGATTTGAACTTCCTGACAAATATCCATCTACGTGCCCACCTCGATTCCTAATTTCATGTGATTGGCTTGGTCCTGCTGATGTTTCCAAAATTTGTGAACATCTGGATCATTTGTGGCTGGAAACAAAGGGTGAAATTTTATATCTGTGGTTTGACTTTCTTCTTCATGATCTCATTTCTTTTCTCGAAATTCAATCAAACTTGGATATCACCGAATTACAACGTTCCTCTGAACCATGTTCACCTTCACGTTCAAAGCACCTGTCCAATGCTAATGGGTGCAAATTTTACGATAAAAGAGCCACAACAATTTACCTCGGAGACCAATTGCTGGATAGAATCAAACAATACGATGTAGCAAGGAAAAAAGAAAGCTTTTCAAACTCTAAAATTGACTGTGAAATTTGTTTTATGTCATTCTTTGGTTCTGAAACCGTTTCATTGGGCTGTGATCATTATTTTTGTGAATCCTGTATAAAAACGTATCTTGAAACATGCATAGCTGACGGTCAAGTTTACTCGTTAGTGTGTCCAGCTGATGATTGTGATGCCTCTGCACAACCTGAGCTTGTTAAAGCTCTAGTTAAACCCGATTTATATCGTAAATATGATTCAATACTCTTGAGCTCAGCAATTGGCAAATTTGACGGAGTTATTTATTGTCCCAGAAAATTTTGCTTAAAACCTATCATTACTGAACAACAAAATCCAGACACAAATAAACTGATTCTTTGTCCATATTGTGATTTTGCCTTTTGCTCATCATGCAAATCATCTTACCATGGAGTTTCCCCGTGTAAGGATTTTGCAGACGAAAAGGAAAAAGAGTTTGTCCTTCGTGAATATGAAACAGGATCTGCTGAGCAAAAAAGAAGCTTAGAAAAGCTTTATGGCAAACAATTTTTGACTCAACAATTAACTGAGTTTATGAGTCGATTGTGGTTAAAAGAAAAAAGCAAACAATGTCCAAATTGTTTCTTTTCTATCGAAAAGATTGATGGATGCAACAAGATTCATTGTTTTAGATGCAATGCTAACTTTTGCTGGTTATGTTTAAGTAAATTGCGAAGCGATTTTCCATATTTACATTTTCGAGACACAAAGTCTCCTTGTTATGCCAAACTTTTTGAAGGAGTTATCCAAGATGAGATTGAGGATGGAGACGATGAGGAGTGGGAAGAAATGGATGAATTATTTATCCAAAACCTAGTACAATAGCATCAATCTTCAATTTAATTCATAACTTGACACAATCGATTGAACGTTTGCTGATTTAACCGGTGAAATATTTATGATCAATTTACAAGAAGGAAAAAATCATTGAATTTTAATATAAACCTTTTGAAATCAACTTGCTTTTTTAAATTCGTTTAAACATTCAACAATAAATTTGATTTACAAATATATTAAAATATAATCATTTCATTGAGGCAATCAAAAATTTAATATAAACTGATTGCAAATATTGTCAACTATGTGAAAAAGTGACAAACATTGACTAGTTGGAAATTTTGATTTCCAAGTCATTAGGGATTTACCAAGGAATACCAGGACCATGAATCAGGTGGTGAATACCAGGTTTGTTGAAAATTTGCCCTCTACTGATTAGATCAAGCAAGGGGAATCGAATCACTCTGCAATTAAAGTTAGAAATAGCTTTGAAATTAAAATACAAAAATGGTGACACTTGAGTTAATTTTTAGGTATCGTCATCTCGATCATATTAAGTTTCTAGAGATAAAAACAATTCAATAGGAAACTGGATAAAATAGTCTCATCTTATTACGACCTAACCACTAATGGCATGTAAAATATTTCTTACTTGATAAGTAAACGTAAAGCCTGAAAAGGGGTTTGAATGAGAGAGGTGTCATTGGATAGAGGATGTTGTTAGTACTTACGGCGGATGCTTGAGATTATCAGTTGAAATCCTTATGTGAATTGGTGCAAGTAAGTCGATGATGTTCCCAAGCTGATGAGGTATTGGTACTCTAAAGAGTATGGTATGGCCAGGAGTCAGAAAGATGGACAAGAAGAGCACAAAAGAAACCACTTTATTCATTTTCAACAGAACTTGCAGAAACTTTTAACTCGAGCACTTTACGTTCACGTTTACTGTACTTCAATTGAGCTTATTATGAAGGAGAATTATTTTTATAAGACAATTTAACGGCTGGTTTATTGGGCTTGGAATGAATCATCCAGAAATGGACAATTGTAAAAATTATGTCTACCTATTAATTAAAATTTAAGGTTGAATTTTAGGTAGTTTGGGTGTTGATTAACTGTTTAAGTTTACTTGTTGATGATGAACATTTTAATAAACATCATCATTAAGGTAAATTTAATGATTGGGAAGTAATTTGTGGCACCTATTAGAGTCATTATCTTGAATTTAAACAAAGAAATTAGTTTATGTTGATCTTGGTTACATGCAATTTAGAGTTGAGCAATCTAAATTATGGTCAAAGTCTCTAACTATTGATAAACATCTAATGAATTGCTTTCTCCCTGTAGAATCAAAACTGATTAACAATTTAAAATGAGCAAAGATTCATCATTCAAATTGTTAAAGGCCTTAATCAATTTTGACTTGAATTCAACCAAACCATTTTACGTTTTTTTTTCATTTCAGCAAAGGTTAGTTGTTTCATTAAAATATAATCAAATAGCTGTTACTCAATTACCCATTGATTTAATTGTGTTAAGGGAAAGCAGAATGAAACGATTTAACACTCTATAAGCTCTAATCACTTATTAATTTCTCAAATTTTTATTTTTCATATTCATTGTTTTTATATTTTACACCAACCATTGCAATCGTATTCATAGCTGTGTAAAATTCACATTTTACACAATCAACAGGTTAAAGTGATAGAAGGATTACAATTTAGGAAATGGGTATTATTATGGATAATGATGGAGCTTAAATAATGAGGTTGATGTTACTGTAACTGATAAGGAAACAGCCTCATCGGTTACAATCCTTAACCTGGCAGTTGGTCAGTTAATGATCTTGTTAAATGAGATAGGCAATGTTCATTGATATAAAACAATTATAATTGGAGAATAAGTTAATTGCGGTCTCAATTAGTGTGGTCATTCTCACTTTGAATAATGAAATTAGTTTATAATTTAAAATATATTTCACCATGTAAACATGTAATAATATCATGATAATATCCTAATTCAATGACTGTAGTTTTATTGTAACCAAAATTACAAAAGAAAACAATTTCAACGAATTGAAGATTAATAGTAAAATATTATATTATAAACAGATATACAGCAATAGATTATAAAGATCAAAAAACAATTAAACTGAAACAGCAGCTTCATCCAGAATCTCTGCCAGCCTTTGCTTGTTTGCTTTAAGTTTATTTGGATCTCGACCTGGACTGCTTCGATGGAGAAGCTCGATAGCACTAACATATTCCTGGGCTTGAAATTGTGGTCCTCTTTCCTCAATTAGGGCAAGAATTTCTTCGGGTGATGAATAGAAAAGCTCAAAATATTGTCTGGCATAATCTAGAGCAACTTCTCGACTCATTGTGATGCTGGTTAAATTTTGTTGAATGGCGAAAATGTTGCGGCACATTTTTTTAACTCCATTGTGGTTGATTCGATCGATTGAAGAAGCACTGTTGATTAAAATTGTGGCCACAAGGTGAGAGACACCTTCAAAAACATACTTTAATTTCCATTGTTGTAATGACAGGCTAAGTGCTTCATCAACGCTGGACAGATCTTTATTTAACTGGACAACTTCAACATCAGGTTCTTGAGCATCGATTCCAGGAGCAAAGTTTCCCTTTGTAACTCTTAAAAGATAGTAGAAACAATGAACTCGAACTTCAAGATGAAGAACAAGTAAACAAGTTTCAGATAACTCTTCAAATTCTCGTCCAATCTGATTGAGGGCAGCAATCGAAACGTCAGCTAAATTTACAACATCAATCTGATGTTTTTGCTGACTTGATTGACCACTGGGCATAAGTTGAGCCTTCAAAAGGTTAGAGTCATTTTGAGATTTAGATAAACTAGTTGCTAGTGAGAAAATATGACTAGCAAGCCATTCAAGACTTTCTTGAAGTTGACCAAGTGATTTGAGCTGTGAAACATCTGAAAGAATCTCATGGCTAGGAATAAGAGTGTCTTGTGTCAAATTACTGGCCAAAATTTCAGATTCCTTTTTATTTCTAAGCCTAATAACTTCAGGAGATTCATCAAATGTCATGGAGGAACCAATAGCAGCCAAGTTTCGACCACGAACTTCACGATAAGGTTTTTGAGCACCAGGCCAATTAGGTAAATCTTTGAGAAATCGACTGATATCCTCATCTTTAGCCCAAGTTGCACTAATTATTCGTTTGTCTTCAGATTCAGGTTGAACAATACCGCGATAGGCTGATGAACACGACTCTTTGAAACTGGATAACAGGTTACAAATGAAGGTTAAAAATTCGTCAGCATACATCGGTAAGGCAAAAATGAGATTTTTCAAATCTTGACTTGCTTTGTCAATAATAAGAGCACTCTGCAAAATGGGTCTACTTTGATTTAATTTGTTCATCATATCAGGATCATTAACAATTCTCCAGGCATCCAAACTCTTATTTGAAGTATCCAAAATACGATCCAGATCAATCTTGATTTGATTGAAAAATAATTTAACACAGCTAATCAAATACGAATAGAGCGGGCAGTGATTATCTTCTTCTAGATTGAGTTCATCGTCAATATCAAAGATAAATCTCATCAAAGGATTAAAAAAGACAACAATGTTTTCTGCGGCAGGCTCACAAACAAGGTATTGTTCTGTCTCACTAAGAGATAAATCGATTGAATCCATGGCATTACCACCACTTCTCTCTGCTTTCATCGCCTCTTTTTGTTCTTGAAAATAAGCATTCAAACTCATTGCATGGGATGAAGAATCAAACTTGAAAAGAGGTGTTTTCTTTATCTTATGAAAACTATTGCCAACTGTAACACTTAAAGCGGGTCTTTTTCGCACAAAATAACTATTGAGATCAGCCAGAGAAGTTGACGAATGCGTTAACATTTTGCTATCTTGAGAAGCTGCAGCAATACTTTTTTCGATTGCATTGGTTCCACTAATGTCAAGATATAAATCGGCAACCATTTGTAAAACAGATTGAATTTTTGTCCAAAGATCAGCAGAGTTATAAAACACTATTGAACTATTTTGCAGATCACATTGAACGATTGCGTTCTTCAAGCACGGAAGGAGGATATTTTCATGCAATGTAACCACAACTCGAAATTGTTGGAACAGTAATTCAAATAACTCCTGTAACAAATAGGATCGATGTGTTTCGTCCTTCAAAATTAATGAGCACCGCAAACAAACAGTGATAGGGCCATTATTAAAAGTAATATTTGCATTGGAATTTTGGTGATTTATGCCTCCAATCAATTCCCGTGCGGTCCGTTTGACTAGATTGACCAGTTCTTTCTCTGTTCTGTCTTTAATCACCTATTCGATGAAAATTAGATAAAATATATAAATAAGTGGTGAAAAACTTGAAATAAATTACTTATTCAGGATATATGTAAGACAAATACCTCAACTGTGTCTGGAATTTTGCCTAATAAACATAGACAGTCAATGATTAGACTGATGAAATTTTTACTGTCATTTTCAATATCAGTTTGGTTGTCGCTTTGTCCTTCCTGGTTGGTCGTTTCGTCTGTTATGTCTGTTTGTGAACTCAAATTTGGACGGCCTACAAAGACAATAAAAATGATTAATTTTTCATAAATAAATAAATTAAATAATAAGATAAACTTACGACGAATTGATAGGTTACTTTGATAAAGTGCCGGTGACAAAATATCAGCAATTGACACTTTGCGAGATGGTAAATTTCCATCTTTTCGTCTTTCGGAAGCAGTTCTTTTGAACTTTTTAACCAAATGAGCCGTCGAACGAGCGTAGACATGTTTGTGCAATTCATCAATCAGCATATTATATATTTGATCTTTCCTGGCAATCAGATCAGATTTAACCTCCTTTAGGGCTTCTACATGTTGCAAATTGGATTCTAGTGAAGAAATAGAATCAACAAGAAGTTGAGAGGCTTGAAGATATTTCCTCTTTTCCACCAGGTCAGTTACTGTTTCTGGAACCCGTGTTACATTTTCGACTTCATTCAAAAGTTCAAGAACATGACGATTTTCGAGTGATTCTCTCCATAATTTGCGAAGCTCGTCCTTTTTGCATCTCAACAGGTCTTTGCAAGTAATCAAATTTTCTTTCATGCTTTTGCATCTTTCCTTAGCATCTTTTAGTTGTGTAGACACTTTGCTGAAAGCATTCATGACTGCCGTCAAGTCGGAGTGATGATTTACGATCAATTGGTCTAGCCGCGCATCACTTTCACCAAAATCCCTTTCAAGATTAGCCTTTTCTCGATCTCTTTCGTCCACATCTCGACTTGCAGTTAAGGATCGGATGACAGACATTAAAAGTCCAGTCTAGATAAAGAAGAAGGTAAATAGATCAATAAAAAAAATAAAAATAAATGTAAACAAATCTTACCGAAGATTCTTTGCTCATTGATCTAGCCATTCTCGGTGGTCTTTTGGGTTGATTATCTGACATCATTTGGATTCTCCTTTTATATTCAAGAGTAACTCAGTGTTACCAAAGAAACGCACTGATAAAACATTAAATGGTGTAACTAATTATGATTAAAATTGAAGATAATAATGAATATCACCTTACACAAAATGGCTGACAAACATCAGCTGATGAGACTCCCAATACTCACGGTAATTCTCACCGCATCCATTCAACTACTCTTGATAAGTTTTGGGCGTGCGTCTGTCCATAATTTAATGTAATTTCAAATCATTTGAAAACTAAATCTGGTTTTAATTCAATTTTTAAGTAACTTTTATAGTGTGATATAAATTGAAAAATTTTGAATTTTTTGTTTCAATTTAAGGCAAAATTGAAAAAAGTCAAAACTTAGCAGCACATTATTTTTTATTTCTAGATTAGTTACAATCAAATATAAAACTATGGAATTGGCCTTTTTTAATTGACGACCCATTAATATTGTTATGATAAGGTTGAATATGAAAACGAGGGTTCTTAATTTTCCAATTAATAGTGTTTCTTTCATCGACTACTACCTGAATATTGTTTGATCCACCAACACCAGAAATTGCAGTAAGCTCTTTGCTGTTATTTCGCCAGTTATTATGTTTAAGAATCATAATTAGAGAATAACGTATTTTCGGTAGAAGATGTATGCATGAAGATAAAATTATTTGATAGATTGATTGATGGGACAAAGAACCATGGATTAATCGCCGGGTAACTGAAAAAATTCTCTCGCTTCCAGCAACATACCATAATTGAAGATTGATCAATGTTTTACCAATAGACAAATGATGAAAATTGGGGGTAAATATTCCTATGCCAATAAATCGAACCTGTTGATCGACAATTAAGTCTATTTGATGGACCTCTTGAGGATAAGAAGTAACCATAACCATTTTTGAAGATTTAAATCTTTCCGCAACCATTCCTAATGGTGATCGTGGTGTAATTGGAAAGGGAATTGCAGGTTTTGGATTATCTAATAGGTAACTTAAAATTAATTCATATTCACTCCTTTTTAGAGCCAAACCACTTCTATTAACTGTTACCAGTTCAGGTATTTTCATCAGTGGAAATCTGATTCGATCAAAAACTGGTCCTAAAAGGGATCTAAATGAATGCATACACAACACTGTATTTGTTAATTCACAACGATTATTGGCCCATTGTAATAAGGCCGTGAAAAGTGTCCATTCGTTGATTCTCAACGAATCTCGAGCGACGATCCAAGTCAATATGCGAGAATCACATTTGTAAAGAGCAGGCCTCAAAATAGCTGAAATTCCGTATTTGTCGATAATTGATAAACACCTTTCCTGGATAATTTTTAGCTGGGTACACGAGTTTATATCAAAATCAGTGATTTTAATAAACTGACTCAGGTAATCTAAAGCTGTTTCAGATTTAAGTTTGAAAATTATGTATCGATAAATGGTTTCTGTCAGCCCGAAAAGTCCCAAACGTGATGATAACAAAAGAGTTTCGATGCAATGATCCGATTTGATGTCCAGTCTTCCTTCATAAAAATAATTTAAAATTGAGATTACTGATTGTCGATGATAAGGACCGATAGTATTTGGTAGAGAAGCCATGAACAATAAATATCAAATTAACTGCTTAATTGCCCCAAGACAAATCACTGGATTCACTGGATTCTAAAGGATAATAACTTACATCAAATCGGCTACTATAGAAACAACTTGTGAAGTTAGAATGAAATAAAACAATGAGGTATAATATATTAAACCTTGATGGAATCTTTATTGACAATTAGTTCGCCTAAGAAGGTATCGGATTAGGGTTGATTGGAGTCATTGTTTCATACTGGGCGCAAATTGCGGAAGCGATTGTGTTGTGGACATGGGCAAGATTTGCTTGCCATTGGGTTAGAGTGTCTCGTAATTGTTGCCACTGTTGTCGTCCGAATGTTCGATGCATTGTGGAGGTGACCGAAACTTTTTTGTTAACTTGATCTACTTTTGCCTTTACTAACTTGGTTCGCAAAACTGTGAAGAAAGGGTGATGTGATGAAAAATGAAAAAGGGTTAGAATGTTATGCAGCTTTTGATAGATCAGAAAGTGACTTACCGTCAATGACAAATGTCTCTACATCTTCATCTCCCAATTGTAATTCCTCCTTGATGGTCTGAAAAGAGAGTTCTTTCTTGTTTTCGGCCATCTGCATGAAAGTCAACAGTCTCATTTTATGCAGATTCTGTTCATGGGACAATCCTGAATTTTCAATCAAAGCCTTGTGTGAGTTATAGAATTTGATGTATCCATTGAGTTTATCAGATACAAAAATAGTGAGAAGATCATGAATTGCCTCGCCCTCAAGGAATTTGACTGGCTTGAGGGTTAAAAGATGATCCATTAGAAAAGTGTTTGGGTTCGAGATGAAGGAAACGATGCAACGGTGAGCATCGGTCCGTGCTTGAGATGCAGTGGCCTCAGTGTAGGTTCCTAACAATTCGATCATCACTTTAGATGCTTCGTGGCTGAATAATCAAAGAAAAAATGAAATTTTTGCAAATTAGTGCGAATGCAATAATAAAAATGAAAACAAAACCCACCTGTCATCTTTGAGCAAGACTTCATGCAAAAGCCTCAATAATTTTTGAACTTTGTCTAATCCGACATTGTCCTTGTTGTATGTTGATCGAACTTTATGCAGATCATCATAAACTAAGTCGATTCGACCAATACTGCCAGCAATTTTAACAAGACTATAATAAATATCATAGTTTAATTTAGGGTTTTCGCCAGTGCCTTCAAAAAGATTTTGTAAACTGTTCAAATAAAAATACATGTCGATTAGATATTTTGTTGAAATAATTATCAACATAAGACATCTAAATAGTCTAATCAAACTTACATTTTGATGCAAATCAAGGCATTATTAGGAGTTGAGACATCCACCAGTTTTGCACAGAAAGCATTCACCAACTCACTGCATATCGGATCGGTTTGCGGTACTTGGATAAGCAAGGAAACAATACTGTTTAAAACAGACTGCTTATCCGCATCTTTATCCTCTTTGAAACATAGATCACAAACTCCAATAATTTTGGTCAAATCCTTAAGAAAACCTTCCTCATCCTGCTCAGTCAGGTTGGCACCGAGTGAATTGAAATAGTCTCGAAGCTCTTCGCACTGCAAGGAAAAAAATGATAGCAAAACACAAGTCAATAAAAAGTCTTAAAAAATAAAAACAAAAATTAACTTACCTGGTCAGATTCTTGAACATCAGTGAAGGTTGGAATCATGATTAAATTATTGTCGTTGACTTGATTAAGAAAATACAAATTATATTAAATTGTAACAGATGAAACCGCAAAAACGTGGCTCTTAAAGTCTGAGAGAAAATCCAACTCCAGAGCCACCTGCCCGAGTAAATATTGAATTGAATTTTTGTGATCAAAGAACAAGAAGCGCCAAATTTGTACTAAAACTAATTTGTATAAAAAGTATTATTTCTGCTTGGATCAATGTAAAAGATTAATGAATAAGCTAGAAAAGATTTTATTGTTAATAAATGAAATTCATTACTCGATTACATACATTAAGGATCATCAGCCACAGGTTAAGAGGATCTAATTCAATAAGAATGTTTAGTTTTCACATAGCTAAAGGGTTATCACAACACCAAATGGAAATTAATGAAAACATTTCCGAGTTCATCTCTAAAATGGTTAAACTCTGATTTAACGATTGCCAGCAAAGTGGTTGAGCAAATCAACAATAATGTAAAATAAGGATCTACTGTTATTTTACAACAATCATAGTTGGGTGAATCCTTGAGCGGAAGAGCTGATTACGTTAGGTGAAAATAAACAAATGACCGTTACAGCGAAATGAAGTTAGCGTAACTCACCTTTAAATAGTTAATTGTTGCCAGGAAATTAAGGCGAAAAAGTGGTTTTTAAACACAAGTGTTTAACAAGAATGGATTTGCAAGGCATCACAAAACGTCTTCTTGATTCAACAGCTTTAGTTAAATTTTGGTTACAATGTCTACAAACCCTTTGTAGCATAACATCTATCAATTCACTAAATACACCCAATAATGCAAATCGAAAAGAATCAAGTAAATTTTTCAAAAGAAATCAATGAATGAATAAAGATAATTTGACTAATTTGGGCACAAAACTGCTCGAGACTTTCTATTAATCTCTGCAAGTTTTATAATTGTCTACCATTGAGATCAAATTTGATAGCAACAATAATATCTTACATATATTGTTAGATTGGATTGAAGGTGAATCAAAAATTGGATTAGTTGATGAATAATCAACTCGAAAGAAAGTATTGACATAAGCAATTCAACCAAAATGCATCCTTATATTATTTATTTCATTTGATAGTCCACTAACACAATAGTTTACAGCTTTTGCCAAACAAGATTAATTTTCATAGTGTTTAGGATCATCAAATTTGATTGTTACATAAAACTGTTGCTAGAAACACTTTTAGATTTTATGGATTTTTTCCTAAAAAGTAATTACCGGCAACTGGACCAAAAACTTTATTTTGTGAAGCCCATTCAGAGACATTAAACTTGCTTCCTACTGCAATCATTGCATTCGATCCAATAGCGAATTCCTTGGGTTGCTCGAAAACCATGAAAACGTAACGATGTGCACCCATATTCGGAGTTGGCACTGGAATAAGATATGAATAGATATTAAATCCCGATTGCAAATCATCACGTTTTACATTAATAACCAGCCAATGAATAACGGATCGAAAAGTTGGTAAAGATGGACTGGGTTCGTCAAGATCGAGCATCATAAAAGTGTATAATGTATTTGATTTAGTTGGGTACTTAATCATGGGCTTCTCAGCTGTTTGCAATGATTTCAATTCTGTCCCACATGATACACTTGCACTTGAATACTTAACTTCAATAAGGTTCAATCCATCGCTTGGTAATTTTATTCCTAGATCTTTAACTATTCCACTATCAATGAAAGCTTGGTCAACTGTTTGTTGATTTTGATTGCCACAAAGTTGGACACTAACTGTGACTGAAACAGTCATTAATAATACTAATAGTTGAGTGATGAAGTTGAACATTTTCAATGAATTTGATTCTTGCAACTAAACGATAAAAAATTGATTTAAAATGAGTTAGTCGATGAACTGAGGCAATCCTTCAATAAAATGCAGACATCTTCATTTGACTTTGTAGGAGCAATGGATAAACAATTGGCACATAAATGTTGAATTAATTAGCAAAAATAAGAGAGATTGAAGTTCTCTTAATTTCTCTGATCTATTATTCAACAAGTATAATGTTAGTCTGTATCCGTCATATGTGTGCACTTATTCATGATGTGTTCAGTGTCTTTCAGTGATCAGCTTTCTTCTAAATTAGTTCTAAATTAGTGGTTGACACGATGGAGGAAGTAAGGTGGACCAAAGCCGTCAATGAATTAGTTTCGAGTAAAAGTTAAATTGCGATAACAAAATCACTATTGTGGCATAGTGGTATAAAAGGTTATCGAAGTTTCAACTTTGAACTCGACTTCCTTGAAAACTTTGGATGAGACAAATCACACAAACGAACTAAGTTTTTATGTCTTCATTAACCAGCAGAGTCTAAATTTGAAAGAAACTGATTTTTACCCGTTTTTGCCCCTTTCTGTCAATTGATGCATAATCGTGATAATTGAGTTAATTGTGACTTTTTAGTAACAACCCTATTTAATTAGATCAAGATCATGATAGGAATCGAGGTTTACTGACAATGAGTGAGATGATAATACAATTATGCCATGAATTAATCTCAATCTTGATTATATACTTTTGTGTCATTCCAAGTTCACTATTTTCTCAGATTTTTACTGTTTGATGGATTGAACTTAAATTTGATTCACCTCCATGTTTTCATTTCTTATATTTTTCTGGTGAATATGATTGTAAATAACGGTCAAATTGCTCTCTAAATTATTATTGTTTCTGCAAACTTTGTAATATTTCAATTATTCAATTCATTTAGTCTTTGCACCTAAATAATGAGCTTATCTTATCATTCTGATTTCCATTGAATATAATCTAATTGCTATTGTTGGGAATTTCATTTGAATCATCTGATTTGTTTGAAATGCAATTGAAATCGTAAGTTTCAATAACAATCAGAAACAATGTTTTCATTGCAACTAATATTTATTAGTAGTTAATTTTCAATCTGCAAATTTAAAAACAATATGAAAGGCTTAATTAATTTCTTGATTGTGTCTTTTTCAATTTACTCAATAGTTAAAGCTGATGGCAGTGATGATCCTGATCTTAACAGGACAATTAACGAACTTATTGAATCTCGAGGTTTTAAATATGAAACTCATTACATAGTGACTAAAGATTTATATATTCTTGGTGTTTATCGTCTAATAAATCCATTTGTTAAACAAGAAGATCGATCTAAATTAAAGCCAATTGTGCTTCAACATGGTTTCATGGGATGTGCTGTTGACTTTTTAATAAACGCGCCTGGAGGTAATGCGATCCCTTGTCAGGTGTCAGATGCTTACACTTTATCCAATCTTAACGGAACAATAACAAACAATTTAGGCTTTCTATTGTCCAATTTATGCTACGATGTTTGGCTATCCAATTCAAGAGGTAATTTGTATTCACGGAATCACACAATTTATGATCCAGATAAAGGTAAGTAAATATTTCTTTATTTTGTAAACAAGTGTCAATTTAAAATCTTTATTTTATACTTTTCCCTTTTAGACAAACAATTTTGGGAATTTAGCTTCGATGAAATGATTGATTATGATACTCCAGCAATTATCGGTCATGTTTTGAACACAACTGGGTTTGGTGAGTATGAATTAACTTATAAATAACCATTCAAGTGTTTAATCAACTCGATCCTAAATCAACTCATTTGTCATTTGTGTAGCAAGCCTGGGATGGATTGGTCATTCTCAAGGAACTCTCATGATGTTTGGATTGCTAGCCGATCAACCACATTACTCTTTGATGGTTAAACCTTTCATCGCCATGGCCCCAGTCTGCTTTGTGGACAATATAATGTTATCATTAAGGATAGCTTCTCGTGTTCCTTTTGTCCTTTGGGGTTTACGTAGATCGGTTGGTGAATTGAATGAAAACACTCTAATCTTAAAGTTGACCGAGCAAGTTGCTTGTGGTCGATGGGAACCCAAAGTCTGTGAAAAACTTATTTACCCTTTAATGGGTTATAATCTAGAAGAGTTGAATTCAAGTCGAGTTGATGTTTACCGAGCTCATGGATATGCTGGTTCATCCGTTTGGAATCTGGTTCATTTTGGTCAAAATATTGTGGCTGGTGATTTCAAAAGATTTGACTATGGAACCAGTGAAAATATTAAAAGATATAATGGCCCTAGTCCACCCAAATTCCCTCTCACACAAATTAATTCAACACAAGTTGCACTAATTTACTCTAAAAGTGACCAGTTAGGTGATAACAAAGATGTAGCACGTCTTATAGACACAATCAAAGGTAAGAACGGTTGAAGTTAATTTCTGTCTATTAAATACACTCTTCTGCTTCAATCTACAGTGCCTTTGCTGAGAGACTATTTCGTTCCATTACCTTCATGGAATCATTTGGATTTCATTTACGGCAAAGATATTTACACCTATGTTCATCAAGAAATTTTGAAAATTTTACAATCAACTTATTAAAGATTTAGGTTAAATAATAATAAACAAAATTTAAAGCATTAATATGACATATAAACTACTACAACTATTCGAGCTGATAATCAATATTAAAGCAACACCTGTTACCAGGTGACAAAATGACATTCCTTTTAGTTTAATGATTTGCTATTTTTTATTGAATTTGAAAAATTGATTTTTGTTATTGATTCCAATGAATTCTAGTTTTTTATTTGCAATTTTATCGATTTCAGTTGTTATAAAATCATTTTCCCGGTTAACATGACAGAGATAAATTGAATTAAATCTGTGGCAAACAAAATTTACTGAAAATGAAATCATATTTTAACCACGATTCGGCCAGTAGATACGAGGTCTTGCACGTGAATAAGATAACTTGCAATATTCATCAAAATATTGTCCAATATTCAAATCTGCAAGAATCTCTCTTTTTCTAGTAAAGACAATGTCATACATTTCGTTTTCAAGGATATAAATGCCGTTGATAGTATCAGGAACTGGACGAGGCTGATCTCTTAGATAAGATTCAATATTTGAATTCATTATTTTTGCTTGTTTATCCAAAAAAGCTCTGTTACTTGAATGGTGACAAAACATCGTGTTGCATTCAGTTTCATCAATCAAATCGCGATGAACTAAGCTATATGAAACGTAGAGTTCATCCAGAGTAACTCGCATCCTCATTCTTGTATTGAGAGCAAAACAATTGTCATTTCCAAAAAATTTATATCTGAAATCTTTCTTCGTACAAACCCAGTAACTTTGAGGTCTGTCTTCAGGTTCTCGATCCCTGATAAACAAGGAGAAAAATTGTATTTAATTCATGTACAAATGATATGTTATTAACAATGAAACTTACGAGTTTTCGAAACGCAAATATGCTGTGCTTCCAGCAGAATGAACAAAAGGGTTGTCAGGATAAACACCGTTTCCAATGGGTGGCCTATTCAATACAATATCCCAAGTCTTTTCTATTGGTATTCCAGTGAATTCCGCCATCTGGGAAACATGAAAAATAATCGAATATTAAAGACTGAAGTGATATTTATTTTTTATTTATATGTTACACTTACCTGTCTAAACAATTCTTTCTTCACATCATTGTATTCCTTTGACCAATCAATAATTATATCTCGACAAGCATCCGATAACTCCACTCTTATTGTAGCTAAAGAAAACAAAATAAAAGTTGTCTAATATTGTTCAAGTCATCAAAAAGGGCGTTAAACTTTATTTCTACCAGAATAAAAGGAGAAGAAATATAAGATTACCTTAAGATTAAGATGAAAATGATGATAACTGTTCCCTCTATTTTGGTAGAAATGAACCTTGAACCCTTTACAAACTTACTTTTATCGCAATCATTATCATTCGTATTCATCTTTTCAAAAAAAAGTTATGGTATTATAACGAAGCAAAGGATAAAAAACAAGGTATACCTAAATAGAAGTAAACAACAAAGACAAGTGGACAAAGGTTGACCTTACTTTGAGTAACTGAAAGGTTAAACTGACCAAACCAGAAATGTAAACTTGTAAACTGAACTTAAAGGTGTGACCAAAAAATTGCAGCGGAAATCCTTCCAAGACAGAAGATGCATTGAAATATTGTGTTAATATTAAAATATTGTGAAATAATATCTTAATCGAACCGAGAATTGCGATTAGAACTAATTGGTTATGATTGTTTAACAAAACTGGATCAAATGATTGATTATGATACACCAAAAATTATCGGTCATGTTTTGGATTCAACTGGATTTGGTCAGTATGAATTAACTTATAAATTAATATTCAGGTGTTTAATCAAACCAAATCAAATCATTCATTTGTATAGCAAGCCTGGGATGGATTGGTCATTCTCAAGGAACTCTCATGCTGTTTGGATTGCTAGCCGATCAACCACATTACTCTTTGATAGTTGAGCCTTTCATCGCCAAATCAAAATTTATTTTCATTCGTTTAATTTTCTCGAAATAACAGCTTTTGATCTGGTAAATTGTGATGATTATGAATTGAATTTAGATTCTACTAATAATTTAGACGAGTCAGATAAATCAGATAATGATGAATTCAATGGACCGAGTAATGTTACCATCTTATGGAAAGAGTTCGGGTTTTCAATGGTGTGTGATACTGACGAATGGCGAGAACAATTTGATGCAATTAAATCACAAATGATTGAATGTCTCCAAGTCAAGGATATTGTTTATGAAGCTGCAGATGAACAAGAATTTGATAAACATCGAAAACTTGTTGCCTTTTCTGGTAAACCTTCAGAGAGTCCATATTTTTGGTAAGTTATTCCAGATTTATTTTGTTTAAATCAAGATTCATAACAATATTTGGATATCTTTTTCAATGTTTTTATTGGATATGGATATACTGGTTCATCGGTTTGGAATCTGGTTCATTTTGCTCAAAATATTGTGACTGGTGCTTTCAAAAGATTTTATTATGGAACCAGTGAAAATATTAAAAGATATAACACTAATATGACATAAAATGTACTTTAAATAATCGATTCAACAATCAATACCAAACCAACACCTGTTACCAGGTGACAAAATAATATTCAATTTAGTTTAAAAGTTTGTTTTTTATTATTGAATGAAACGAATTTTATTTTTTTACATGTATTTGCATTTTTATCGATTTCAGTTTGATATGAAATCATTTTTTTTTCTGTTAACATGACAGAAGTACGTTGAAGTAAATCTGTGACAAACAAAATTTACTGAAAATGAAACCATATTTTAACCACGATTCGGCCAGTAGATACGAGGTCTTGAATCTGAATGAAGTATCTTACAATATGAATCAAAATATTGTCCAATATTCAAATCTGCAAGAATCTCTCTTTTTCTAGTAACGAAAACATCATGCATTGGGTTGTCAAGGAGATAAATTTCGTCTATATTATCAGTAAATGGACGAGGCTGATCTCTCAGATATGTTTCAATGTTTGAATTCATTATTTTAGCTTGTTTATCCAAAAAAGCTCTGTTACTTGAATGGTGACAAAACATGTTGCATTCAGTTTCATCAATCAAATCGCGATGAACTAATAAATGATTCACGTCAAGACGATCCATAGTTAATGTGGTATCCATATTTGTATTGAGAGCAAAACAATTGTCATCTCCAAAGAATTTATATCTTATATCTTCCTTTGTATACCGACTGTTGCCGTTTAAAGGCCTGAGATCCCTAATAAATAAGAAAAAAAATTGAATTAAATCATATACAAAATGATAGGTTGATTGAACTTACGAGTTGTCAAAATGAAAATATGCTGTGCCTGCAGCAGCATCAAAAAAAGGGTTTTCTGGGTGAACACCGTTTCCAATAGGTGGCTTAATGAATATAATAGCCCAAGTCTTTTCTATTGGCATTCCAGTGAATTCTGCCATCTGGGAAACATGAAAAATAATTGAATATTAAAGAGAGAAGTGATATTTACTTTTTATTTATATGTTATATTTACCTGTCTGAACATTTCTTTCACTATATCATCCATTTCCTTTGACCAATCAATAATAATATCCTGGTAAGCATCCGATAACTCTACTCTTATTGTAGCTAAAGAAAATAAAATAAAAGTTGTTCAATATTGTTCAAGTTATCAAAACTTAGCACTTACTTTTATCGAAATCATGGTTATTCTTATCCATCTTTTTGCAAAAAAAGTTATGGTGTAACGAAGCAAAGGATAAAGTAGAAGGTATAAAATGTGAATTTAAAACAACAAAGACAAGTGGACAAAGGTTGACCTTACTTTGAGTCACTGAAAGGTTAGCTGACCAAACCGGAAATGTTACCTTGTAAACTGAACTCAAAGGTTTGACCAAAACAAGTAAGTAAAAATTGCAGCGGGAATCCTCTCAAGACAAAGGATGCATTGAAACATTGTGTTGTCTTAAGAAACCTAACCGTGGGTTGAAAAGATTGAGACTAAAGAATCAATAGACTAAGCAAGTCATACTAAAGCATCAAGAAAAATCTGATATGGATGATTTATGAAACATGATTTTTAAAAGGATTTGTCTATCGGTCAATGATTAAAGAAATTAAAAGGAAGACAAAGAAAGATTACAAGTTGACAAGAAGAAGAAGCAAAAGAAATTAAAGCTGTTGAGGCTGAAAATGATTTTCGGGTCTTGATCTAGATCGGATTCGTGTTTGGTGTCGACTAAAACTGGTTTCAACCTCTCCCAGCTCATCACTTCATCATCATCATTGCCTTCTTAAGCAAAATGGAAAGAAATTTTCACTCAAATGAAGGTTCGAAGTGTTAATCACTCTCAATCTACCTACCGATGGATAACTTTAAATAGCCTGTTTACCTTCATTTTTTTGACTCATCCTCATCATCTTACCTTCATTTTCTTGCTATACTTGCACTATCATCTTGATGAGACCACAACAACTAATATCTATATCAACTATCCAATAATCATCATTAAAAAACACTATTCAAATGATTTTATTGCTAATCAATAAAATGAATCACTAGATTACATCGATTTTTGGTTTTTAATTAAATCAGAGTCAGTTTATTTAAACTAATTGAAGATCTGAAACGATCTAGGTTAACCACGATTCGGCCAGTAGATACGAGGTCTTATTGTGCGAAACATTTCATCATACGAGAATGAGCAATACGAATTAAAATATTGTCCAATATTCAAATCTGCATGAATCTCCCTCTCTCGCATAAAAATGGCATCATGAAGTTCGTTGGTAAAAAAAACAATGCCGTTGAGACTTGGACGAGGCTGATCTCTTAGATAAGATTCAATATCTGAATTGGTTATTTTAGCTTGTTTATCCAAAAAACCTTTGTTACTTATATGATGGCAAAATGAAAGGCTGCATTCAGTTTCATCAATCAAATCTCGATGAACTAATTTATATTCAACATAGAGTTCATCCAGAGTAAATTGCATCTTCATTTTTGTATTGAGAGCAAAACAATCTCCATCTCTAAAGTATTTATCTTTCAAATCTTGCGTCGTAAACAACACGGAAGATTCAGTTCTGTCTTGAGCTTCAGGGTACCTGATAAATAAGAAAAAGTTACATGTAAATGCTGTACAAAATTATATATTAATTGAAATTACGAGTTGCGCATATTACAATATGCTAAGTGACCAACAACATGGACATAAGAGTTATCAGGGTAAACATTGTTTCCAGGGGGCTTGATAAATCTAAGGACCTTAGATTTTTTTAATGATATTCCAGTGAATTCTGCCAGCTATGGAGCATAAAACGTATTGAATATTAAAGAGAGAGGTGATGTTTTTATTTAAATGTAGCATTTACCTGTCTGAACATTTCTTTCTCTATATCACGAAATTCCTTTGACCAGTCTATAATAATATCTCGGTAAGCATCCGATACTTGGACTCTTATTGTCGCTAGAAAAAAAAGTTGTTCAATAAAAAGTTTATCAAAAATTAAAACTTACTTTTATCGCAATCATTATCATTTGTATTCATCTTTTCAAAAAAAGTTGAGTTATAAATAAGCAAAAGATAAAACACAGCGTATATCTGAATAGAAACAAACAACAAAGACAAATGGACAAAGGTTGACCTTACTTTGGGTTACTGAAAGGTTAAACTGACCAAACCAGAAATGTTACCTTGTAAACTGGACTTTTTAACGCAAGGTGTGATCAAACAGTCTTACAATTGTTAGGCAAAAGAATTGAAATGCACTGAAACATTGAGTTATCTCAAGTAAATCTAAAATTTCCATTCGAATTGATTGGTCATGACTCATGACTGATGAACGAAACGATAACTTAGGGGTTTAAGTAGATCGGTTGGTACAATTGAATGTAAACACTCTTATCTTAAAGTTGACCGAGCAAGTTGCTTGTGGTCGATGGGAACCCAAAGTCTGTGAAAAACTTATTTACCCTTTAATGGGTTATAATCTAGAAGAGTTGAATTCAAGTCGAGTTGATGTTTACCGAGCTCATGGATATGCTGGTTCATCCTTTTGGAATCTGGTTCATTTTGGTCAAAATATTGTAGCTGGTGATTTCAAAAGATTTGACTATGGAACCAGTGAAAATATTAAAAGATATAATGGCCCTAGTCCACCCAAATTCCCTCTCACACAAATTAATTCAACACAAATTGCACTGATTTACTCTAAAAGTGACCAGTTAGGTGATAATAAAGATGTAGCACGTCTCATTGACACAATCAAAGGTAAGACCGGTTGAAGTTAATTTCTGTCTATTAAATACACTCTTCTACTTCAATTTACAGTGCCTTTGATGAGAGACTATTTCGTACCATTACCTTCTTGGAATCATTTGGATTTTATTTACGGCAAAGATATTTATACCTATGTTCATCAAGAAATTTTGAAAATTGATTTTTTGTTATTGATTCAAAAGAATTATAGTTTTTTATTTGCATTTTATCAATTTCAGTTGGTTTGAAACCATTTTCCCTGTTAACATGACAGAGGTACGTTGAATTAAATCTGTGGTCAACAATTTACTGAAAATGAAACCATCTTGTATCTATCTTGTTATATTATTTTTTTATGGTAAGTTAATTTTTTCAAAATCTTTTGTTCATTTATCAAATTTCATCAAAGGATAAATCAAAATAAGAAATTTATTTTCATTCGTTTAATTTTCTGTAAATACAACAGCCTTCGATCTGGTAAATTGTGATGATTATGAAGTGGATTTAGATTCTACTAACACTTTAGACGAGTCAGATAAATCAGACAATGATTACCGTCTTGAAATCTAGTCGAGATTTGGCTTCTATTAACATCGTTTAGCCCAGTCTCAAGCATTCATCGGAATCCATTTAAAGATTTCGCTGTATTCGTCGTTAGTTATTATCCACAGTTAGTTGAATTTTTAGCAAAAAAAAAATAAAATAAACGATAAACCAAGAATTTTGTAAAACTTGCAGTATAGATTTATTACAATCTAAGAACAAGAAGCACCAAATTTGTACAAGTCAGTACACGGTGATCGGAAAGTTTCTGGTGTGTGGGGTGGAGCCTTTTCTGCGTAGAAGAGTATCGGTGAATAAAACAGCAAATCAATAAGTGTCTTTGCGCGTAGAAGGGGAAAAAGCCCCTCACACCAGAAACTTTCCGATCACCCTGTATTATTAGGACAATCGTTTGTGCTTAGATCAATGTAAAGGATTTTATTGCTAATAATAGCCAGCTTACATAGATTTAGAGTTTCGTTCACCTCAGTTAACCACGATAAGGCCAATAAATACGAGGGCATGGTACAAAAAACATTCCATCCTGAAAGAACCTGCAATAGGAATTAAAATATTGTCCAATATTCAAATCCGCATGAATTTCCCTCTGTCTAATAACCCAAGCAGCTATGAATTCGTCGTCAAGGGTATCCCTCTCTCTAGGAACTGGACGAGGCTGATCTCTTAGATAAGATTCAATATTTGAATTCATTATTTTAGCTTGTTTAGTCAAGTAAGCTTTGTTACTTGTATGATGGCAAAACAACCGGTTGCATTCAGTTTCATCAATCAAATCTAGATGAACTAATCTATATTGAACGTGAAATGTATCCAGAGTGACCATGTTCATAAACATTGTTGTATTGAGAGCAAAGCAATCGCCATCTCTAAAGAATTTATCTCTGATATCTTCATTGGTATACCGATAGCAACCTTGAGGTCTATCTTGAGGTCTGTATTCAGGTTCTCGATACCTGGTAAATAAGGAAAAAATGCATTTAAATTATTTACAAATAAGAATAAAATGAAATATAAATCATGAACAGAATCAAATTATCAAAAATATTAATTGACATTACGGTTTTACAAAACTGCAAGTTGCTAAGTCACCACGAGGATGAAGAAAAGGGTTTGCAGGATGAACATCGTTTCCAGGTGGCTTCGCGAATCTAACAACCGAAGTCTTTTCTACTGACATTCCAGTGAATTCTGCCAGCTATGAAACATGGAAAATAATTGAATATTAAAGAGAGAAGTGATATTTTCTACTGATATGAACATTATTTACCTGCCTGAATATTCCTTTCCTTATATCACTGTATTCCTGTGACCAGTCTATAATAATGTCTCGGTAAGCATCCGATACTTGCACTTTGATTGTAGCTGAGAAAAACAAAATAAAAGTTGTTCAATAATATAATGAGATTTATCAAAAATTGCAACTTACTTTTATCACGATCATTATCATTCGTATTCATCTTTTCAAAAAGAGCTAAGGTAAAATGAAGCAACGAACAAGGTATAATATCTGAATTGTAATCGAAACAAAAGAAAAGTGGACAAAGGTTGACCTTACTTTGAGTCACTGAAAGGTTAAACTGACCAAACCAGAAACTTAAAATTTCCTTGTAAACCGGATCTAAAGGGGTTACCAGAACAAGTATGCAGACAGAGTATGTAAACAAATTCCAGCGGGAATCCTTCCAAGATAAAAGATGCATCGAAACATTAAGTTATCTTTATTAAAGCTCTTAATAATATAATGTAATTTCGATTTCAAATGTTTGGTCATCATTAAAAAACAAACAAAACACCTACAATTAACAACCATGTTTTGCACACAAAGGGGTCTGGTGAATTAACTCATAAATTATCCTTCAAGTGTTTGTTCAGACTCGACCCTAAAATCAAATCTATTGTCATTTGTATAGCAAGTCTGGGATGGATTGGTCATTCTCAAGGAACTCTCATGATGTTTGGATTGCTAGCCGATCAACCACATTACTCTTTGATGGTTGAGCCTTTCATCGCCATGAATGACGAGAGCAATTTGATGCAATTAAATCACAAATGATTGAATGTCTTCAAGTCAAGGATATTGTTTATGAAGCGGCAGACGAACAAGAATTTGATAAACATCGAAAACTTGTTGTCTTTTCTGGTAAACCTTCAGAGAGTCCATATTGTTGGTAAGTTATTCCAGATAAATTATTTTGTTTAGATCAAGATTCATTACAAGATTTGGTTCTCTGTCCAATTTTTTTATTCACTTGACTGTAGGTTAGCCAAAAATTGGAGTAAATGCTTGAGGTTCATGGTGGGCTTAGAATGCATTGAACCCAATCCCAAATTTCTGAATACTAATAGTCAAAACTCTTATATCAAGAAATTGAATTCATCTTATAATTCCGATTACTTGTCAAACGATCCTTATGATACCCGCATTACTAACTCATGATACATGTATATTAAGACAATAATACAAATAAGTTTAATCTGTGACACGTTACGAGATGATAAATTTCCATCTTTTTGTCTTTCGGAAGCAGTCAGCTTTCACATCATGACTCGAATACTTTCAACCATTTATCAACAGTTCTCTTGATTTTGGCCATTAGCCTTAAAATTTCGAGTTTCAATATTTCAGCAACAGTTTCATCTGCAACGATCATTCTAGGCAAAACTTTACATCAATGTAAATGATTTTATTGCTAATTTTTTTCAAATTTTAACATTTATTCAACCACGATTTGGCCAGTAAGTACGAAGTCGACGTCTATCAAACGTTTCATTGGATACGTACACCTTGCAATATGAATCAAAATATTGTCCAATATTCAAATCCACAAGAATCTTCCATTTTCTAGCTAAGATAACATCAAAATTATCAATGGAGAGATTTGGAAGAGGCCGATCTCTTAGATATGATTCAAAATTAAAATTCATTATTTTAGCTTGTTTATCCAAAAAAGCTCTGTTACTTGAATGGTGACAAAACATCGTGTTGCATTCAGTTTCATCAATCAAATCGCGATGAAATAATAAATATTCCGCGGTAAGATCATTCTCAAAAAATGTGGTATCCAGCATTGTATTGAGAGCAAAACAATTGTCATCTCCAAAGAATTTATATCTTATATCTTCCTTTGTATACTGAATGTTAAATTCAGGTCTGAGATTCCATAATAAATAAGAAAAAAATTGCATTTAAATTAAGTACGAAATGCTAGTTTGATTGAACTTACGAGTTGCCAATAACCAAACATGAGTTGCTTCCAGCAAAATGAACAAAAGGGTTTTCTGGGTGAACATCGTTTCCAGGTGGCTTCATGAATCTAACAGCCCAAGTCTTTTCTATTGGCATTCCAGTGAATTCTGCCAGCTGTAAAACATGAAAAATAATTGAATATTAAAGAGAAAAGTGATATTTATTTTTTATTTATATGTTATATTTACCTGTCTGAACATTTCTTTCACTACATCATCAAATTCCTTTGACCAATCAATAATAATATCATGGTGAGCATCCGATAACTCTACTCTTATTGTAGCTAAAGAAAAAAATATAAGTTGATCAATATTGTTCAAGTTATCAAAACTTAGCACTTACTTTTATCGAAATCATGATCACTCTGATTCATCTTTTTGCAAAAAAGCAAAACAAACGAAGCAAAGGATAAAGTAGAAGGTATAAAATGTGAATTTGAAACAACAAAGACAAGTGGACAAAGGTTACCTTACTTTGAGCCACTGAAAGGTTAACCTGACCAAACCGGAAATGTTACCTTGTAAACTGAACTCAAAGGTTTGACCAAAATAAGTACAAGTGTAAGTAAAAATTGCAGCGGGAATCCTCTCAAGACAAAAGATGCATTGAAACATTTGTGAGTTTTCTCAAACAAACCTAAGAAGCAAAAGAAATTAAAGCTGTTGAGGCTGAAAATGATTTTCGGGTCTTGATCTAGATCGGATTCGTGTTTGGTGTCGACTAAAACTGGTTTCAACCTCTCCCAGCTCATCACTTTATCATCATCATTCCTTCTTAAGCAAAATGGAAAGAAATTTTCACTCAAATGAAGGTTCGAAGTGTTAATCACTCTCAATCTACCTACCGATGGATAACTTTAGTTAAAAAACACTATTCGAAAGATTTTATTGCTAATAAATGAAATGAATCACTAGATTACATAGAATTTTTGTTTAATTGATGTAAATTAAATCATTTATCAAAAATAATTAAAAACCTGATACGATCTAAGTTAACCACGATTCGGCCAGTAAGTACGAAGTCTGTGTCTAACGAACGGTAGATTGGAATCGAGGCACTTGCAATATGAATTGAAATATTGTCCAATATTAAAATCTGCAAGAATCTTTCTCTTTCTAATTTGTACAGGATCTATCAATTCATCTGCAATGGTATAAGGTCTGTCGAGTATAAGAGGATCTGGACGAGGCTGAGCTCTTAGATAAGATTCAAGATCTGAATTGGTTATTTTCGCTTGTTTATCCAAGAAAGCTTTGTTACTTGTATGATGGCAAAATGAGCTGCTGCATTCAGTTTCATCAATCAAATCTCGATGAACTAATCTATATTCAACGAACAGCTCTTCCAGAGTAAATTTCATTTTCAGCCTTGTATTGAGAGCAAAACAATCTCCATCTCTAAAGAATTTATCTTTAAAATCTTGCTTTTTACATGGAGCCAGACTTCGAGGTAATTGTATGTCTTCAGGTCTGGGGTACCTGTTGAATAAGAAAAATTACATATAAATGCTGCACAAAATTATTCATAACTTGAAATTACGAGTTTGTAACACGAAACCATGCTCGTGCACCAGCGCGAAAAACAAAAGGGTTTTCAGGATAAACATCGTTTGTAACAGGTAGCTTCGAAAATGAAATGTCATAAGAATTTTTTAATGGTATTCCAGTGAATTCCGCCAGCTATGAAACATGGAAAATAATTGAATATTGAAAAAGAGAAGCGACATTTTTATTTAAATGTAACGTTTACCTGTCTAAATGTGTCTCTCTTTATGTCATACCAATCCTTTGACCAATCCAGGATAATATCCTGGTGAGCATCCGATACCTGGACTCTTATTGTAGCTAGAAAATAAATATATTAAGTAAAAAGGTTTATCAAAAATTAAAACTTACTTTTATCGCCCTCATTGTTATCATTCATTTTCCGTAGTTGAGATATAAAGAAGCAAAGGATAAAGCACAAGGTATATCTAAATTGAAGTAAACAACAAAGAGACGTGGACAAGGTTTGACCTTACTTTGAGTTAGTGAAAGGTTAAACTGACCAAACCAGAAATGTTACCTTGTAAACTGGACTTTATAACATTTCTGGTTTGTAACGTAAGGTGTAACCAAAACTTAACTTATATCTATCTTGTTATACAATTTTTAAATCGTAAGTTAACTGTTTCAAAACCAGTTGTTCATTTATCAAATTTCACGAGGATAAATCAAAAAAAGAAATTTATTTTCATTCGTTTAATTTTTCTCATTCGCATCTTGAAATCTAATCGAGATTTGACTTCTATTATCATCGTTTAGCCCAGTCTCAAGCATTAGCCGGAATCCATTTAAAGATTTCGCTATATTCACCTTATCCACAGTTAGTTGAATTTTATGCAAAAAAATAAAATGAACGATTACTCAAGAATTTTGTTCACTTTTAGTAATATTTATAGATTTATTGCAATCTGAGAACAGGAAGGTCCAAATTTGTAAAAGGTAGTATTATTAGATGATTTTATCAGTATTATTAGGACAATCGTTCTTGCTTAGATCAATGTAAAGGATTTCATTGCCAGATTAGATAAACTTTTGGTTAAATTTATCTAAGTTAACCACGATTCGGCCAGTAGATACGAGGTCTTATTGTACGAAACATTTCATCATGCGAGAATGAGCAATACGAATTAAAATATTGTCCAATATCCAAATCTGCATGAATCTCCCTTTCTCTAGTAGAGACAACAGCATGAAGTTCGTCGTCATAGATACGATTGCGTACATTTGGACGAGGCTGATCTCTTAGATATGATTCAATATTTGAATTGGTTATTTTAGCTTGTTTAGTCAAGTAAGCTTTGTTACTTATATGATGGCAAAACCACTGGTCGCATTCAGTTTCATCAATCAAATCTTTATGAACTAATCTATATTGTACGGAAAAACCATCCAGACTAGGGTACATCCCCATTTTTGTATTGAGAGCAAAACAATCGCCATCTCTAAAGAATTTATCTCTGTAATCTTGCTTCGTACACGTTCGATAGTAACCTTGAGGTATCTCTTCAGATCCGGGGTATCTGATAAATAGGAAAAAATTATATATAAATCATTTACAAATTAATATATTAGTTGAAATTACGATTTTTCAATGAGCAAACTTGCTCGATCATCAGCACGCCCAACAAAAGGGTTTTCAGGATAAACATCGTTTCCAACAGGTGGCTTCGAAAATGAAATATACATAGTCTTTTCTATTGATATTCCAGTGAATTCTGCCACCTATGAAACATGAATATAATTGAATATTAAAAAGAGAAGCGATATTGTTTATTTACAATTACCTGTCTGAACATTTCTTTCTTTATATCACTGTATTCCTTTGACCAGTCTATAATAATGTCTCGGTAAGCATCCGATACTTGCACTTTTATTGTAGCTAAAAAATAAAGTTTTTCAATGAAAAGGTTTATCAAAAATTAAAACTTACTTTTATCGCAATTATTATCATTTGTATTCATCTTTTCAAAAAAAGTTAAAGTTGGAAGAAGCAAAGAACAAGGTATAATATCTGAATTGTAGTAGACAACAAAGACAAGTGGACAAAGGTTGACGAGTCACTGAAAGGTTAAACTGGCCAAACCAGAAATTTTACAATGTAAACTGGACTTTGTAACGTAAGGTGTGACCGAAACATGTCTGTAAAGCGGGAATTAATCCAAGCAATCTTTTACTTCAATTTACAGTGCCTTTGCTGAGAGACTATTTCGTACCATTACCTTCATGGAATCATTTGGATTTTATTTACGGCAAAGATATTTACACTTATGTTCATCAAGAAATTTTGAAAATTTTACAATCAACTTATTAAAGATTTAGGTTAACATAGATAATAATCAAAATTTTAAACATTAATATGACAGATAATGTACTTTTAAATAATCGATTCAACAATCAATATTAAAGCAACACCAGTTACCAGGTGACAAAATGACATTCCTGTTAGTTTAATGATTTGTTATTTTTTATTGCATTTGAAAATTGATTTTTTGTTATTGATTCAAATGAATTCTAGTTTTTTATTTGCATTTTTATCGATTTCAGTTGAAATGAAATCATTTTCCCTGTTAACATGACAGAGGTAAATTGAATTAAATCTGTGGTGAACAAAATTTACCGAAAATGAAACCATCTTGTATCTATCTTGTTATATTATTTTTACATCGTAAGTTTATTTTTTCAAAATCACTTGTTCATTTATGAAATTTTCATCAAAGGACAAATCAAAATAATAAATTTATTTTCATTCGTTCAATTTTCTCAAAATACAACAGCCTTCGATCTGGTAAATTGTGATGATTATGAAGTGGATTTAGATTCTACTAACAATTTAGACGAGTCAGATAAATCAGATAATGATGAATTCAATGGACCGAGTAATGTTACCATCTTATGGAAAGAGTTTGGGTTCCGAATGGTTTGTGATACTGACGAATGGCGAGAACAATTTGATGCAATTAAATCACAAATGATTGAATGTCTTCAAGTCAAGGATATTGTTTATGAAGCTGAAGACGAACAAGAATTTGATAAACATCGAAAACTTGTTGCTTTTTCTGGTAAACCTTCAGAGAGTCCATATTGTTGGTAAGTTATTCCAGATTTATTTTGTTTAGACCAAGATTTATAACAAGATTTGGGTCTCTTTTTCAATGTTTTTATTCACTTGGCTGTAGGTTAGCCAAAAATTGGAGTAAATGCTTGAGGTTCATGGTGGGTTTAGAATGCATTGAACCCAATCCTAAATCATTGAACACTAATAGTCAAAACTCTTATATCAAGAAATTGACTTCATCTTATAATTCCGATTACTTTTCAAACGATCCTTATGATTGGAGAAACATGATTGCACCTTACAACGTGCTTTGTGAAATGATCAAATTGCAAGCAAAAAGTAATATCTTTGAAACTCTGGGTAAGTTCACAATTTTATCAGTTCACTTCCAGTTTCTCACGATTTCTCTGTTTAAATTTCAGGAGCTTGGCTTTAGAGTCTCACAGGGAAATTTCCAACCACTATCCGATTTGCATCCAATTTGGGATTAAGTCGAGATCTGATTTGGCTGCTAATATCAGCGTTTAGCCCAGTCTCAAGCATTCATCGGAATCCATTTAAAGATTTCGCTTTATTCACCTTATCAGTAGTTAAACTTTAAGCAAAAAAAATAAAATAAACGGTAACCCAAAAATTTTGTTAAACTTATAGCAATATTATAGATTTATTGCAATCCAAGAACAAGAAGCACCAAATTTGTAACAGTTAGTATTATTAGGATTATTTTTATCATTAATGTTAAGACAATCGTTTGTGGTTAGATCAATGTAAAGGTTTTAGGGCTGATGAATGTACTGCATTACTAGATTACATATTGTATTAATAGATTTATAGTTTCATTCATCTTCGTTAACCACGATTCGGCCAGTAAGTACGAGGTGATCTTGTAAGAAACCAATGGCGACCAAACTTGCAATATGATTGAAAATATTGTCCAATATTCAAATCCGCCAGAATCTCCTTTTCTCTAGTTAAGATAGCAGCATAAAGTTCGTTTCCAAGGAAATCAATGCCTTCGACATTTGGACGAGGCTGATCTCTTAGATGAGATTCAATATCTGAATTGATTATTTTAACTTGTTTATCCAAAAAAGCTTTGTTACTCATATGATGGCAAAACAACTTGCTGCATTCAGTTTCATCAATCAAATCTCGATGAACTAAGCTATATGAAACATAGAGTTCATCCAGAGAAACTTTCATCTTCATTCTTGTATTGAGAGCAAAACAATCGCCATCTCTAAAGAATTTATCTCTGTAATCTGCCTTTGTATACGAACAGCGAAATCGAGGTACCTCTTCAGGTCTGGGGAACCTGATAAATAGCAAAAAATTACACATTATTATAAATCATGTACAAAATAATATATTAGTTGAAATTACCAGTTTTTAAGAAGTAAAAATGCTCGGTTACCAGGAAAGTGAACAAAAGGGCTGTCAGGAAAAACATTGTTTCCAGTGGGTTGCTTGGCAAATACAAGTGAAGAAGTCTTTTCCATTGGTATTCCAGTGAATTCTGCTAGCTGTGAAACATGAAAAATAATTGAATATTAAAGAGAAAAGCGATATTTTTAAAACTTCACCTGTTTGAATATTTCTTTCTTTAAATCCCAAAATTCCATTGACCAGTCCAAAATAAGATCTCGATAAGTATCCGACACTTGCACTTTTATTGTAGCTAGAGAAAAATAAAGTAAAAGATGTTCAATATTGTTCAAGTTATCAAAATTTTACACTTACTTTTATCGATGTCAGCATCATTCGTATTCATTTTTTCAAAGAGAGCTAGGATATAACGAAGCAAGGAACAAGGTAAAATATCTGAATTGTAATAGACAACAAAGAGACAAAGGTTGACCTGATTTTGAGTTACTGAAAGGTTAAACTGACCAAACCAGAAATGTTACCACGTAAACTGGACTTTGTAACGCAAGGTGTGACCAAAACAGTCTTACAATTGTTAGACAAAAGAATTGAAATGCATTGAAACATTGAATTATCTCAAGTAAATCTAAATTTCCATTCGAATTGATTGTTCATGACTCATGGCTGATGAACGAAACGATAACAGATACCTTAGGGGTTTAAGTAGATCGGTTGATGAATTGAATGCAAACACTCTTATCTTAAAGTTGACCGAGCAAGTTGCTTGTGGTCGGTCGGAACCCAAAGTCTGTGAAAAACTTATTTACCCTTTAATGAATTACAATTTGGAAGAATTGAATTCCAGTCGAGCGACATAAAACAGACTTTAATTATTCGAGTCAACAATCAATATTAAAGCAAAATACAATACGTAATATTCCTTTTAGTTTAATGATTTGTTATTTTTTATTGCATTTGAAAATTGATTTTCGTTATTGATTCAAATTAATTCTAGTGTTTAATTTGCATTTTTATCGATTTCAGTTGATATGAAATCATTTTTCCAGTTAATACGAAATATGTAAATTGATTTGTGTTCAGTTATTATTAATAATATTAATTACAATAATATTTATCCCAGTCTTAAGCATTTCAACCAATACATCAATGACAAAACATTGCTTTTCACATGATTTCTCATATCAATAATAACCAATAATTTCAATTTTAAATTGCTTCAATTCCTATTTTGTTTTGTACTCATTTCCGCGGCAATTTTTACACTTTTTTTGGTCACACCTTGAAGTCCAGTTTACAAGGTAACATCTCTGTTTGTTCAGTTTAACCTTTCACTAACTCAAAGTAAGGTCAACCTTTGTCCACTTGTCTTTGTTGTTTACTTCAATATACCTTGTGCTTAATCCTTTGCTTCTTCATATCTTAACTTTTTTCAAAATGAATAATGATAATGATTGCAATAAAAGTAAGTTTTAATTTTTGATAAACTTTTTTATTGAACAACTTTTTTTTCTAGCAATAATAAGAGTCCAAGTATCGGATGCTCACCAGGATATTATCCTGGATTGGTCAAAGGATTGGTATGATATAAAGAGAGACACATTTAGACAGGTAAACGTAACATTTAAGTAAAAAATATCGCTTCTATTTTCAATCTTCAATTATTTGTCCTGTTTCATAGCTGGCAGAATTCACTGGAATATCATTGAAAAGTGCTTATGACATTTCATTTTGGAAGCCACCTGTTACAAACGATGTTTACCCTGAAAACCCTTTTGCTTTTCGCGCTGATGGACGAGCATGGTTTCGTATTACAAACTCGTAATTTCAAGTTATATATAATTTTGTGCAGCATTTATATGTAATTTTTCTTATTCATCAGGTACCCCAGCCCTGAAGACATACCTCGAAGTGGCTTACGGTGCACTAAGCAAGATTTTAAAGATAAATTCTTCAGAGATGGCGATTGTTTTGCTCTCAATACAAAAATGAAGATGGAAGTTACTCTGGATGAACTCTATGTTTCATATAGATTAGTTCATCTAGATTTGATTGATAAAACTGAATGCAACCGGTTGTTTTGCCATCATATGAGTAACAAAGCTTTTTTGGATAAACAAGCTAAAATAACCAATCCAAATATTGAATCATATCTAAGAGCTCAGTATCGTCCAGTTCCTAGAATTGAGTACGGAGATATTAACTTCAACTACGACTTTCATAATGCTAAAGATATTAGAGAAAGGGAGATTCATGCGGATTTGAATATCGGACAATATTTTTATTCATATTGCACGGCTTTTCTTAATGCAACAACTAATCAAAGAACACCTCGTATCTACTGGCCGAATCGTGGTTAACTCAGACAATAAAAGATTTTTGCAATTCGGAATGCAATTTGTCAATTGTCAATTTAAGAAATTAAATAAGATAATCAAATCAAGATAATTTTAGTAAAACTTTTATTAATATTGATAAAAATATCAATGAGTTAGATAGCTAATTTGGTTGAAAAAATCATAATAAACGTAAAGATTGTGTAAGTTGATCAAAATTGAGCCAAGCATTTCCTTGACGTTGATAAGATGATTTAAATAGGCACGGGTGAACCCTTTGAAGCAAGTATAGCAACAACAATCTTTTTCGATGACAGTGAAATCATGTTTGAACGAGTCGTCTGCCAAATTGAGTAGTTTTGAAGTAGCTTCAAATGGAAATGCTTTAGATTGAAGGACTAACGCTGTATGAATGCTTGTTAAGTAACTGCAATAAGACGAATCGAAGATGTCAATGCCAGCAGAGACAGCATCGGCTACTCTTTCAGGTTTAAGTGGACCAAAAAGGGCTCTCGGTTTGTTCAGAGGTAAATGTGAGCAAATATAAGTTATAAGTGCATTTAAATTTTCTTTGGTGTCAGTTGATTCGTTGAGTAAATCCTCAGCCAATAAGCCATCTATAATGTAACCATCAACATCATAAGATTTCAAGTGCTCGATCGAGATGAGTCTTTGCTTTAAATTCCAACCACCGACTATCGATCCAAATACTGGTTTGATTTTGCAACTTTGTCCTTCGATATTCTAAATTGGATGAAATTCATTATTATTTTTCATTATTTTCATTGGATAAATATTCCTCTAGATTACTTACGAAACTTTTTTTAGTCAATTGGGCAGTATTGTGGACAGATTTGTCAAGTCTTTTATTAGATGACTCTTTATTCGTCTCTCCATCGGCCAGTAAACGATATGCATCAGGTTTGAAAACATTCACACAATTCAAAAGATCCGTTGGGTAAATGTTTTTACGGCCAGACTCTGTCCAAATAGGTATGAAATCGGATGAATTGAAGCCTTGTCGGCGTTTGACCAAAACATCTTGATCGGTTAAGAAAATCTGTCGGTTAAAATCGGATGAGATAAAGTCGGATAATTTTTGACCAGATGACTGGAGAGTCGGTATGAGATCATACATTGAACATAGAGGGATGAGTGCTGGAGCACTATTGTCAGGAACGTGCTTCAATAAATCCCAAGTTAAATGAGGGACAAATCCATCTTTTGTGTACTGAAGACACAGAGGAAGCGAAAAACAGGTTGTTAAATTTTCTCGTGGAGAGTCCGTCGGAAACTTGATAAAACCATGCCTGACATTTCTGCCATTTTTCATTTGTGAAAATTGCATGATGATAAGAGTTGACTTTAGATCAAAAAACAAAACAAAAAGATTTTATCACAAGAAAAACCACAATGCTGGTGGTTGGAGCAAATTGATGAGTGTGATGGACTCAAGACGAACTTTGCAATCACGATGTAAACTAAAGGGTAATTAAATAAGTTAAGTTACTGAAAACTTAATTAAAGCAGAGATTTTTTACAAAAATAATTTCATGAAATACAAATTGAATTAACCACTTTGATTCAAGTTGAAAATTACTGTACACAAGAAGCTAGCGACACCTGTTGGCGCTGATGGAGTAAACAACAACATTTTGTAAACATGTGTTCAAAATTATAAATTTATCGAAAACTACTTTTTTATTTTACTGTAAAACTAAATTACCGCAAATTTACTCTAGGTAATTTACCTGTTAAATGGCTCAGGTTACCCGTCTGTGTCCATTGACTGGTTTCCTGTCCAGAAGAGTTATCCCTTTATCAAATTGTTCACCAATTCTGAGAAACTCACACGCTTTACCTCGGAGATGTCCTTTTGTACCTAGTCTTGGAAATCATGTTAAATTGGTCCGGGATTCCAAGCTTTTTCATGTCAACAAGTTGACCAGACAACCAAACATCTTTCAATCTAGGAACTCAATCAGATTCTATTGTGAAAAAACACCTAAAAATGGTTTAACCGAGCCAGATCATATCCGATATTGGGAGACCTTTGAAGCTGAAATGAAGCAACTCACTCTTATTCAGAGATATAAAAAGATGTTTAAAGAGTTTTGGTATGTTGGTATTCCGGTTGTTGGCATTACTTCAGCTCTATGGTTAGGTACATTTTACCTTATCGCTGCCAGGTAAGTTGTTTTAACACCAGACATTAAATCTTTCGAAGATTCTAACTTGTTATTTTTATCTTTCTCTTATATCTTGATTTTTTCTGGTGTCATATAATACGCAATATCATCAGTGGATATGTGAAACCTCTTGTTTCAAAACTCCGTGACTTTGGTGTTCCCGAGACTATTGCAAAAGCTTTGGAATCAGATAAAGTGGGAACTCTAGCAATTGCGGTTGTGATGTACAAGTTAGCCACTCCAGCAAGATATGCTGTTTCCATTGCCGGTACCGTAAAAGCCATAAAGATATTGCTTCGTAGAGGAATGATCAAACCAGTTCCACCTAAGAATAAGTTAAAAGAGATAGTTTTAAAGAAGGTTTATGAAAAAAGTAAACAACAGTGATAAATGACTTCTGTAAATCAAGCAATTAGCTAGTTAATTGTATTAACGAAACTTGTACAGTTTATGATAAAAAATCAATAGCCAAAATTACCTAAATCGTTGACTTAAATTTCGCTCCCAAAAATATCAAGTATTATAATACTGTTGAAGCCTTCCCATCATTTCAATCGTTACACGTATAATCATTGTCATCACCATCATCAACAACAACAATATAATTTTTGCTGCTCAATTCAGTTCACTGTAGTGATTAAAGGCTCACTCGAAAGCAAAAAACATCAATCCTTTTCTATCCATTTTAGTCTTGTTTAAGGTTTATCTTCAATAACCATAAATGATGATGGTGATGATAATGCTCATAATGATAATGATAGGAATATTTTGCTACATAATTATAAGTTTTTCAAGCTTGATCTCAAGACGAAATTCGGGGAAAACCGGACTCAACCAGATTAGGTTTTTATATAATGTTGACATACAAATCATTTGAATAGTGTTTTTTTTAATGATGATTATTGGATAGTTGATATAGATATTAGTTGTTGTGGTCTCATCAAGATGATAGTGCAAGTATAACAAGAAAATGAAGGTAAGATGATGAGGATGAGTCAAAAAAATGAAGGTAAACAGGCTATTTAAAGTTATCCATCGGTAGGTAGATTGAGAGTGATTAACACTTCGAACCTTCATTTGAGTGAAAATTTCTTTCCATTTTGCTTAAGAAGGCAATGATGATGATGAAGTGATGAGCTGGGAGAGGTTGAAACCAGTTTTAGTCGACACCAAACACGAATCCGATCTAGATCAAGACCCGAAAATCATTTTCAGCCTCAACAGCTTTAATTTCTTTTGCTTCTTCTTCTTGTCAACTTGTAATCTTTCTTTGTCTTCCTTTTAATTTCTTTAATAATTGACCGATAGACAAATCCTTTTAAAAATCATGTTCCAAAAATCATCCATATTACCTTCAATTGTAACTAATTAATCAGCAATTTGCCATCAATTAGAAACTGTTTAGTTGTCATTACAAAAAACAACCTTCAAAAGCTTTAACACAACAATTTCACTCTGTAACCTGTGCATCTTAATTTGACCATACTCAGCCAATTCTGAACCTCTACAACAATTAACTACGTAATAATACAAAATGGTAAGTAAATTGTTTCATCTAAATGATCAAAAATATGCGTAAATTTTTTCAGGTTTTTCTTGATGCTTTAGTAGGACTTGCTTAGTCTATTGACTTGGACTGTCTTTTGTTACTTTTTATATCGAGTGATGTATAGATGTAGTTTGTTTCATCTAATTTCAATTGTGTGAATATCTCTTATTTCTGAATCTTCTTGTTTCTTCTGATTTATTAACAGAAAAGTTGAAATTAAATGGGAAAATTTGTATCTTTCACTTGTCTTGATCGTTCACAATGCACTCCATGTTTACTTGAAGAGCCTTAAGGGATATTGATTTAAGTTTGTTTGAAATTTATCTTATTAATTGAAGGGAAAATTGTTCATTCTTTCGAGTTATCAATATTAACATTTCTTATTCCTTGTTCATGTTTTATCCATTTCAACCTTTCACCCAATGTTGATGCAGTCATTGAAGTTAAACAAGTCTGTCTGACTTTTCATTTTTGCTTTCCTTCAACATTTAAAGTAAAGAAGTAAACAATTTGTACATTTTTCCTTCTCTGATTTTCTTATATACAAATCATATAAATTAATCATAATTGTTACGCTGGTTGATTGCATTATTAGAATCAATTGAGCTTCAGGTAAGTTGAGTAAGTTGTTGAACGATCAAAAAACGTGCAACAATCCTTAAAGTGGTTGATTTACGCGTTGACAATTGATCAAGATGAACAGATATTTAGATTACAAATTACTTTTGCGCTTCCATCTTGCAAGTTGATCAATTTAAAGTACATTCAATTTTAAATTCTAAATCAGTAATTTATTCTCTTCTTCCTTTCAATAGAGATTACGATTGTACGGAGTATTTTGCCTTCTATTGGTAATACAATTGACTAATTGTCAATTAAATGAGGACGATGATGGTGGAGATGGACGCTCATATGAAGGTGATGTTGAAGAGCCTAAAATAAGCAACAACAATGGTAAACCTGAAGCAGCTGTGGATGAAAAAAAGTCTACCGAGGTTAAAGTGAATGAACAAGAAGATTTAAGGCCACGATCACATTTCACCGAAGAACGATTTACTCAATTGTTTGTACCTCGAAATTCAAGGCGTAAACTTGTTTCAGCTCGCTATACAACAAAGCCCAGGCCAACTTTACCTTCTTTCATTAAAAAACCAATTAGCGTCCCACCTCCTGATTTTGAGACACCAGCGACAAGATTATCAGGCACTTCATCAACACGACCACCAGCTTCACGAACAACTTCAACCACCAGTAGGCCATCAAGAGGACGGAATCGATCCTCTTCCAATAGATTTGAGGAACCCTCATCAACAACATCAACAACTGAAGCTTACCGTCGATCCGCATTTTCAACGCGCAGACCTTCAAATCGATTGTTTCCCAATCGTAATAGAAACTAGTTTGAACCAATTTTAGCCAATGGACAACAATTATAGTAATCATATTAATATTAATGCTACTAATCATAATAACCATAATTGAGGCCAACGATAACAGTTACGTTTATTCATTTAATCTCATTCATCAATATAATAACCTAAAATAGACTCAACCGTACAACAAAAAGCAATCATTTTATATGTAGATTCAAATTGACCCAACTTTTTGTTAATTAGTTTTCTTCCGATGATACAGTAAATATTATGATTAAATTAATATTTTTAAAAATGACTCCTATATTCCTGATAACATTGCGAGTGTTTTTAAAACCAAGATAACAAGGTCTCTATCGCAGTCGTTATGTACAATTGAAGGTTTATTCACAACATCGATAAATTACTTCTGTAAATCAAACTAAAAGCTTGTACAGTTTGGGAAAAAACCACTAACCACTTAAATTGTTAACTTAAATTTCGCTCCCAAAATATCAAGTATTAAAATACTTGCAGCTGTTATTTTTGTCTTGTTTATCAATGTTTTTGTCTATTCTCTGAATTATCTTGCATTTCAAATGTAAATCGTTGCTACATTTATCTATTGTTTTTTGAATTTGTGTGCCTAACAAGTAAGTGCTCTTGATAAAATATGGAATCCAACAAGAATGACAACTCTTCTATACCTCCATCATTCACCCAATTGATGGAATATCAAGTTTCCCTTCATGTTATGCTAGACCAAGAAAACTCACGATTCAATGAATTCACTAAGCCATTGGAAATTGACACTTTGATTACTCGAGCTTCACATTATTTGTCCAAATTGAATAACGTAAAAAAAGATATGGAAATGTTATCGGAGAAAGCGGAAAGAATAAGAAAACGAGGTTTAAAGTTACAAGAAATGGTGCAAAAGCAAATCTTGGAGAAAGAAATGAGAAAAGATGAACAGCTTCAGCGAGAGAAACAATTGGCACCTGTGGTCCTTAAAGGTTCACCTCCCAAAAAATAACCCGGAGTTAACCAAAAATGAACATAAAAAGGGTTGCATGTAAGACCATATGTGAGAAAGGATTTGAATATCAACTATTGTTTTTTACTTTTTTGTTGTACATTTGTTTGATTATTTTTACATTGGATTTCAGCCAATTATTCAATGGCAGTGAAGTAAAAATTTAAATTATTCAATCTACATTGTAATTTTACAATTTATTTTGCATAAGATGATCGTTCAGATTTCAACTCTCTCTAATTTGCTTTCTTTTCTCTGTTTCGTGTTTCTCGATTTTGACCATATCTTCACTGAAGCTCATTTCGCGGATGATTTCTCGTCCATTAAACTATGAACTTTTTCTAATAAGGCAATAACTTCTTTTTTGGGTAAATCTGCGACAAATAATTTTAAAGGTTCACCATCTTGATCAACCATCCCAGATAAACTGAATCCGGTATTGAATAATCGAAGTAATGCTTTTTCTCTTTGGGACAACTTTGTGTAATACTCTATTCCACCAAGAAGCATTTCTTCATCAATCACATCAGCATCTTTGAGTTTATGCAATTCACGAGGAGACAACATGTTTCTAGACACAGCTTGGGCAATACCCTTTGACTCGCAAATCATTTTTGCATGATTAGACATGATAAAGTAGACAGATATGACCGGGACTAACATGAAGAGAGTGACAACAAGCTTCGCAGCAGCAGTTCCTTTCATTCTTTCTTCAATTAAACCCAAGGCTGCCAAGCCAGCGGTGAAAGTCAAACCGAAGATTAAATGCTTGAAAAAATATTCATAGTTGAAGTTTGAATATGATGTTTGGGTGACTAAAAATTTCTTTGCTCGTTTGCTTAAGAAGAATGAATTGATTAGAGAAACTCCGTCGGGTGTTAACCAATCCTCTTTAGTTAGAGTATCACAATCATATCCCAATAGTTTAACTAAATTGCGAATAGCTGTACCAGTCAACTGTTCGGAATTAGTAAGGTTTAAATAGTCAGGTAAAAACACGTCAATCTGTGAATACGATGAATAGAATCCATGGATTTGTGGAATCGGAAAAGGAGTTCCATAAAAATTTAGGGCATCTTTTTTAATTTTTGGTAGGTTTAACTTTGATTTGACTTCATCAATGATTTCTTGTAAAGGTGGTTGGATACTTGGTGTTGGCCTAAGGAAAATGAAAATAAGTTTAATATAATAAAATATGATTGGTAAATGATTCAACATATAGGATTAAATTGTAAATATTAGAGTTTTCAGTAAATGACAAAAGATTGGGTTAGCTATTAAGTTAATCATAAATACTTTAAACTTACGATGTAATACCAGGTATTGTGCCACCATCTAATTTTATCTCAACAAGAGTGTTTTTAGCAGACTTTGATTTATAAATATCAAGACCATAGTAAGCACCTGTGGCAGCAATTACAACCGGAACTCTCAGTCTGTTAAGCACATTTGCAAAGCCAGAAGTCATAGTTAAATTAAATAGGCAGTCACTGATAATAACAATTTAATAGAGAATAGATTACAAGAATTATAACATCAAGCATAAACAATGAAATCTTTGATGTAGATTCTGAAAATCAGCTGTGAGAAACCACAGAGTAACATGTTAGTCTGTGTAGAGAGACATGCCTCGTGAAAGGAGCTCTATCAATCACTACAAATGAATTGGTTCTTAGCTTTTTTGAAATGATTTCCAAATTGTTGACTAATCATCTTATATTAATTCGCCTTTTATTGAATTGTTTGGTAAGACTCTAATATTTGATAATGGTGATAATTTACGGCATTCGGTCACTTTTTTACCAAAGTATTACGAGGAGTCTCTCAATATTTTCTAGCTTCAACAACATTATTGTAAACTAATAACTAATTATTGCAATTGTCAGCTATTATGATCTTGATAATTTCATTTTTAACCATTAAGAAACAAATCTAATCGACATTCTGATCTCTGTTATTTCCAAGCTAAACAATCAATTCCTTAACTTATTCAATAACATTGTATAAGTATAGAACTTAACTTTTTTAAGCGAAATGCGATTATAATGAAAACAATGATTAATAATCGTTTTTGAAACAATTTAATATGAAAAAATATTTCCAAAGCATTTAAAATGAAATCAACGTAGAAATAAGGTTGTTAATAATTACATTTAGAGCCAAATGTAACTGAATCGAGGTGGGAATTTACAATAACAAGGCATGATCATGAAGATAATATGAAAAAAAGATCCATTCACGTTAACCAACTCAGGCTAATGGTTTGATTGTCAGGTTAATTTAGAAGGATTTGTTTTGATTCAACTCGTTGCTTCAATAACTGATGAAAAAATATACTCTTTGCGCTCAGGTCTAAGATGATTATTGGTCTGAGCTTAGATAAAATTCGTACTAAATAATGAGTTATTACAAAGAAATTTCGAAGTCCTGGCAATCAAAAATTAAATCCATGTATAACAGATTGGGTTTTCTTCAGCTGCCTTCAATTTAGTTTTTTTGATAAACTCTTCCCCAGCCAGCCTTAAATCGTAAGCAAGACCAAGCCAGGCCATAATATCGATAAATATTTTGGAGGTGTTAAAAGTTTTGCCCAATTCGCTGATTGAATAATCATATGGAAAGGTATGATGAAAATTATGATAAGCTTCTCCAGCAGTAATTATCTGCATGAATCCATTATCAGCGGCAGAGATCCGTTTGTTGTACGGTCTTTTGCCAACAGTGTGGCAGATACTTCCAACAAGACCGTGCATATGGATAACAAGGAACGACTTTGAGCAACCAGCAATCAAGAAAGAATTCAGTAAAGTTTCATTCCAAATGAATACAGGAACAGATACTGGAAATGCAAAAGCAACCAAAATAACCAGCGGAACATAATATCTGTGAAAACAAGAAAAAAAAATGATTAAAGATCTAGAATTTTTGATTTCTAAATTACACTTTCTAAAATTAATTTTCAATGTTTCAGACATCATTCCATTTTGAATTGTTTTGAATCAAATAATATCAATTAACTTATGTATTGAAACTCTTCAGTTCATTAAGTTATCATTACAGGTTTGTATCGACTTTGATTTGACTGTTAAATGACAGATTGTCTAAATTAATTGATCAAAATGATTGAAAAGCTTAACCTAAGAACATTCAAGTTTAGTTGAAATGATTTGTTATCTGTTATGAGCTTGAATTGTTTCAATCAATAACAAAATATAATTCTTCATTCAATTGGTCAAGATTGGGTTTAATTGTTTTTATGATACCTTTTCTTCAGTAAAAAACTGCCATCTTAAACTATTGTTGATTTATTTGTTTTTTTTCGTTAATACTTGTGAATTAAAATTAAGACTAGTGGTCAATAGGTTGATGAAATGTTAAAGATGAGAAAAGGTCAGATGAATATTAAGCTATCACAATTTCCTTGTCTTGACAAGGATGATAAAGTTGATGCTGATTTTTGGTGAATAAAAAATAATAGAATTAAGATGAAGATTAAATGTGTTTTGATGTAACAATGCAATAATTGCTATAAAAGCTGAAGGAAAGTGAAACAGAAAGGATAATTTTCTTAATCAACAATTTAAAATTGAACTTGACTCTCAATGGTTTATTAAGCAATTTATATCAGCAGAAATGATTGAAGAATAGGTCGATGTTTTAATTGTAATTTGTTCAAATAAGACAGTGACAAAAGATTAGGTCAAGTTTGTCATTACTAACTTAATTGGTGGTAAAAATTACCTATTCACTTGCTTAATGATATTCTGCTAAATAATAATGTAACTTATTGAGATTAACAAGCTTTTGCACAATCAATTTAACCAAATTTTGACCAATCGACGAAGGATTGTTTCATCAAACAAATGTTATCACCTGAAAGATGAACCATTTTGAAAGACAGTTGAACTTTATACAGATTATTTTATGTAATCTTGATACTACTTGAGACCCAAATTAAAAAACTAAATTGAATACGCCGATGATTGTTAACAATTGAATGGACGATCTTCATGGTTACTCACTTGTGTTGGAACATAACAAATGGATCTTGATGCATATCAGTATAACTGATGTTCTTGACTTTTTCTCGATATTCTGGGTGAAGTTTCAAAATCCGATATCCAGCTTGAGCATACCAGAAACCACGCTTGATATTTTGTGGATCTCCATTTGTATCCAAGTATTTGTGATGAGCTCGATGATGCTTGACATAATGATAAACAGAATCCTAAGAGAAAAAACAGAAGCAAATTAGGAATTGGATTAGATTGAATCAAGATAAAGATTTAGCAATAAGCAAAATCAAATTCGAGGGGAAGCTCTGTATCATTAATCAACACTGTTTAATTTGGTAGTTTACTAACCTCAGCTGCCATGGTATACATAAGAGTCAGCATAAGCTTGAGTGGCCATTTCGCTTTGAAAGCATGGTGACTCCATAATCGATGAGCTCCGACACTTAGACCGATTCCTCCACAAGTAGTTAAAGTAAAAGCTGAATAGATTGAATAAAATTAAAGAAGGTTATAATAGGTTTAAAATAATTAGAAGGAAATTAATTGAGAAAAACAAGGAAACGAATTGTAAACAAAAAAGTAACGCGGGTTAACTCAGTGACACTAGCGACACTGCAAGTAACTAATGCCGGTATCACATGTTGCATCTTCCTACTGATCACTGTTATTATCTCAATTATTGAATTGGATAACCCATGCTGTGTTAATTCAGTTGATATATATTATGTCTGACGGTCATGGTGATCATGATGATAATTGTATTGATGACCCTTTTGTTTCCTTTCGTGTTATTATCACCAAAAACAAGGCCAAATCGATCTGGAAAACAAGTGACTTCACTCTATGACCAATCTATTTATTTGTTGAATAATTAGCTCTAAATTTCATTTTCAGTGATATGAATTAACTTGACCCTAAAATTAATAACTCTCTTCTCAATTAGCTCCGTGTTGATTTAACCATTTTGATGTTACTTTGGACCTCCACTAACCTTACAAATCAATGTGCTTCTATTTTCTTGACTCGATGTAACTGGACATAATTTGGTCTTTAAAGGGAGTCGATTTGATTGACAGTGAACCTCAATCTATATTTTAATGGAAGCTAAATGCTCATCGAGTATTAGTTGATCAAATTGATGGCAATTATGCATACAATACAAATCTGAGTGAAAAAGTTTCCTTAAAACGACATCAAAAAGGAAGATTTTGTAATATTGCTGACCAGAATGTTATTGAAATGGCTACAATTTACATTTTAAAATTGACTTTATCAAAATGTTCATCATCAAAGGCGTAATCAAATTTGACCCAACAATACAAATGATACATTCACATATCTGGACAACAAAATGATCGTCATTTTAATTTGAAGCCAATCAAATATAATTTACTTTCACTGGTTGAATCAATGGTTAACAGAATGGTTAATATAATTTACACTTCATCATCATCAATGTGTCATTCAGTCAAAATTGATTCAACTCTGATTACAGCAGTCCTTGAAGTAGCCAAATCAAATCAAAACAATTGCCTTTGACGGTGAAACGACTCGCCATTATAATTTACAAATAATGATTGTGTTTGCTATTAATTTTGTAATATTTAGTTGATGTTAACAATGTAACTATCAAATTGATAAGACTGAGGCCAAGCAGGTTAACTTGGTAAAATCTGGTTAACCGGGTTGAAAGCTGGTTAAAATTGAATCCAAGTAGATAAAGGTTAAGTACATGTTGATAATTAATAAGAATAGCAGATTAATATCAAGATTGGTCAGTTAATCGTTAGTTAACAAGCAGGAGAGAATTAAATTATGATGAGTTGTTAATATTGTGATATCAAAAGTTAATTGTGTTTTCTCCGAGCAATTATTGTTAGCTTAGATTTGCTTCATTTTTCAATCTACTTTCATTATATATTATTATTTACTTGGCTTATTGTCAAATCATGGACTAGGTTAAGTTAGGTCAAATTGTAATCAAAAACAGCAAAACCCAAAAAAGAGAAAAAAATTTGTGATACTTTTTCATTTACCATCACAATTAAACCAAATCATAATCATCTACAATTTTATTCATAACCACGAACTTGCCCGTTATTACAATACTCGTCATCTTTTAATCATCAAACCATTCAAATTACCAATGATTAAATCAAACAACTCAACCTTTACATCTTATCATTTGAAATATTAATGTACAATGTGCTTAACACCAATGAATTCAACTTTGAACAATGAACAGATCTTTTGGCAAAATTAAAATATGTTTAACCTTTTATTCAATTTAAACTAATTAAGTGATTAAGTGTTTAATTTAATGAAACATGAGCACAAATGATCGCTAAATTGTTGCTACTAAATAAAATTAAAACTAACATTTTGTCAGCTTTATTATTCTCATTGAAATAGACTCAAATTGAAAATAAAGAAACCAGAAAATACAATTCTTAAGCCTGAATTGATACAACAAATGTCAAAATCAAAATTAATTTTCTCATGAAACGTTCAAATCTGTTCAACTTGAATCAGATCTGATTAAATACATCGTATTATTGTTTAATGTTTTATATGAAATGGTTAACCTGGGATTATTCAATGGATAATACTTGTGCTAGTCATAACACTATCAGGTTAGACACAACTCCAACAATATCTTTAGACAAATTTTTGACAATTTTTCTTAGCCATTAGCGATTTCTGGTTCCTATGGTTCAACTTTTGGTGGATCTCAAAACTTATCTGGCTCTCAATCCTCAAGAAGTTACTTGTTGCAAAATTATTCGTGAGGTTGATAGATTTTTATTGTTTTTCTTGAATTTCATCGTGTTTCAGTTTTGCCTGCCTTTGACTGACCATCGCCTGCCTTTACCATCACCATCGTCAGCCTTTACAAAACCATTTGTCCATTTAATAGATAACTTGATGTTATCAATTATAAATCATTACAATTAGTCTTGAAGAATTGTGAGAGTTTGTAGTTTAACAATCAATTGATAATGTGTTAACGTGACATTTCACTTGTTCACTGATGAGACTCTGTTCGATATTGAAACTTGCCTTGAGGATGTAAAAATTATCTAATATAAATCACAATTAGATACTAATTTACCGTAAGTGTGTAAAACATAAAATTACGTAAATTAATATCAATTTAAGTTTGATTATTCATGGAAAGAGTCAAATGTAAATTTTCATTTCGCAACAATATAACAATTAACTACTCATCACTTGAAATAAAATTACAAACAAATGAATTATTCAGACTTTTTATTGGCAACATGCAGTTGTTGAGCTCGAGTCACCATGCAACAACGGAAAGCATAATTTGATAAAAAGCACATTGAATAAGCGATTAAATTAAAAGTTAGATTTCAAATTGTAATTAAGGTTCAATATCAGTTAAAAGTTGAAGCCACAGCTAAATCACATAAATCAAGGAAATCAAAATAGCCCTTGGAAAACACATGATTGGGTTGAACCAGAAATTATTACCAGAAATTTCAAGGTTTACATGTTTTACTTTAAATTGTATCCTGACATTAATTATGCAACAATTAAACAATTTAAGGCTTAACATCCAAATAATTAATTCTCGAACTAGATAAAAGCAGATTTTACTTTTGATAAAACAGCGATTTTTCAATCCAATCTTGGATTACATTTTATGCAAAAACTGGTTTGATTGTTTTTCACATGATCATCCTAAGTTCAGTCTAAACTCATTAACCCGGAATTGGTTGTTCACTGTCAGCTGAATCATCATTATCATCAAACATACACCAATATTGAAACTGATTGTTTCATTGAAGTGCAGCTTTAATGGAATTCGTACTCTCAAGCTGAACACAATTAGCTTGATTGTAGAAAGGTTAGAGAGAAACAAATAATCAAATTACAATTTAATGTTGAGATTGGGAAGGATTAACAGTGACCAAGGATTGAAGTAGCCTTTACTATTGAAAAAAGACATTGATTTGACTTCATAACTGTACTTTAAGATTTTTGATTGTTGTCATTAAACCTGAAGCCTGGGCTTTTGATTTGTTACAAAATTCAATGAAAATAATTAAGATTTATTTACGTTGCTTGCACACTTCTCGACCACTTATTTGACTGTAGTCTTGATTAGCATAATTATGATCAAACACAACAGAGATTCACAATTAAAGTAAGAGTTTACTCACAATTTAAGTTGACATTAACAATGAAATTACAGCGATTTGTCCATCTAACAATTATCATGATTGATCACAGAAGTCTAAAAATTACTGCTTGCCTTTAATATCTATCGTTTATAAATTTAATAGCAACGGTTTCTGAAGCAATCTTTTATAATTATCCAAATTCAAATTCATTAATCACTCGAAGGCTTTGTTTGCGTATTTAAGCTTTATTTTAATCAATCAATATCAGTTGATTGGTTTATGGTTTTCTCATTTAATGTGATATTTCGGTTAAATATATCATCGGCTTACCCCAAGTCCAAGTGGCAACCATTACCCACCAAGAAGGTGTCCAGAACTCAGCAAAGAAACGGTAAATTGAGATTGGCGCTATGTAAAAGAAACCCAGAGCAAGGGAAAGCTCAAAGATAACACTCATCCATTTGATTTCGTAGACAATGAAATTGAAAAAACATCGAAGTCCATTTGTCTTGTTTTCAGCCGTTGATTCTGATGGTACAGTTGTTTCATTGTTACTGTTCATACTTCTTGATCCATTGGTAATTAAAACGCCAGTAGGTAAAGATGATGAATTGGACTTGGCATAGTCTGTGTTATTTTTTGCGTTTTTTACTTCACACTCCGAGTAACTTTCACCATTACTCTTGATGGTTTCAAATTTATTATTAACTCCATTTGGATTTGGATTTTCCACATTTAGTTGAGTCTCTACCTGAGATTTAGACATTGTTGTCATTGTTTCGTCTATCTTTAACCCTGTTTAGCTGCTGTTGAAATCAGGCAAAAAACTTGGAGTTGATAACTGAATGATAATGTTATTATAAAAAATCAAAACAATCGAAAAGTTTTGTGTTGATTACTTGATACAAAGACGAAAAAAGTGAAAGTTAAACTTGAATGTTAAATAATAAGAGGGAAAGGATGAAAAAAGGATGATTTGAAAGAGTTAATAGTTTCGAGTGTTAATCTTACTGGCTTGACCAGTCTTAAGAGCCACCTTTTCGCAATCTTCATCATATTTAATTGTATTCTAATCATTTTCATTCAAATCTTGGTAAAAACAAAATCTCTTTCATCTTATAATGTGTATAATCTTATGAATGTTATAATTTTTAAATTAGTCTTTGGCCATCGCACAATGGCTGAGTTGGCTTAATTCAACATTTTTGTCAACATCAAACCGTAAAGGTGTTAAATGATTGATCTCAATTTCAAATAACCAACGATCTCTACTATTATTGGCTTTATTATACGATTGGATGGCTTTATAAATCATACCAAAGTGATTAGTTAATGACAACAGTCAGGTAAATTAACACATTGATATCCCTAAAACACAATTTACAGTCAAGTCACAGTTGAAAGATTCAAGTTCATAATGAAAAAACAATGCGAAAATATGTCGCCACTTTTAGCGATGGTTTTGTTTCATTTCATTTTATTTCAACTTAATTAGCATTCGGTTTTTAAGGGCGAGGACCAGCTGATAAAACTTTTCTTTAAGATAAAAAGGACAAAGAAACTTGAAAATACAGGGCGAAAAATGAATCGAAAAAAGAAAGGGATTAGAGATCCATTTGGTAATGATGAAATTGACGAGGATGCTTGAGATGATACATTTATGTTTATTCAAATCTTTAGGTTGATGATAGCTTTGAAGCTTTTACGAGTTGTCGTAACTCTTAAATTAAAGGAATTTCCATTGTTAGGTCTTTAAGCTATTCAAATATTTACATAATTTATAGTTAGTAGGTCGCATTTGATTCAGTTGTTGTTCCATTCCGATAAAATTTGCAAAAAATCAAATTCAATGCACTAAAACCTTAGATAATGCTTGTTCTTTATCATAAAAGTATCTAGGGATGACCAAAATTTGAGCAAGTTGGCTCTGTCCAAGTGTCTTTTGTTTCTAGATAATTGAATAACTTCAACATTCCATTTTGAAACATTAGTATCGAGCTTCATTTCGTCCCACTTTAAATGAAATGCTTTTATTCTAGAGAAAATTTCAACTGGATTACCATCCCAGGGCCAACCTTTAAATTGCCATGCGGGACCTTGAACGAAAACTGCGACTACACGTTCCCAGTCACCATCGCCTAATTTAAGAATATTGTTAATCACTCTATATGGTACAGTTGTTATTTCACCTTGTTTACGACGCTGAATTAGTATTTCATTGTCTCTAGGCATATCGGCACTATTACTATCGAGGTATTTTAAATCTTGAAGAATGGCTTTAGCGTTAGCAAGAGTGATTAAAGATGTTGTTGTGGAAGGTATGATGATGATTGGTGTTTTGGAAGTTCTCTTTTTGTTACCTGCTCCTGGTATTGATTGGTTCATAACAGAAGTCATTGGAGATGGAATAGATGACAAAACTTTGGACAATGCAGGAGTTGAAGGATGATTTAGACCAGTACCATTACTGTTCATATCAGGAATATTACTATTTGGTATATCTGTAACATTTTTGAGGTTGAAGCCGTGATAAGACCCGGTTGTATCAATTCTGAATTCATTTGAAGGTGCACTACGGTTGAATCTTTCTTGATCGTAACGATTGTATTGTTGAGACATCATCATATTAGGTGGTGGCATATTGGGATTCATACTAGAGCCACCCATAGGAGTACTATTAGGGATTCTTGATGCCATTGAATTTGCGTTAGGACCATTCATTTGGTTACCCATATATCCACCTCCAATAGGAGCATTTCCAGGTGGTTTTCTTTGGTTTATAGCCGATGAACCCTCTTCTCGGACTTTAATTGCTTGGATAATAGGGAAGATAGATTTTGCAAAGTTCTAAGAGCAAAGGAAAAAATTGATCAATTAGTTTATGAAATTTTCTTCGAGTTTTATACTGAACAAACCTTTCCACTTGAAACAAGAATAGTAGATCGGTTTCTCCAGACTCTTTCTTTCGACTGAATTTCACGAGTAACATTAGCATCGTATTTATACAAAATAGAAGATGGGCCGGTAAGAGAGCTTGCCGGAGCTGCCGCACTCCCTGTTAAGTTAGCACCTTCTTTTTCGAATTCATTTTCAGCATCGATAATGGTCATACGTTTCTTAGCCATACGCTTAGCCTAAATTAAATGAGATAAAAGTGAATATTGGGGTTTTCTAGAATCAGATAATATCGATGCTTACTTTGAGAGAAGCAATTTGTTCTAGGGTTAAAGCTTCTTTAAGAGAAGTGGCAGATGAAGATGCTGCTGATCCGATCCCTCGCAATCCTAGGATTCCTGCGCCAGTTTGGCCACCAGCAGCCTCGATTAGTTCGGATTTTTTAATTTTAGGTGCATCTAATCGATCAGAGAACTGTTTCTTTGCTTCAGTCAAGAAATGTTTGCTATCAATCTTGAGTTTTTTAGGATCACTTTCTCCTTCATCTTCAGCGGCTTCAGCTCTTGTGGCATCGCCTGAACCTAATTTGCCGAGAGCTCCGACGGGACCTTTTTCACTGTCTTCTTTTCCAAATTTAGCTTGAATTTCGTGCAACGGTATGGGAAGCTCAAGAGGTGCACTACGATCAATAGATTGTGAAGTCGCTGATTCACCAGTCAAATAGGCTAAAAGATCTTTACGATCTGGTCTTCTGACAACAGGGACACCTTGAGCTGCTGCTTGACGAACATATGCAGGATGTTGCATCTCTTTGTTTCGCAAGAAAAAATATAAACACTCAAGAGTGTAATAATCCTTGTTGGGTCCATCTCGAGATGATCCATAAGAAAGATAATTAGTTTTAACATTCTTGGGCCAACAAGATTCACCAAAGCAGATATAGTCGTTTTTTTCGATAATATCCTTTTTGCTGACATTATATTGCCTGAGAAGTGACAGGGGATCGGCCATCTGGACACGGTTTCAATAGATTTATACAAAGTTGAAACAAAAATCAAAACAAATTGGAGTACAAGAAATAAAGATTAAGCTCAATTATTCACTAAAATGTGAGAAACCAAATGTTGAATGAATCCAAGTAAAGAATCCGGACTCAAGTATTTAAGGATCAAGTCTCAAGGAGAATAAATTCAAATTGAAAAAACGGCAATCAAAGGACAAGTTTCCACCTTGGAAATTGAATAATTAAAAAAATCAATTTAAAAGTTTACTAAATTACATAAAATTCACCAATTCAGAGATTCTCAATAAATTAAGCGGACAAAATCTAGTATCAGTTAACCGCCTGAGGTAACCATAGCGACTGTCAACATTTGCAACATTTGCAACATTTCAAATTTAACTTCTAAATTTAAGATTCACTTAATTTATTTTGAATCATAATAAAAATATTAATATTTGCTCAATAACCTTGTTTTACACGAGTTAAAATCAAATAGATCTAGATTCACTTCAATCTTCCTGGATTTGCCTTACCTCGCGATACTCTGAATAGATGTTTTATTCTGATATTTAATCTTCTGGATAATAAATTGCTGTGAATATTTGCCATATAAATCCATTTGAACTAATTTAGCCTTTACAATGCTTCATAAAGCTGAATTGGTCTTACTTGTGGGTTGTGTGAATTAGGAATACTTGAAATTTTTGTACCGAAAGTTTCTTGTAAAGTTTTAAAAGATTTGCATGGAAACGCGAGAATTCAAGTGACTTGTTCATGTTTCTGAATTACGGATTTGCCTCACAAACATTTGATTTTTAAGATATATCAAAAATTGAATAAAACTTAATCTTTTTTGAATTAATTCACCTCTTTAGCTATAATAATACTGTATAAACCTTCCCATTTAGTCTCTAATAACAATAAATAGTGTCAAAGCTTGCAATCAGTCTCCATTGACCATGTCTTTTGATTAATTGTTTTCTTTAAGTAAAAATAAGTATTAGTGCGCCTCTGAATTCACTGTCAAACCACAAATCAATTTGATTGTTTTTCTAGATCTAATTTGCGCAATTCATCGCATAAATAGAACTAAACAATTGTACTTTTTAGTTCTTTGTCTTAAAGCTGGAACAGGAACAAATTAACCGGTTCAATACTGGTAATGCTGATGGTGGTAACCTAGAGTTTTATGAACATAGTAAGTAAGTGATACATTCGTAAATTTTCATGTCAACCCCTTCCATCTTGAATAGCTTGCAAGTGGTCGAATTGGTCAAGTAAGTCAATTCCTGGTAAACACTTTTTCTTCCTTTGGCTAGCAAGTCTCATCGAAATCGCCTAAAGGGTCAACTTATGATTGGAAACTTGTTTTACAGGAGCAAACCCAAAAAGCAGCTTCTGTAATTCACTTTAGTCCATTCTTCTCACTCATTATCTGGTTAACCTTGGCTTCAAAAGTTTCTGCTAATTCAATCACACAGATAATAAGTGAACTGTTCTAAGATTACGATTGTTCAGACCATGTGTTCAGTGTTTTAATTGAAAGCAACCTTTGTAAACATCGACCATCAAGAGAGACAACTTCAAAAAAAAGATATTTTCTATTGTTAAAAAAATGGTAAAAATCCTTATTTCGCAGTGTTTTTAACTTTAAATGTTACATCTCACATCTTCCAATATCAAACATATCCTTGCTAATCAATATTTCAAGTCTACAGACGCCTTAACAGACAAAATTATCGTTATTAACATTTGTGTCTTTCTTTTTCTTTGTGTCCAACTCCTGCATCTTCTGGACTTTCTTTGGTTTACAATGTCAACACCTCAAGTCAGCCGACCACAGCTCATCTGATTCCTCTGAGCCATCTGTTGAAATCAGTAGGAATAATAAAGATCGTAAAGTATGGAAAATTTTGATTCTTGGCGAAGTTTCCGTTGGTAAAACCAGTTTAATCAAACGATATGTTCACAACTTCTTCTCTCAACACTATCGACCAACGGTGAGCTAACTCTATACACTTTATTTCATCAATTGATGTTTTCTCGACCATTTTCTGGCCACTAGTAATTCAACTAACATTCAATTTAATCCGTGTTTCTATTGACTGTAGATTGGTGTTGATTTTGCGCTCAAACAACTTGTCTGGGAAGATGAGTCGGTCATTATGCTACAATTGTGGGATATTGCTGGACAGGAAAGATTTGAATCAATGAATCGAGTCTATTATAAAGGAGCAGTTGGCTCATTCATTCTTACAGATGCAGCTAATCCCGATTCCTTTAAATCAGCAGTCCGATGGAAGAAAGACTTTGATGCCAAGGTGAACATGGAGGATGGACAACCTGCTCCATCCATTTTGTTGGTAAACAAGGTTAGCATTCCCCCCTGCACTGATATTGTACTTAACTTCATAGACCTCTCTTCCGTACAACTGCACTTTGATAAACTGTCTGACAAAATGAGGGAACATATGGAATGATGGAATTCATTTGACCTTTCTTTTAGTTCAACCACTTATCAATCAATAATGCATATTTTTTTTTCTCAACAGTGTGATCTTGAAAAGGTAGGAATGGCTAGTGATGTTGTCCAGCTTCACAGCTTTGCTCAAGAAAATGGTTTCCTGACTTGGTGCTATGTTTCGGCTAAGGAAAATATTGGCATTGACGATGCTGCCAAAACTTTAATTAGAAAGGTTAGTGTATAAATTATATCATTAGTATTTATTCTGTCATTGATTGTCGTTTTTGATTAAACAGATCCTAGCGCGAATTGATGGAGATGAAAAGGAAAAGACGATTGAACCGAGACAAAGTGATGTCAAAGTATTAACAAGACAAGCTATGATTGATTTAACAGCAAATAGACAAGAAGAAGTTGTTGAGAAAAGTAAATGTTCATGTTGACCCATTTCCACACAATTTGTCCGCACAATTACCAATAGATAATCAAATTGCCCACTGAAAACTGAACCTTTAATTTTCCAAACTTGAGCTAATAAATTAATTTAGAAATTAAAATTCACTTGCTGCCAATTTTCGACTAACAATGATTTTCAGGTAAAAAGAAATTTAATTGCAATATCAATGCAAATATGCTTCATAAGTATTACAATTGGTATTGAAAAATATATTTAAAATTGTAAAAATAGTGCGTTCGGTAAAAAAGAAAAACAAAAATTATTTTAAATCTTTAAACTAACTAACTAAATAAACAAACTAAACAAATTAATATAAATTGCAGCGGTAATTTATAGCTTGGGCCCAAGTGAAGTTGGAGTTGTGAACAATTTATTAAGTTTCTCAAGTTTAGTTTTATCGCCAGTGACCTTAATTTTTCCAGTTGCAAGACCCTGTGAAATAAAAAACAAAATTAGTATAAAAAATCAATTATAGTTCGTTTTTAAATTGTACTTACATCAGCTAAGGTTAATTTCATCATAACCCATTTAGCAAAGTTATAATCATCAACAGTGGTTACGGTAACTGCTTCTGGATCAGTTCCTCTTCTAACCTTTGGCGCATCAGTCTTCAAATCGATAACTAAATTACGAAAAAAAGAAGCGAATTAGAAAATCAAACTCGGTATTTAAACGACCAAACAATGATTAGTTGTAACTTATTAATTGCATGATCAAGATCTTGCAATATCAAAATATTATTGCTAATATCCTAATGCGTGATGAAAAATATTTCATGGAAGAGTAGTCATAATGATTGTTTAAATGTTGTCAATATTGTTCATTGACAAGCCATGATTGTTAATGCAATTAGTATTGCGTGAGTGTTGTTTTGTATTAGTTAACAATCATTAAAACATTGAAATGTGAAAATTGACAACAAAAGTCAGGCTCTTAAAGATTTTGTAAAATTGTTTCAAGAAATTCTCACCCCATTGTGATACAACTTTTCCATCTTTGGTAATGTTAAATTGATGTGATCCAGAAGCTTGATTATGCAGACCCGGTATCCGTACAATTCGTTGAACTAAATCAATTATAAGATATTCACTCCTAAGACCTGGTTTGAGTGGATGATCAACAAGAATGTCAACTGCTAATGGAAGTTCTGGAGTTTTACCAAGTTTCTGGAACTCGAGCCATAATGAATTAAGACGCTGCATCAACATGATATTACCCTTGATCTTAATTTTTCCCATCATGAAAAGCTAAAAAGACAATTTAAATAAAAACTAATAAGTGAATTGTTCGCCTCAATATTATTATAATATTAATTGTCAAAATAAACCAACCCTTTGTGGATTAACTTTTCCAACCATTACTTTCAAAAGGTCATCATCTTCCATGGTAACAATACAGTCAGGTTTCACATTTCTTGGTGGTTCTCGGTAGCAGACAACATCAGGAGAAGATTTATTATCAGCAGCTATAAGACAAGAGTAAAATGTATAGATTTAATTATTAATAGATGAAATTAAGTTGAGAATCATTGGTGAATTTTGAATCTAAGCGATCCTAAAAGAAATGTTGAAAGTAAAGAGAAACTTACTCCAAATGCATGCAGGTTTGCCATTTTTAAGAACATTGAATTGGAAAATAACTCGTAATTTTCGCATGTATTCTGGTTCCTCTTGGGCTCGATTCATGAAAACATTGAAAATTAAGTCACATTTGTTACCAGAGGTTGGAATTTTCTGCATAAAATGAACAAATTTTACAAATTAATGGATTATATTTTATAATGAGTTGATGAATAAAACTCACTTCAACATCAGGGTCAGTTTCATATTCACTTCCAGCGGATTGATTTTCCGATTTCTCTGAGCTGACATTGGATTGAACATTTGTTGATTCTTCTGCCCAAAGTTGTTGCAATTTTTGAGCAGCTAGAATATTTCCAGATATTTTCAGTTTTCCACTCATGAAGGCCTGTAATGAGAAGAGTTGACAAAGTTAGATTTTAATCCAATAGACAAATTATATATAAGAACAAAATTTTCAAAATCAAATTGTATTCCCAAATGGCATAATCAACATAAAAAAAACTACAATTCAAGGTGAAAACAATCACTCAAATAACTTGACAGTTGATGAAATAAGAAAAAGATTGTTGCGATTCCCCAGAATTGTGATTAAATTTCAAATGGCAAAGACTATTATTAAACAAACAAAAAAGAAAGCTTTACCGTTAATTGTATTGATGAGACAGTAAAAATGGCAACAAATTGTATTTTTAGTTTGAAGGTGAAGTGTTTGAATGAGTAGATTTGTTTTTTTTCAGCAAATCAAGAGTTACAAAACAAGATTGGCTACACTCACGTATTCATTGGGATCTAAACAGCCATTTCAATAGTACTACCAATTTTAAAGTCCCTTATTCACCATCTACATGAATATAGTAGTAAAAAACGATAATAACGTTTGCTTGAAGAAACAACTTTTGATGACCTGAATACAGCTGAGAAAATAGTTGGTTAGAAGATTCCTTATTTTCCTTTTCTTGTCTGAACTTTGTTTTCTTCATATTTTTGTATCTCTTTAGACGATTAATTAAACTGGTTAACTAAAAACAAATTCACTAAACATTGCTTTCTTCATGAGACGCAACCTATTGGACAAAAAGTATCCAAAAACAATCTTTTCTTTTGCCTTTTTTTTCATTCTATTTGATTCTTCTTTCTTAAAAGCTGTTCAATTCAAGTTACTAACTATTTACCGAAACAGGTCAACCAATTGATTGTATGTACACTGTACAAAAAACAGATAATCCAAGAATAAGTGATTTTAAATATACGTCAGACATCAAATTGATCACAAAGTGAATTTTGATTCTTTTTGACTGGTTGGATGATTTTTGATGGACAAACCAAAATTGATGAAAGATATTTGATTTCAATTGGTGCTGATATTGTCAAGAAACTCGTCAAACTCGCCATTTTAAAATGTTTGATTAGCATTTAGGGAATACAAACCAATTGTATTTCTTACCCTCATAGCATCTTCTTTGCCTTCAAAAATACGACAGACAGAGTCATCTTCAATTGTTAATGCACAATCAGGTTTTCCCGTTTTAGGTGGGCCTCGGTGAATTGCTCCGTCTCCATTCTTGAAATCACAGGTCCATACTGATGCTGGTTTACCATTTTTCAATATATTCCATTGGTAGACAGTTTTAATTGTTGGTATGATCGTTTTCATTTCAGACAGCTTTTTAGCAGCCCAATTCTCGAAAACAGCATCAATACGGCAAACATTATTTGGGTTAGCTATAAATATAAAAAGAAACAGATAAACGTTAATGACAGGACTAATGAAAAGAAGGACAAGTGAACACGTTTACATCAACATTTACGTACATCGTAAAAAGGGAAATCTATCTACAATTTTCTAAGCTTGATAATTAGGATTTTGGCTGAAAATTTCACAAGTATTTTGTTACAATGATTTCCTTGTTATATTTTTAAAACGGTCTATGCAATGCTACTGATTATGTGTGAGTTGTCGTTAACTAGAAAATATTTAGATTAGTCTTTTTAAAGGTACAAATTGTAATTAAATGAATAAAATATCAATTATATGAGCATAACGTTGACAAAAATATGAAAATTCAGTTCAACGATTATATCATGAGCAACCAAGCAAAATAAGTATGATGACACATATAAGATAAATGATAAACTCTAATCACTCAAGGCTAAATATCTTTCCACTTTGACAGGAAGTTCAATCTTAACAATCAAGCTCGACAAAAATATTTAGACCTTTTTGACCTAAAATCTTGAAAACCATTAAAAAAATGCTTGATACAAAAAGGTGCTTTCAAAATTATAACTATTAATGAGTCATTAATAATGGCAAATCAATGAATTAAAGGATTGAACTTGACTGAACAGAATGATTTCCAAGATCATTATGATATGAATTAAAAGCAAATGTAAACATTGTAATTGTAAAATAAATCACGAATGGTTGATGAACCGAGACAATTTCAATCAAACGCAGCAAGTTATACCATGTAGATATATCATGAAACTAGATAACAAAATGGAAATTATCATGTTACTTACAGTTGGATTGTGATGAAGTTAATTCCATTATCAGAGGAAGATGGTTAACAGTTGTAACTGATAAAATATATTATTATAATTGAGGTAATAATGAGTAGTAAGAAAAGGTACTGTTGATGCAAATGTGATCACAAAGGAGATGAACTGATAACTGATTTGAATCAACAATTTTGAGTTAAAAAAGTATGAAAGCAATTTGAAATTGTACTTGAGGCAAAACAAATCAACTCCATCTATGATTGATGTTATCAATTTGCTAGACTAACTCGTTTTGTTGAAAAGCGAAATGAAGAGTCGTCAGATGGCAATACTTGAGATTTGGTAAATTATTTGTATTTTTAAATTACATCATTAAGTATTGTAATTGTTTAGTTGCGTGATGAAGTGCAATATTAGCTCAGTAAATTATCTGTTTGTGTGATCAAAATTAATTGAAGAATGAAAATATTTCTGGAAAATTATTCAGACTCAAGAAACAAGTTTTAATCTAACCGCGGCCACATGGTAACCATCGATACTGTAGCCCTAGTCAACGCATTTTCCTTGATTTAAACAAGTTGTTTACATGTGTTGATTTTTTTTATTATTTGTTCGAGTTTGGTTGTTAATTTAAAGTTTTGTGATAGTTTAATCATGGGTAAAAAGGTCTACGCTTTGAACAAAGCTGAAGTCGAGGCTAAAAGAAAGGCTAAAGAGGAAAGGCGAAAGGAAAGAGAGAAAATCAATGCTCCGAAACAAACTCCACGTACAATTGAATCAACACGGGAACCTGATGATACTTGGGTTGATCCTGAAGACGATGAAGTTAAAGAAGACGAATCTTTGGATCTTTTGTCCGACTATTTTGCTCGTAAGCGAGAACCTAAAGTTTTGATAACTACAGCTGACAATCCACACACCAAAACAATTAAATTTTGCCGGGAGTTGAAACAATCTTTAGAAACTGCTGAGTTTCGCTGGCGGAATCGCATGCCTGTTAAGCAAATGGTCAAAGGTAGATCTTTATAAATTAGCCTTCTTATTTACTTAAGCTCAATTTAACATAATTTCTCATTCTTTTTCAGCTGCATCAAAAAGGAACTTTTCTCATATCATAATTATCAATGAAGACCACAGGAAACCAAATGGACTGCTTCTTATTCACTTACCTAAAGGACCTACCTGTTTTTTCAGGTTATCTAGTGTCAAATTCTGTGAGCAGATAAAAAATAGGGCTAAAATTACTAAACACAAACCTGAAGTTATTATGAATAATTTTAACACTAGAATTGGTCACACTGTGGGTCGGGTATTGACGAGTTTATTTCACTTTGACCCTGAATTTCATGGTAGAAGAGTAGTTACCTTTCATAACCAGCGAGATTATATCTTTTTTAGGCATCATAGGTGAGTTATCTTAAACTAAGAAATTATCAAGAAATTGTAAAAAATCTGTTATTAAACGATTTTCTTTTGTTTCAGATATCAATTCAAAAATGGTCAAAAAGTAGCATTGCAAGAGATCGGACCACGTTTCACCTTAAGATTGAAGTGGGTACAGGCTGGCACATTCGACACGAAATATGGCGAATATGAATGGGTCCTAAAAGTATGTGTTATTGTATTTGAGTGTATTGAACATGATTCTAATTTTGAGTTTTCTATATTTTCATTTTTCAACAGAGACACGAAATGGAAACTTCAAGGAGAAGATTCTTTCTTTAAAATCCATTTTTATTTCGTCATTTTTGTTACAACACATGTATATTTTGAAATGAATTGATGTATTGATTGATTTAGCTGAGATTCCTTTTGCTTTGCTTTGGGAATCGCTAAAATTAAGTTTGTACAGAGATTTCATGATCTTAAATTAAATATCTTGGCCTGAAAGCGGGATTTTTTTCTGAATAAGACCATATCGAATACGATATTGGCTCAGAGTGATTATGAAATGAATAAAATCATCATTTGTTGGTAGCCATTCTTGATATTTTTCGACAAGTGGCCAGTAACTTCTTTCTCGAAGAAGTTTGTTTCCTTTGTGCTCGAGGAATCTCTTTACGAGCTATCATAATCCAAACCTTGCGCCTTTTTACTGTCATATTTACTTCTCGTGAAATACTGCTTTTGTTCTTGACACATTTTTTGGTTTTTGAATAACTCGGTGTGAGTGATGGACTGTTGGGCCTGGATCCTATTGGAGTAGTTGGCGCTGTTACACATTTTATTTGTGTTAGAGTTGTCGGTTCGGAAACACATTGGTCAGGTTGAGATGCACATTGGGACAATAATGAGCCTCTAGATCCTTCTGTATTGAAGGTATCATCAGAAAGTTGATTTGAGAAATTTATTTCATCAGATACACTTGGAGTCTGCATATCACTTGATTCACAGCTTTGTTCATCTTGAAGAATGGTATCTGGTAAGGTAGTATCATATACAATAGTATTTAATATTGAATCTTCATTGCATTTCTTTACATTATCGATCATAAACTCGTCAGAGTAAAGATCGGTTGGTGGATTTATGGTAGGAGCATTGTTGATTTGTGTGACTGGAGTAGGAGCTGGTTCTTCATTGGGAGAAGGTTCATCAGCAACACTTGGATTTGGAGAAGCAGATGAAGATGAAGATGAGGAGATTTCATAGTTTGATGATTTGGTTGAGCTAAAATAAAAGATATTTTATTGAGAAATATTGAGCCAGCGAGAATAACACACAAAAAAAAGACAAAACAGTATAGATCTTACTTGAAATCAGGGACAACTCTTGTAATTTGACGAAAGAAAGCATCCAAATTAAGATATTTTTCTAATTCGTAGAGATGACAAGGTTTTGGAAGTCTTTTATTGTTTTTGACAGATTGTTGATCAAAAATCATTATGAAATATGCACACAAGCCTCAAAGGGAAGAACACAGTTTGATGGAGTAAAACAAGATTGTAGAAGACATCAGTTCTATACAACTAGCAACTCAGTACATAATAAATTTAATACGATAAGCTAAGTTGAATAATCAATTTAAATTAAACAATTACTTCTTCAATTTTACCCTAAACATTGATCTGACACTTGATTAACAAACTTTTTGTTAACCAGGCAACAAAGGTAAATATCTCAACATAAAAGAAGTGAAATAGGCGCGCTTTTTGAATTCACAAAATTTAGCTTTTCTTTCAACTCTTATTAATAATTTACAAAACCGATGTAACCGTATATTTTAAAGACCAATTTATCGTTTAATTATCATACGAAATAATAAACCAATGAATGAACCATATTTAAACAAAAAATCATCAACATAACAATAATTATTCATAGACTTCCATATTCAGTTACATCAAAAAAATATTGAAAATCAATTAAAAAAGATAAAAATAAACACAAATAAAAGTGTTGAAAACCTCTTGAAAGGCAAATAAGGTATCTTGAATAGTTTATCTGGTCAAATAATATCAAAAAATCTAATCTAAACTCCAAAACCGTAAATTCGTGATACAATGCGTAAAGACAGTATAAAGGTTCCGTAGCAACCTTTAAAGACTGTCCCGTGTCGGCGGGACATATACTAAAATTGGAACGATACAGAGAAGATTAGCATGGCCCCTGCGCAAGGATGACACGCAAAATCGTGAAGCGTTCCACATTTTTTTGAACAATCGGCATCTGAATTGATAAATGTCTTGACTTATATTTTCAACAAATATTGTCACTGAAAGCAGATGTATTTCAAAGAATCTTACATTAATTTTCATGGTAATAATGATATCAAAATTAATGTTAATTATACCGCTAAAGACCCAAAGTCCCTACTCTTGTACCGAAAGTCAGATTTTTATAAATATTTCTTGAATTCATTTTGGCTTATTTGGGTTTATTTGGGTTGTTTGCTTGGGATTGGGTTTTTTAGACCAACCCCATTTCAAGTTGAAAACAAATACTGATCTTGAATTGGCCTTAATTGATCAACCAACAGAGAGAAACATAAATGTAAATCAATTTGTTTAATTTTTAATTTTAAGATTTGAGTTAATTATCTCTTCTCTCTAATCCAAGACAAGTTGTATTTCCCTCAATAATGGACACTGGTTATTATCAACCAGAATGAGTAATGCCATGAGTTATATTGCTGGTGGTTGTCAAAATTATCAGTATTATCTATGATAATTGATCAAATCAACACTCAATTAGCGAAAGTCCTTCATATTCATTAAAATATATGTTCACAAACACCATAATCGATGCGCTTAAATTAATGAAACAATGTTTCCCGATCCATTGCTCTTTTGTTATAGACTGTTGTAACACCAGATATCACTCTACTCTCTGCCAGTTTAATACATTTTCATTTCAAGGTTTATCAGGTTGAATTTACCATGACTGAGGAATGGAAAGGAAAATGATAAGACTAACCTAAAGACTGAAAGTGAAAACAAGATATAAAGCCTGATAAAAGCAAGATTCATGTGCATACGCAGTGTTGAAATTAAATTGGAGATGGAAAAATGGTAACCTTGTTCATCAAATGACTAACGTCAATCTACCTGTTGTTGTTATTTTTGTGCCAAAAACAATCAGGGACAGTTTTAACAATCAAATCTGATTGCAATGTGATGTTATTTGATTCCATTTCTCATATATTTTTTCATTCCTTGCATATACATTATTTTACTTGTTCAGTTATCCTCTTCCCTTGTATTTCACAGTGATAAACAGAAATACCAAATTCCCAAGCCAACAATATTCATCTTGTTTAATAACAAATATACACATAGATATTATATCAAATTATACTATAAATTATATTAAAATAAATTACAAACCAGGCCAAGTTAATTAATTTTCCAGTTCTAGTGTCACATTAAAATGGAATCCGGTAAGTTGTGAATAATTTTATCTTGTTCAAAGCCAAATTTCCCTGACAATCTGTTATTGTGTTTGTAATCCGATATCTCTTCAACTATTCAATTGTTATCCACAGAAAAGGAATACCGAGAAAAGCTTCTTCGTATGGTCAAAAAAGAGGTAAGTGGTGTTAATTAATCAACTTATGGCTACTCTTGATTAACCATTTTCAGTCTGCTTTGACACATCTATTGAAATTATAATCAACCTGCGAGACCTCAATAGTCATTATGTTCAATGTATCAACCATATGTTAATTTTTCAACTCTTGGGTTAATCTTATTACGGTCTAAACCAATCAATATTTTCATCATTAATTTTGGTTTCAACTAATATCTATCATGAGCTTGAATCGTAGTCATAGCTAAGCTAAAAGCATTGAGGATTCTTTGTGTAGTCAAATTGTGCAACAATTTCATGCATGGACTGGCATTTGACAATAAAGCTGATTACGATTGAAATCGTTGATTGTTCTGAAAGTGTAGCAATATGTTGGATAACATAATGAGAAACTGGTTAAATACAAATGAAAACAAAGCAAATTGAACCCAATATTTGAAATCAATCCTACAGATCTTATGAGATGAATTGAGAAATCTGTTTCAATCCATTCATTCCTTAACATTCCAAGCTTCTCGCCTTTCATACCGCCAAGTAATTTAAATTAAATTCCAATTAAATCAACCCAATTTTTGTAGATTCAATCAGCTCAATTAAACATGTTTTGAAGAAGAAGAATACCAATGAACCAGACAAATGTAGAAAAATCTTAAAGCAGCAAATTTTGGTTTATCCTATCCAAATAAACAGATTGAATTAATTTGATGCTTTATTTTCTTGTTGATTAATCCTCAAATGTTGTTGAGATATGGTTAAAATGTAGCTAAATTGTTAATATTTTAACAGGTTAAACAAATAATGGAAGAGGCTGTAACCAGAAAATTTGTTCATGAAGAAAGTAGCAGTATAACATCCCTTTGTGGTAAGATCTTCAGGCTTTTTCATAACAATATTTGTTTGGTTGATCCAATCGTAATTAAATTTTTGTTTTCTTTGCTTTTATTGATTAACTATTAACCTATTAGTGGCTGTTGATGCTTGCTTATCACATGGTCTTAAAAGACGAGCTTTAGGCTTATTCAAAACTAATTCAACGACAGCTTTACTTCAAAAAGTGGCTAAAAATTTTGAACCAGCAGCCATAGTTTATAAAGCAGTGGTTCAAATTGAAACCTCCGATCCAAGCAAGTAAGTGAAAGTAAACTTTAATCCCAAGCTATCATCAAAACTGAATCAGTTAATCGGTTTTCCTGTTTCTCCAAAACCAAAATGTTCAACCAAGGAATCAATTGTCAACTCTCGAACAAAATGAACATTAATCTTGTTTTTCTTGTTAACCCTTTTTGATTGAATCTACTAGACGAACCTCATCCAGCAGTGATAGCACAAATCAGCTTAAAAACAAGATAATCAGTAACAGTCCAACCAAAACAGCGCGATACTTGTGGATCCGGGTTGCTTTGATTGAGAAAAAATTGGGTGAAATTGTAAGCCATGTTGTCACCAATCACAGTCAGTATTACGAGAAGGAAGCTTTGGTTGCTGACCCAGTTGGTGGTCAAATATTGGCTTCACTATTGGTCGGGCCTTGTGCTCTTGACTATTCAAAGATGAAAACTCAAGATCATTACTGGACAGATCCTCCAGCTGATGAATTAGTACAACGTAATAGATTGGTTAATCCTCACTCAAATGGACCATCAACACCACCGATAGGAAGAAAGCCATTAGGTTTACCCTTTCGTCGAGGACCAATCACTGATTCAAGAATATCAAGTTCATCCGATGAGAATCTTCGTCTGTCCAGCTGGTCACCTCGAGATTATGTTGAATCCCTACATCAAAATGGTAAAACAACATTACTCTATGGTAAAAACAATGTACTGGTTCAACCGGTAAGTTTAATTTAATAATGTTACTCATTTACTCGAATTGATATGCCATCTATCAATGCATCTTACATTATTGAAATGAGAGCTTAATTTGAAATTGTCCAACCCTTAAACCACTCAAGCTTATCTTTAATCATCAGTCAATGCAACATTCAAATTATTTTTTTTTACCCATGAACTTGTAAATACATGAGTACAATTTAAATCAATGTGAATTTATTGCTATATCAATACATTAGTCTTTCTCATAATCTCTCGCTATAAAACATATGTTAAGAAGTAAATCCTTTTCTTGCAGACTTTCAGAATAGGCTTGTACATCATGTTTACCTGCATCAGAACCAGATTGTAGCCATTTGATATTCCTGGTAAATTTTGTTGATTACTGTTGATTGTCAGATGGTATTAACCCACATGGAAGATAATAATTTGATGCTAATTCATGTCATGTATATACTCATATCCAAGTCAAATAATTATAATTTTAGTTGCTAATTAGATTAGTTTTATTCGAGAGGCTACCAGAAAATATAATCATTAATTAATTGTTGACCTGTCAACACTTTCAATTGTAACTGTCATTAAAGTGAGAAACAGATTGATTGTTGATTAACTGTCAAAACCAATTTTCATTACTCAAGATCAGCAACAGTAATTATCAAGGCAAGATCAATCGATAATCAATGAGATTTAGATGATCGATAATTGACAACCGCAACATCATTATTACCATTATTAAGGATGTTTCACTAAGAATTTGATGATGATTACTCTTTAACATATGTAACTGTCTAGTTTAATTTGCTCATCATCATTGGTCTTTTAAGGCTATCCACCATTTCAAATTGACTTTTGATACATTAGATTGCATGATTACACGAGATTTTGATGTATTATTGACTTCCAAATGAGCATTGAATCTAATGTGAATCTATTTCTGGTTACAGAAGGAAAATTTGGAACCCATTCCAGGGTATCTTTCCTTGCATCAAACCCCAGCTGGTTTGGTAATCAAATGGACACCTAATCAACTTATGAATGGATCAGCTAGTATCGGTGAAGCCTTACCAAATGAAAGTCCATCAATAACTCAGGATAAAAGGTAAGCAACAATCAAATTTACCAGCTAATTGATTACAATTTGACTTGACAATCAAGTAAAGCTGAAAATAAAATAAAACAAAAACAAACATTAGAGAATGCAAAATAAGCAGAATAAATTGCAACTATTCAAACAAAAATCAAAACAAAGGTAAATAATGGATAAACAGGAGAATCAGAATCACATTGATTAGTAACTACAATTCAATATTCAACAAAATTTGCGTGCAATCTTGATGAACAGTTAAATTAAATTGAAATCTAACATGACAGTAATTACAAATCATTAGCTAAACATGCAATTTAATGGTTCATTTGAACGATTCCACTTGCAAATCAATTTTTCATTATTACAATTTGAATCAAAAACCGAATGAATTTCATCGATTCACCCAGGCAGGTAAAATTGGATTCCATTAAATCTGGTTTGATACCAGAAATGTTAATGTTTGCCTGTGAATTGAAATCTTTCATTTTCTGGTTACTTTTTTGATTAAATTGGTTACACTTTTAAGTTAATAATCTCAACGAATTGTTGGATTATCGATTGTTCAAGGTTGATGTTAATAACAATCATTATAACAATCGTAATAAGAATCGTGAAAATCATAATAATAATAGAAATGAAAATAATAACATTACAAACTCAAGTTGGTTAAGGTGTTGAGAATGGACTTATAATGATAAAGGGAATCGTGTTAACTCTTATAATCATATTTTGATGAAGCTACATCACAATGTGAGAAAGCTTTCATTTTGTTCAAGTATTAAATTGATTGATTTGATTAGGCAAACTGTTAAGATCACTCATCAATAGTAACTTAATCATCTTAAATCAATATAAATCATTGAATAAAAATAAAAACAAGAGCTATTTGTTTATTATTTATCATTCATTTTTGCCTTTCCTCATCATTTATCGCTGGATCATTGGATTGAGCTGAAAACAATCAATAACGCAACGTATTTACATTCCTAATTGAGTTCTGGTCAATGTTTAACAAATCTTAATCAGCTTATATTTTGTTAAATATTTACAATATTTGTTAAACCATCAAGCGAATCAAATTAGAGTTCAAACAACGTTTACGTTATTATTTCAAATAATATCTATTGAGCTGATTGAATGAACATTAAAAAAAATGTTCATTTCAAAATAATTAGTAATTAACTCGAGCAATCCATCCTTTTACCAGGGAAAATAGGAAACTTGGTGATGGAACATAATGATTCTAAATTTGACACAAACAGGCAAATATAATGATGATTAATAATTGAGCGAATGATCATTAGTTATTCTAAAAAGAAATGCAATCAATCAGGGAATTGTAACATGTAATCATCATTATTTTGTTTGAATTGTTGGGGACTGAATTTAAAATTGGCCAACTTTACCCAGTAACGTTTTTTTTGCTCAATCCAATGGTTGATACCAATGTTGCTCCAGATTATATCACGTCCGAATCATCATTTCTTTGGGATTTATTTATCAATTTACCAGTTTGCAATTACATCAACCTTTCTCTTTTCTATTATCATTTACCAAATTCAATCGAAACCAGCAGACGATACAAATCTAATGCTATCAAATGAAAAGAAATCTAGTTAGATGTTCAGTTAGATTTTTTTCTGAGATTCAGTTTACCCTTCAACCATGAGATTAACCTTGTATTTCGCTTTTAACTAAAATATCGAATACTGGAACAATCTCGGATTTTGTTATTATAATCATTACTTACCTTTTGTATACATCAATAAATTGAGTCTCACTAATTCATCTTTATGTCTTAAGCAAACTTTAGATACAAAAAGAAACAAAAAATTTCATCTTAAAGAATAACATAAATGGAATTGAATAGACTCAGGATTTTGATACAAATTGCTTTGCCTTTTTTGCACACTCATTTTGAATCACAAATTTCTGTTCATCTAAATATTTCTCCAAAATTGTAACATTAAGATGAACAAATGATGAGTTGAATAAGCAAAAGATTAAGCATAACAAGTGTTATGTGCTGTACAAATGTATACTAGGTTATACAAACCATGAAAAGAAATAAAAACAAAGCCAAAAACCAGGGCAAATAGTACAGTCCAATGAATTTATTTTATGCTTACGCCTCCGCAAGAAATGATTCAAACTTCCATGGGAATTGAATTAGAGGATAGAAACCCGGAAGTTTTTGTGTTACCTGAAAAATTAAAGAGAAATAGAAAGAGTAATAGAGAGTACATTGATGTATTAATACATGATTGTTCAGATTGTCTGGGTTAATGATCGTCAACTCCAAACCCAATCACTAAGCAAAATACTTACATATCCATCTAACATGCTAATTAAAGCTGATTGTTTCACAAGTGAACTACAGTGGTTCAATAAATTAAACAGAAAAGGTGTAATTAATAAAACAGTTATTTAATCAATTAACCAGAAACACGACAAGAAATGTAACAAAAGAAAGTAAGAAGATGATTAAATTTTAAGCCGTTACATTAAACCATATGTTTTATGAAAAAAGGCGCTTCATTCGTAACAGCGCTCAAATCAAACGCTCCAACTTCACCTTAAAATCAAAATATAATTGTTTGTTTAATAAATATGTTCATTGTTTTAATCAATTTTCATGGAGAGATTACTCCATAATTCTGATTTATTGTGATAGTATTGCAAGTTAAACAACGTAATCTTGATTATTATTGGCATGAAGTTATATTAAATATAACAATATAAAATGTCTTCCCTCTCTATTCATGTTTCTTATTTTTTGAGCCATTTTCTTCTTCAGTCAAGCCTTTCTCCTGTAAGTTCAACATGATGATTCTGTTTTTCATTGACCTTCTCTCTATTTCTTTCAAAGGAGGTTGAAATCCTATCTGGTTGCTCCGTTGCCATCTTGAAAATTGGGTTTTCTGGTTCTCTAGTTTTCTATACTTGTCTTATGTGCCTTTCATTTTCTGGAAAAATCTCATTCACAGTGAAAGCTTTGCAAACAAGTTGCAACAAAACTAAAGTTCAGTAAAAAATCAACAGAATGTGAACTCCCTGTGGTTATCTCTTCCAACTGAAACTTAATGAATTTCAACTCATCATTTTAAATTTTTATTTATCCTTCTCATGGAAACCAAAACTGTCTTTCCTTCCATACAACAGCAAATCAAGACAAACTTCAATATACATCAGATCTTTATCAGATTTACAAGATTTTACAAGATTTATTTTCTTTCAAAATGAACCAACATTTGAAAACATGATAATTATATTCATATAATCGAAAAATTCATATCTTTATTAATGTGATCGCCATTTTATCCTTCATTTTGCCTTCCTCCACTACTCTATTACAATATTCAGACTCCTTTATTGATATCTTTTGTTATCAGCTTTTTTCCAGTTTTTCATTCCCATCTGAACATTCCTTGGAGATGATAAATAATATTCACTCATATTAATGATAATGATTAAATCGCATGCTCAATTCAGCTAATACATAAATTAATTTCATTTTTCTTGCTGTTGATTCTGAATTTGATGAAACCAAATTGGTTTTTGGACCAATTTAAACATACAAACCGGAATCAATTTTTTCACCCTTATTTGTTAAATATTGTGTGTTAACTGCCAGACAATTGTTGAACTCACTATTTAGTCTAGTAATTTAATCATGCAAGTTGTCAACTTTTCTCTCTACCAATTTGTTAATGTTGGCAAGAACCCGAAAATTTAATGTTCAAATTCTTGTTAATCTAATTTAGAAACTCATTTTGATAATGTTTACTCATTGAATCATGCAATTCCATGAATTTTTTTATATTAGTAACTAATGTAAGGCTCAAAATTTTAATTCGTTAACAGTTCTCATTGAGTTGTCTTCAAGTTGATTAACCTGTCAACTGTTGAAATGGTTAACGCCATTTTTCATCACAACTCATTTTAAACTCATTTCAAGTTACAACTTGAATTACCAGGTGATTGCAAACCAAAATAGTAAAAGATTGATTATTGATTGAAAGGTTATTTTAAACTTCAATACAATGGACTGAATGGTTGTTGTGGCGATAAAGATGAAAATTCAAATAATGAACTGCAGCTGATAAATAGCTTGAAGAATCTCGCCTTTCATTGAATAAAAAGATATATTTAACTGATTTACTTCACCATTTCATTGAAGGAACATTGAATATTTTATGATGATGATGATGTTTCCATTATAATCAATACTCTAGGAGTTGTCATACTCAATGATTAATTTCAGTCATCAGTGTAAAATGAGAATAACTTTGGATGCATTAAGATGTTGAAAGGACCTTTTTGCTGGATTCAAGGTTGATCGGAAATTATAATCAAATGAGAGTGATAAATAATGATTGTTTGAGTGATTATAATGACCAGAGATGATTGATATGGTACATATAAGCTGCTAGATTATGGCGTTTATAATGAATGGGTTAATTGGCCATTAGACATTTAACTCGGGTTCAGTTTGATAACCAGCTTGTAGGACTTGCTTTAAATACTCAGCTCGACTATAAGATGAATATTGTGAGATTGAATCTTGTATGGTTCCAGTTTCAATTCAGACTTTAAATTTAACATCTTGATCTTGCCAAGTCTCGACTGTGTTACCCAATGAAATTGAATTTTCATGTTTGCTGATTTTGGTGGCACTTGCTGATTATTATTGATCGATTTAATAGAAGTTGAATGATCAAAGGAATCAAATGATTGAGGCTAAGCTGTCTTAAGGAAGGTAAAAGACAGGTACAATCCAATGGAAAAATAGTTGAAATGAAAAGGTGAAAAAATATCATTCCAATGAAATGCTGAATAGAATAGATATTTCACAGAAAGGAAATAATAAATACTCAAATGTCATGCCATGAATGTTGATATAGTAGATTGAAGGGAATTGAAATAAACAGCCTAAAGGATTTAGCATTGTATCATTATTTCATGACCAGTTTCACCTTAGCATTTTCAATATTTAAACGTTCCATTTATTTTCATTTGATCAACTCTCAATCATCATCTGGTTCCATTGATATATTGTCACTAATCAAATTTAGCTGCGTGAACATTTCCATGAGAAAGTCTAGAAAATGATCAATAAAAGTCAATTCAATTCATAAACTTTCCATGTTTACACTCAATGAAACACAAGTTTATGTCAACAGGTTACTGGATTGCCTCTATTTCAATTGAAATTCATAATGTTTGGTCAGCTTTGACATCATTTGGCTATCATGAATAAACCAAGTCCAAATTTTCATTAACTGGTAATAATTGAACCATTTTGTTGATTGTTTTTGCAACAGCTCATTTTGGGATTATGCGATGACCGTTAATGTTGAAGATATTGTATATCTTCATTGCCACCAGCAAGATTCGTGTGGTACTGTTGTCCTTGTGGGTCAAGATGGAGTCCAAAGATCACCGATACGTTTTCCCAAAGGCGGTCACTTGCTGGCTTTCCTATCCTGTCTTGAAAATGGTCTTGTTCCGTATGGTCAATTGGTTCCTCCTCTGTGGACACAAAAGGGTAAAGGTAGGTTTAATACAAGTCAGATTAATATAAATATTTCACAAAACCACTTCAACCTCTCACCATGCCATTCAAAATCTAGATCACTTCTTTAATTGCTAATAATCCCTATTGTTTTTCATGCATCAAGATGTTTAGAAGATTTTTTGAAAGCTTTTTACTTGAAGCTCTACTTTTTTAAATTGCCAATAATATAGCAAGTTGAGTTGAGTATTTTAGGAAATCCATTTTTTCAATTTAAGCTTCATTAATAATACACAGTAAATTATGTATTATTTATACCGGTTCACTTAACTACAGATTTTATATAAATATGTCAACTTGTTGCATTGTTAATTTATTTTTGCTGATAGTTCACTTGATTCCAACAGATGAATATTTTTAATCGTATTAACCTCAAGATTAAGTTTCAATCTGACAGAGTAAGTGTTTGCATTATATTTGCATATCAATATAAAACATGTGAATGTTAGGATTAGCTAGCAATGACCAACCACATTAAGTTCAATGTATACCGGTTAACCTTTACAAGTTCAGGATTGATGGCTTATTAGGTTTTCAGGGAAAAAATGAGGAGATTCAAAAAATCGATCAGTATGAACAATCTAATAATTGTACATCCAAAAGGACAAAGGTTTGCACCAAAATGTGTACAATAGAAGGATAGAAAGAGTGAAAGATGAGATGATGAACAAGAATGATGATTAAAATTTGAGCATGATCAAGATTCAGATATTATCATGATCCTCATAATCATTACCAGAGTCATCTTATTTTGCACAAACATTAACTTTTGTATACTAGTCAACTCTTGATGACTTTGTATTCAACAAAACAGCTCATCAAATTAGACAGACAATAAGAAGTAAAGTTTCACCACAAATCATTTTTCCTCTTCACCAGCACCATTTACCACCATGATCATGATAACAACATCATAATTCAACTAAATATTACTCTTAACATTCATCTTTCCAACTGAAACTGTTGCTTGTCTATTCACATTACAAAAACAAACATAAATCAACTCGTTTTTTCTCACATTTACAGTAACTATAGATTATTCATAAAATGGCTTCTTTACTTACCATTATTAGATGGTATCCTTTAATAAGAGACGTTGACAATTAACAATGTTAGTAAAGAGAAGGTTTTATGTAGATGATTAGCTTTCTCGGTCGATCTTCAAAAGGTCAATCGCCGAACTGATCCAAAACTAGAATGATTATTTACCAGATTTACAGTTGATGGTTGTTGCCTTTTGAGTTATTCTTTAGAAAAGAAACAAAGAAACAGATTAATCATCGGTTCAACAGTCTATTTCAATGTAGCTGGTAACCAAGATCAGATAAGATAAAAATGGCTCCAACAAACCCATTTTCACCTTTTGTATCATAGACATTGTCTGTTAGACAACCGAAAATTAGATACTTTCTTAAACCTCATTTTCAACCCTTAACCCAATATTGATTAGTTTGTTTAATTTTTCGCCATTGTTAATTCTTAAATCTAAAGCAATCGCTAATTAAAAAATTAGTTGACATGTATCATTTAATTCTGTTGTTACTTTTCAACCCGCCTGCAAAGCATTACAACTACAACAATCATCATGGACTCCAAGTTTCATTGTATTTTACGTTCCATTTGAGGCCCAACTTATATAATATTATGTATTTTCATGTTTTCCTTTTGTTTAATGTTGTTTATTCTGATTATATGTCTGGTTTCATGTTACAATTTTACCTAAAGGCGATTAACAATCTAAATTGTTAATGCAAAATGGGACGAACAGAATGTAATACGAACAGTGAAAAAAACCAAAAAGTAAATCTTATGTAAATTATTACGACTGTAAAACATGTAAGCCTCAACAAAATAATCAATCTTTTTTGAATTAATTATAATTGTGTATTGTGTTTCAACCGATTTCGGTTGTCTTTTACTAATTCTGTTATGTTTATCTCTCTTTGGGGTAATTTGTTTCAATTTTGTTTCTTCATATTTTCATGTTAGATGAGATTCGCTTGTGATTTTGCTCTTTAATGCCTTTTTTCACCAAATGATCTTGATTACTATTTGAAATCCTGGCTACCTTTAATTGCTTCAACTGTCTAAATATCTCTTTCTTACAATTTTTAGGTAAAGTTTTCCCAAAATTAAAGCGTAAAAATCATCGGAGTATGTTCAATGGAAATAAAAGTGAATCTGGTTCATCGTCAGAAGAAAATGAAACAACGGATTATGTATTTCGCATTGTCTCATCTTCAGAGAAACCCGAGTCAATTTGTAAGTACCACTCTAAATGTCATTACTTTCTGTACTCTAATTCAATAATTTTGTTGTTTATTTCATTTAGCTCAAGAAATGTTTGACCCCAAAACAACAAAAACAAATTCATTCCTATGGAGAGCTCGTAATGGTTTACAAGATAAAAATACTTCCAATTCATCTTCAACATCATCTACGTCGTCTAAATCATTGAGTGAAGATGGTACACTTGAATCAAATAATACAAAAGTTAGTCAAATGCCAAATCAGCCAATTCCAACGGATAAATCAATTAAGATTCTTTGTGACACAATGAAACGTCAAATAATTTCTCGAGCATTCTATGGTTGGCTGGCTCACTGTCGCCATTTGCGAACTGTCCGCACTCATTTATCTGGATTAGTTAATCCTGTAATCATTCCAGTTGATAAACCAACCGAGGCATCAAAAGGTTTAACCAAAACAGCCTGGGAATCTTTCCATGATGAGAATGGCAGAATTACCTCACCAGATGAGATTCGTCGTCTTATTTATTATGGAGGAGTTGAACATGACATAAGAAAACAAGTTTGGCCATATTTATTGGGACACTATGAATTTGATTTCACCGAAGAAGAAAGAGTTGAACGCGATAAAGATGTAACTCAACATTATGAGATCACAATGACTGATTGGTTGGCCGTTGAGGCAATTGTACGACAACGAGACAAGGAAATTATGGCAGCTAATTTGGCTAAATTATCATCAGAGTCAAATAACAGCACAGAAATACCTTTGGTTGGACCTGCGAAAGAAACAAACAATTGCAGTAATGAAGTCTTCACTGACTTTTCGGACTCTGAGGAGAGTGATGTAGACGACAAAAAAGGAAGCGTTGTTAAATCAACTGAAGATTCAACTTCTAATGAAAATAAACCCAAAGGTAAAGGAATGAGAACATCGAGAGGTCGTTCAGTTGATTCAACTCATAGTGAAAGTAAAAGTCGACGCAAGAACCCGGGATCACGAGATTGTCTTAAAAGACAGAGACAAATTGGAAGTGAAACAAGTGCAGGACAAAATATTGTTATAACCAATCCATCTGTTGATTTAACTCGAGCATATAAATCAGAGGGAACTATAGATAAATCAGATTCAGATAGTAATTCTGTTGGTGTAAATAAAAATGACCATAACTTAACCAATGACCGTAATCTTGGCTTAGAGCCAGGTTCAACTTGCATATCACCGGCATCGTCCAACGGTGGAGTATATCCTGTAAGTAAATGTCCCTGATTTCAATCTGGATCATTTTATTTCTTCGTAACAATAAATTTATCAAATTCAAAATACTTTTTAATAATGAAAATCTGAAAACTAATCAATACAATCTTATCATTTCTTTTTTATATCCATTGACGACTCACAACACCTCGATTTTTTTGGAAACACCAATCAGAATGAACTGCTTGATCTGTTTTCATTGAATCTTCATCGGATCGATAAAGACGTTCAAAGATGTGATAGAAATTACTGGTACTTCATGAATAAAGATAACCTGGAAAAGCTGAGAAACGTCATGTGTACTTACGTTTGGGAACATCTTGACCAAGGTTATGTCCAAGGAATGTGTGATCTGGTCGCTCCATTATTGGTTATATTTGATGATGGTAATTAACTTGAAAATAACCAATGTTGATAAATATCTCACTGATTCTTTATCCATTTATTTACAGAGGTTAAATCTTATAGCTGTTTTTGTGAATTGATGAAACGCATGGTTTCTAATTTTCCTCATGGAGGTGCGATGGATACACACTTTGCCAATATGAGATCGCTTATTCAGATACTGGACAATGAGATATTTGATTTGATGCATTCCAACGGCGATTACACTCATTTCTATTTTTGTTATCGATGGTTTCTTTTAGACTTCAAAAGAGGTATCATTTTTTCCAATTTTCACTCAATTTTCATTTAACCGCAATTTTTTATTTCTTTTCAGAGCTACTATATGAAGATATTTTCAGAGTTTGGGAAGTTATTTGGGCAGCTAAATTTGTCGCTTCAGCCCATTTTGTCCTCTTTATTGCACTAGCTTTGGTTGAGTATTACAGAGATATTATTTTGGAAAATGATATGGATTTTACTGATATAATCAAATTTTTTAATGGTAAATATTTAATAAACAATGATGATGGATAAATAAACTCATATTTTTTCCTGTAAATTTATTTTCCACAGAAATGGCTGAAAGACATGATGCTAAAGCTGTTCTCAAACTATCAAGAGAGCTGGTTCTACAAATTCAATCTTTGATGGATAATAATTACAATTGAATTACTATTGGACTTTCTGTAAAATTTAATTTGTTTGTTCATTAAATGTCGACCGTTTCTAATAACAGAAAAATTGAGTGAAAAACTATTGAATAGCAGTAAATCATCAGTCTGTTAATACAAATACGATCATTTTCTGATGTCACTTGATTTCACCGAGGACTAAAGAATTGCATGCGATAGAGATCTCAATGACTGATGGGTTGTCGTTGAGGCAATCGTACGATATCGAGACAAAGAAATTATGGCTGCTAATTTGGCTAAATTATCATCAGAGTCAAATAACAGTTCAGAAATACTGGGTGACAATTGTATACCTTTGTTTGGACCTGCATTAACTAGTTATTGATAAACGAGTATTTTATACTGTTGGCGTGCATAATACAACTGATCTCCAAAAATGATTGGTCTAAACAGCATAGATTATTCATAAAATGGCTTCTTTACTTACCATTATTAGATGGTATCCTTTAATAAGAGACATTAACAATTAACAATGTTAGTAAAGAAAAGATTTCATAGATGAATAGCTTTCTCAGTCGATCTTCAAATGGTCAAGCGCCGAACTGCTTCTGAACTCATTCCAAAACTAGAATGATTATTTACTAGATTTAAAGTTGACTGATGGCTGTTACCTTGCGAGTTAATTATTCTTTAGAAAAGAAACAAAGAAATCTCTAATTAGCGATTGCATGATTGTGATTTAATGATGCATGTTGATGTGTCTGATGTAAGATGTCCCGTTATTATATGTCTGGTTTCATGTTAAAATTTTACCTAAAGGCTTTTCCCCCAAAATGATCTTGCTATTATGCCTATGATTACTATTTGAAATCCTGGCTACCTTAATTGCTCCAACTGTCTAAATATCTCTTTCTTACAATTTTTATGTAAAGTTTTCCTCAATACAATTTTTTAATTGTTAAAAAGCGACTCTAGTGGGGCTGAAGAGAGGGATAGGGGAGCTTATGGGAAATGAGAGAAAAGAGAAGGGTGAAAAGGAAAAGGAAAAGAGTAATTTTCTTATTGTCTATATGTATTTTACATGAAATTTATAATAAAATTACTGATTTTTCTTTTCTCCCTTCTCTTTTAGGTTAAAGAAATAAAGTAAATATTAAAGGGGAACAACAATAAGTGGGTTCGAGAGATCAAAGCTTAATGAATGCTATTGGTTATAGATTATCGAATAAAAAGATAAGAGTGGCGTTGACCAAAAAGATTAAGGTAGTCCTACTCTAATCTTTGGTTGACCATTTATTCTCATCTTTTTATTCATTCATCTATAACCAATAGCTTTCATTAAGCTTTCAAAAGTAAGTTCACTTTTATATTTTAATTTATTACATTTAATACTGGGCATTTTTTTCTCAATTTACGCCTTCGTGCAGGCATAACACACGAACGGTTAGTGCTGCAGACCTCAGATTTTAACCATGAGCTTATGCAGATTGAACAGCTATAAGTTCGAACGCTCAAGGTTATTCAAGGTCAATTCTTTATTTGACCTCTAATTGACATTGAAAGTTCATTTTTTGAAACAAATAAATTTTTCTGACTGATACTTGTTAGTCACATGTTCATAACTCTTACCATTGGAAAGATAAACGAGCTTTTATGAAATGCCAATTAGAGGTCAAATAAAGAATTGACCTTGAATAACCTTGAGTGTTCGAGCTTATGGTTGTTCAATCTGCATAAGCTCGTGGTTAAAATCTGAGGTCGGCAGCACTAACCGTTCGTGTGTTATGCCTGCACGAAGGCGTGAATTGAGAAAAAATGGGAGAAAGGAGCCAAAAGAATTTACGCCAGATCTAAAAGGCAATACTCGTGTTACTGGTGCCTCTCTTGCACATTTTATAAAAAAATTGAATCAAATTTTGGGCCTGAAATTTTCCAATATTCATCTAATTGGTCACAGTTTAGGTGCTATGTCTGTGGCTATGCAGGTAAAAGATTACAAAAGCGCAAGATTGGTCGAATCACTGGACTTGATCCAGCAGGACCACGCTTTCATGAAAATATATCAGACCCATCTGTTTCAAGTTATATTGCTGTGATCTACACCGATTATAGACCAAACTTGATTGAAGGTAAGATTCTGATTATGATTTTAAGATTTCAATATTTTCTTAAATTTAACTTTTGTTCTTATGTTCTTCCTTTATTTAGGATTCGCACTTCTAGATCCTCTAGGTGAAATTGATTTTTACCCAAATACCGCTATCGACAACCTGGTTGTGGAAAATTAAAGGATTATTGAATGACGGACATCAAAAGGCGACTAAACGTAATTTTCAAATTGGTTTGAGTTGTTGGCTTAACATACTTTTTGTCTCTGCTTCAGGCATCAGTGTCTAATGTAATCACCTGTTCGCTCCTCGATAATGTTCATCAATCCCGAACAGTTGACTAAAACTTGTCAATTCGTTGGTTATCAATGTTGAAACTATGACGACTATGAAAAAGGAAAGTGTACTGATTTTGGGATCAAGGGAAAGAAATAATTAATTGATAAAAAATTATTAATTATAATAATTAAACCCAATTCTTATTGAAAAACTTTATATAAACTGCTTTAACAAGAAGGTAAGAGAAAAGGAAAGGCAAAAAGGATTTTGTTTGATTGAGTGGTAAAATAATTTACCACCATGCAATATTGTATGTTGTAGAGCTTATTCGATGACGCTTGTACATAGCTATGCAACTCATTAACTTCACGTTTTATTCAATATCTTCAGAATCAAACATGTTAGCTTCCTAATATTTGAACAATATGCTCTTGAGAATTGAAAGACAATTTTTTCGAAGTATCAAGTTCATTTAAGGTCATTCGTTTATTTGACCTTCAAACGACTTCTGAAGGTCACTTTCATCGCTATAAGTTTACCTCACCAAAGTATCAAAAGCAAATGATATGAAGATATCGTTCAAAATTTATCAATTTATTGAAGAAAATTCTAATTGTGATTTATTAATTTTAACTAACAAACTACAGTAAGTTGACCACGTTGATTTGTTTACAATTAATCGACCAATACCAAAGGCATCGTGTGGTGACTTTTTTAATTTTCTTGTGATGCCTATTTTCCCATGCAAGTGAACTCTCTTCGCACTCTTTGGTCTTTCCAACATAACTTTATTATGATCTTTAAATTATTGTCACAATCAGGTACAGTTAACATGGTTCCATCTGTCAACGATAACTTCAACAGTTAATTGAAGGCACAATTTGTGTTTGATAGATAAATTGTTGCTAGGAAACAACTGATTGGATTTTCTGGCAATTTTAATATTATATTCATTTCAAAACAATCTTCATATCAATTGAACACTTGAAAAGCTTAAAGATACAATAAATGATTGCGCAGACTTGAATGAAATCAATTAATTGTTTTATCATTTTCACACTCAGACCTTCATTGTCTCGAATGCAAAATACAACGTTAAATGAAATGTCAAAAAACAAATCATTAACTTACTTTCAATCATATTGTGTCGTCAACTAATCAAACTTAAACTAAATGACCACTTTTACCTTGCTCATGCTCTAACCATCCAGTAATACATTAACAGTAATGTGGACCTTAAAGGATTGCAAAACAAAACTTGATTCATCAGTCAACTGAGCAAGTTTCAACACATCGTCCCATCAATGTCTATTGTTAAATGTAAAATAAAAGTGAAACACTTGAAAACTTCAAGCTTAATATTTGACTTTACAAGAAGAGTTGCCATGAATTTAATGTAGTTATCATTGAACCAACGTTTAAGCCAACAGACACTCATGAAATGAATCTCATGTTCAACTAATCTCCAATTGATCAGCAAGTTTGCACACTCAACCCAACAAAAGGCCATCATCATGGCGATGGTATTGTTTTTAAATCGTGGCACTTTCCAAGCTGAAGACATTCACATTTCCGATTCCCATATAAACGAAGACACTTTGGTGACTTTTGTCGATTTTATTCCCGGAGTCGTTGAACGAACCTGTTCAGCTGCCATGTCCGGTGGAGCTGTTAAATATCATTCATTCAGGTAAGTTCAACTTTTCGATAATAAACTAATCGATGTTGACAAGGACAGGTAGAAAAAAGAAGGACGAAAATAAAGACAATAACAAAACAAAATTGAGACAATCATCATCACCATTTGGCAATCCTTTTCATAAACAAATCAATGCTCTAAGCTGCCTGTTAAACTTGATTTAATGAGATAACTTTATGAATTTCAACCTCGTTTCCATGTTCGTCCGATTCCTGTAAACGTGATTTGTTTCTCTAAATATTATCAATCGATCGAGAAAGTGTTACAAAATGGTTTTACTTTCAATAACAGTGAACCATCATTATAAATGTTAAATCTCTAAGGCTCTTTGAGTCTGAAGAAAGTCTGTCGTATGTTAGCGACTATCTTAATCTGATCTTAAGTCTAGCATTTCTCAGGTTATGATGAGAAGCAGTTTGAGTGCTGAATGATTATACAATGAAAGTGATGATTGAAGGTTGATTTGATCTGAATGGACTCTTATTTTACTTTGTAAACCCTTGTCGAGCCTTGACTTTTGTTGAACAAGATTTCGATTTTTTTTTCTAACCTGTTTTGATCACGATCTCTTCCAATGTCAACTGAACATCTTTACATACCTATTGAGCTTGAAATTGGTAATTGTCCATATTGACCCAAGTTAATCAATATTATCCTTTGAAAAAAAACATGGTTCATGGTTGGATAAAAACTGACCAAGTCTATTGTTATTCAACAGTGTGAATGAGTTCAACTTTAATCTAAACCGATCTAACCTAATCTTACCTAAAATGTACTTAATGGGAAAAAATTATTGACTTTTTTATTCAAAGATTCCTTGTACATTACGAAAACGAGTAATTTTTCCCTCTTTTTTCGTCCAAAAAAAAGAAGTCTCGTTGATATGGCTAACAGATGGCTTCAACGAAATCCCGAATGGCGAGTTTTCAATTGTGAAACTGTTCTTTTGCTCTACAAATACAACGACATTAAAAATTGCAATGAACTTCGTCCAAATGATTGCTGTTTTTACATCTCAGGATCGGAAAGGACAAACATTCTTAAAGGTTTAAGGTGAGCATTTCAGTCTCCAAATGCAGCAATCAACAACCAATCAAGTTGTTAGCATCATGAAATGTTTCCTTCTGTTTTAAAGGTTGAGTAGTATCTGTAAGTCTAGTCTAACTGTCGAAATTTAATTTTGAATATTTACTCGAAACATTTGGAGTCTTACCTTGTTTGTTTACCATTAGATTATAATCCGTTTTTCAAGTTACAGTTAAAACTCTTCTCAATTTGATTGTTGACCGTAAAAGTGAATCTTTGGTCATTTCTTTCCATCTCCATTAACTTGTATCTTGTTAGGTTAATTATATTTTGTCAACATTTTTATTAAGATTAATCTCTTTCTACTTTAATATTAGCTAAACCTTATTACTGTTTTCACTAATGTAATTGTTTTGATACGTTATATCAGCGTACGAGTATTAATTACACAGACAAAGAGTACAAGAAACAAGATTAGGTCAACAAGAAAATCAACTTGACCATGTAATACATGATGATTTCGCGGAAAAGGCAAACTGTATTCATCAAGCTTAATTGAAGTAAACATTGTAATAACAGAAAGGGCGAACCTCACAAACAAAAGTAAAACCTGACAAAAGTTCAATTGAGAAATAAATTCATTCGTTTCATTTGCATCATTATTATGTCAAAATCAGTTCAATCAGAAAACTCATATTAACAAGAATAAGCCCAGAAAATAGTGAAAATTGATAAAATCCAACATCCAAAGACTTATTAAATTTTAAATTGAAATACAATGAAATCTTGAATAATCCTCTTAAACTATTTTCATAGCGAGTGGTTAAGCTCATGTTTTTATCATTTAGTATTCCGAACTCAAAAATCAAGAAATCTTTAAAGACTTCAATATCATTTGAATATTCAACTAAAGATTAAGTACTAATTCAGTAGCATGAATGTGCTTTGAATATTTGAATATCAAAACTGAGTTTCGCCTTTTATTTTGATTTGATTTTAATGAACAGAACTTCCATTCTTAATGCTTTTACTTCGTATCTGTCAGATTTAGATCAAAGGTAATTTCGTAGATTTCAAATATTCCATCGGTAATTGATTCAAATGATGATCTAATTTAGTCAGATTCTAAACAGAATTTTATGATTTTTCTAACAGTAATCGCTTTTAACGAAAGTCTTACGTTCATTGGTCTGGCGTCTAGCAAAGCGTGAAAGTCTGTGAGGCTTGTGTTAAGCTAGTTAAAGGACAACATTAGTGTCTCAATTTTACTTGTTATCAGATGAACAATTCTGACCAGCAGACCATATTGAAATTAAAAGCCACTCAAACAGTTCTCAATCTTTATTTATTATTCATTTAATCGCTAAGGTCAACTGTGATCGATTAATTTCTAGCTGTCGATCTTTCAGCAACAAAGTGGTTTGAATATTTTTGATACTCTAACATGACATTTGCGTGACTCAATGTCCAGACTTTTAACAACTTTAATTTGACCAAATGAAAAATTGGAAACAAAAGTCAAGTCAATAATGTTAAACTCCCAAGGATGAGAATTTTTGTTATCGAAAAAAAGTCATGGAATTATTGATTTTAATATTTACTTTTCAATCATTTAACACTGTCAATTTGATGGCCTATTGATTGAGTTGACTTGATTTTATTCAATTTAAAATTTTCTATCCAACTTGACAAACACTCCAAGTCACTGGGAGTGAAAAGTCCAACAATAAAGTCACTCAAAATAATTAGCATTCTTTCATATCTATCAATAGCATCAATGCAACTCAACTGGACAGAAATGTTTAGCTCAACATTTTATCATCATTTTACCATTTTATATTCATAATAAAAAAGCAATCAATTCATTCAGACAATTAAAAGAGTTTTTTGAAACATTTCATTGATGATATCGTATAACAATATTGATTGAAAAGTTTATGGACTTTTGTGGTCAAAGTAATGGTTAATTTTGATGATAAATTTGTTTCAATTTTTGCATTCATTATCCATGTTTCACTGGACAGAGTTAAACTTGAGCTTTTGAATTTTAGCTTTTGTTTTATTATTAATTTGATTCTAATTTTGTCTTTTTTCCTTTTGATTTATTTGACTTCAAGAATTTGGATAAAATTGAAACAACGAACGATTCAACGCCACGGATCAGTGTTGTATCAAGAATTGAATTACACCGATTTAGTTCCTGAGATTGATGAGAAGGGTTCATTTAAAAAGCTTGACGATTTGGTGGAACGAGCCAACATTTTGATCAGAAAAGAAGAGATTCAGGGTCGAATCATTTGTGTTGAAACGGTCACTTATGAAGCTGATACTGATTGGAAAGTTGATCCAGATGAAACATTATCTGCCCTTTCGACCAAAAAATTATTCATTTTAAGAATTTTTTACGAAGAAGGATTACCTTTACAGGAAGAAATTGGTAAAGTAATTCATTCTGAATCACATAATTTACTAAAAGAATTGCCTCTAAAATTCCAATCAATTCTCAGAACAATCAGTTCCTGAAAGATTCAACCTTTAAAAGTTCGTGACTTCATTAGAAAAATTCAAACATGGAAATTGACTTTTGAATATATTTTGATTTCAATTTGACTTCATCAATCATCGAAATTGAATTCTTGTTTCATGACATTAACGACACGAATTCACAGCATTCTTATTCACCGAAAAAATAGTCAAATTAATTTCTCTGACTGAACAAAAGTCTCCCTCAAAACTAAGCACTCGAATAGCACAACATTCAAATCTTTGGAAGAGCATTCAATGTCCAAAAAGCAAAGTCGAGTTTAAATATCAATCTTTATTCAGAATTTTGAAGCTTCTAAAATCAATGGCTAACCTTAGATGCTCAAAACTGCCGAATATCAAAAGTTGAATTTCTTGATATTTTGGCGGGAAAAGAATGAACTTCAGCAATAAAATGTCGAGATTTTAAAATGCATCTGATATCAATCAGCATCTTCAGGGAGGGATTTGACATTTATCTTTCTCGATGCATTAGCTTCCAACCTTGAATACCTTATTTTATTAAATAACATTTCATGATTTGACTCTTTCCTGGTTATTCAGTTTTCATGATTAAATCTGGAAACACTGAACACACACACCCAAACCATTTGCCTTCTCAGTCAGTAATGTCAAGTTAAATGTAAGAATTTCATTTTCTTTCATTTGTTTCACCTTCAAAAAGGTTCAGAATATTGGTGAATATCATGAGCCACTTTTTAGGTCAATCCAATTGCTAATGGTTTTTCAATGAAAATCATTGAGAAGTAAACATTTCTTTCATTTTAATAACCTTAAGGATAAACTTTTACCCATTTTGATTAATGAATTTGCGACGATAATGATTTTATTAATGATAATAATTTTGCGGTCCAATCGAAGAGGACAAAGTTTCAATCGATTACAACAATTTAGTCTAATTAGCTTGACCAAGTTGCAACAACTTTGGGCTTTTGACGAGCTGAGTCAGCTTCCAATCAGACAACATGATGTTTATCATGAACAGAGTTGATTCCATGTTGACCCAGCCCATGCCATTTCAAATCAATTGATTTAATTATACATTCGTTATTACAATATTCTCATTCATCATTACCAAAGGGCGTTTACATGATAACTCGGTGAGTTTGATGAGCAATGATTTTCTGTCCTCCTTTACTTCTGTTTTAATCAGATTAATTCAATGAGTCGACATTTGATGAAACATTATTATTCAATTTTCAACTTCTGTTTTCATCAAATTATTGTTCAACTGATTCATTTTCAAATTGGGTCAATCCATGGTTCCTGTATCATGGAAAAAAGAGTTTTAATGAAACCTTTTTTTACCTGAAAAGATTGATCTTTGGTCCATTCAAGGTTCATTACAGGATTTCCGATTGACATTGACTTTTATCTTTCATTATTTTACCATTAATGTGGGAATCATGAATTTTCAATGTCATTCCATGACTGGACTTGTAATTTGTTTTGATAGCTGATAATAGTTGTTCATTAACTATTCAGTGATAATTATATGCTTTTGATTAACATTGAATTATTTTATTGATGTTAATCATTACTGGCTTCAGTCTGTTGTCTGTTGGCTCATTTTGCGCAGTTTTACTTGAACAGTCGAGAAGCAAATTCAATACTTGGAAAGTTCAATAATTGATGAAAAAAGATTTTATGGATTGATTGGTAATAAACAAAACACTAATCTATTCAATCATGCAATATCATCTCACTAGACAGTACTTATAAGCTCATTTAGGCTCAATATTGAATTTTCTGGATAATGTTCAACAGAAGCCTGGAAATTGGTGCGAAAATTTTGTATTCGAGTTATTCTGATAATTATTAGTGTCTTGTTTTTCAATTTATTTATATCCTAATTAAATGATTTTATTTGTTATGCAGTTCAACCAAGTCATGCAAAGAGCAATATAATTAACTTGTCTTGGCCAAAAGTCCTGAGCCTGAAAGGATCATCAGAGCCATCAAGAATGATTGAAATTAATAATAAAATAAATGAATTCCAAATGTGAAGATCAAGATTCTGTAAAACAAGTTTTCGTCAACTACGCTTCAGAGTCAAGCTTATTTTATTGATACTTTCACTCTATTTACAGGATTGGATTATGGTTTTTTTGTTTAAGTTTGGATCTGTAAACATCAAACCGCTGATAAAAATTTCGGGTTGCTTCATGCACTCGACAGATCTAAACGTGTTTTTTCGATTTTCCATGTTGATTTTCTCATCCAGATTTTAAAATTTTTGTTTAATTTTGTAAATTTCATTGGCTCATTTCAATATGATCCTTATTTCATTAGGCTAGGTTTGAACTAGATAACTTGTGAGCAATGGGAATGATTTTTTCGAGTTTTGTGCAAGTCTTGATGGTTCCACGAAAATCATGCGAATTTAGTTTATGTGCGACGCTTTTCAATCAGAATTCGAAGTACGCTTCATATTTCATCCTTCATCGACTCGTCATCTCCTCACAATCGATTTGAATCCATTGAAATCGAAGTTTATTCATAACATTATCATACTATAGATGGCAGCATAAAGTGAATGAAGACAGTAAAGGGTGGCATCTATCAATGAACTTATTCACTAGTTTCGTTTACTTTCGATGTTAGTTTATTTTCCCGATTCTGCATCAGCCTTATATTTATGTATGCCCTAATTGGATTCTGTACTCAGACTGTTTGTAGATTTGAGCTGATTCTTGTTCATTGCGATATGCGAGAAGTCCAATAAAGATTCACAGTGCAGTCATTGTTCAGTCCAAAGATAAGGTTGAACGGCCAAAATTTTTTAATGGCCAATGAGTGTAATAGATCTCTATTTTTGATCATTTCCGAGGAATTTTTGGACGATTCGATAGAAAGATAATTAGTCACTAAAATTATCCGATTTTCTTCTTCATTAGATATAATCGATTTTGTGCCAAAACATTTATCTGGCGGAGGATTTTTCAAGCGACCAAAATTTGAATCATACACTCAAGTAATGTCCAGAGCATCTCAATGGTTATCACAGAATAGGCATTTAAATTATCGCAACGCTCAATCAATCGACATTAAACTGAGCATAAAATCATGTAAGTATTAATGCAAAGTACTTTTCAGCAAAGTGAAATGCTAACCAAATTTATCATTTCCATTCCTAAACCTGATCAAAGTAACCTCAGTCAATACAAAGACCATGTATTACACCGATTATGGAAGTTATATTCGCATTTTTCGAGTTTGTTGTACAAAATCATCACGAATTCTTGATCGTTCCAGTGCCACATCAAACAAAATCAAGTCAACAATTCACCTTTCTTCCAGACTATTTCTTCCAGTTCGGAAAAAGGATACAATTGGTGCTATTCGTGAGCGTTTTGAAGAGTGGATACACAATGCCACTCAAGGTAAGTTCAGTCCATGAATCAGTTTCACAGATTTATTAATTTTCTATTCTTTCTATTCTCTTGTTACAGAAGCAATTGAATCGGATACAATTTCAGAGATTAAAATGATTCGTCGTTTACGAGTGTTGAGTGCTGAAACAATTTGCATGTTTTGTAAAAGTTATGAAGAAAGTTTAGAAGAGTCGATTGATGAACCCTTCCATTACAACCGATTTGGAGCCAAAAATGGTTTCATTTTCATGATTTTTCGTTTCTATTTCGACTTTTCAACAGACACAATCGGGACAATCAACGGTATCACAATTAAACCTCCGTCGCCAATAGTCAATGCAATCGAGAAAATTTATCCAAACAAAACAATTGGAAGTCAAACTTGTATTCTTATGTGATGATTCAAATGTGCAAAATAAACGCATTCAAAGTTGATGACCATTTGTATTTGCTTTTATTATCCATTTGAGGCTCATTTAAGCTTAAAACAAGTCTTTAAATATTTGGATTCTACTCACAATTAAACTTATTCATACGGATTTACATGAATATAGCAAAAAACACCAATAATGAAGATCATGTTAATAACAACTGAAACAATGTTAAGAGCCTTAACAAAGTCATGTCAGCTATGTTAGTGAATTAGCTTTTGATAGGCAATCATCGCTTAAGCCATTACCTAAACAGTGGTCATCAAAGTCGCGACATTTCCTTAGCTCGACCTGAGTCAAATCACATCTAATCAAGCTGTTGAACCGAAATCACAAAACTGTCGAGCTAGCTTGTGAAATAAGAAAAGTACAGTAATTCCGAATAAATTGACATTTGAAAGCAATAATTTTATGTTTTCCACCTCAGCAGTTAATGATAAAGAGTTGTCCATAGATGGATGTGAGTTATCATGGATGTTAGTCATGAGTTTATAACAGTGATTTTAAATGAAAGATTTTCCATGGCAAAGCTGATTCGACGAGTTTCGATTTCTTCCATTTCATAGATTAGTTTTGAAAAAGCGAACAGAACAGTTTAAAAACGAACTCCAGAGGAGACGATATTTGCAATGAAAATATTGTAACGAGAGCAACTCTCACTAGTCGCTAAGAACACTCAATGTCTACTGATTGATGAAAATTAACTCGTCGCTTTGAGTGACATCCATCTGAACATGAATATCCTTTACTTACCTTAGTTAATTGTAATGATTCAGTCAAATGTTGGAAACAAACTTGTATTCTTGTGCGATGCAAAATAAACGCAGTCTAGTTTTGTATTACAATTTGTATTTGCTTTTTTATTAATTGTTCATTTTGTGGTTCATTCAAAATCAGTGTTTAAATGTTATATTATTGATCATTTATATCAAATGATATAATAATTGAATAGTTTAAATATGTGATAAAAGTTTGAATAAAATGGTGAGAAATTGTTTCAACATTAACATTGTCAATTATCAAAATAAAGTCGACATTGATTTTCCTTCCATGTTCAACTGAATATAATAACTTTGAGTACAATTTTTCACCAAAAACTAGTTTCTTTTTCCCTCCTTTTCCATTTTCGGTTCCAATTTTACTCATTTTTCCATTGATACAATAGAAATGATATTTGTTCTGAGTATTATTTTTGTGCACTCTTCTCATTAATCATTGGCTTGGCTGGTTCGAAACGAAGTTTTTTACATTGCATTTGTCCGGGTTGTTTCATGAGTTTCATTTGATACTTTTTGCTTTTATGCTTATTACCAGTAATTTGTAATTGAATCCTTCCTTTTCTTGTTTAAATAGTTGAATCTGCAAGTAAAAGGTAAAATTGATGAATGTTTCAAGTTTCATGGAGACATAAAAAACTTGCAACAGTAAAAAAGAAAATGATTCAAGATTGAAACACTGTTTCACATGAGAAGCAAAAGATATTATAAAACTTAAACTTGAACAATCACATGATAATAGGAAAGGAATGGATAAACAAAAAAAACAAGTTCAACAATTTCTCAGTCAATCATTTGATTTCTTTTGAAATGAAAAAACTTCCATTTTTTCAAAGATTCGATTTGAATTGCTAATTGATTTGCACAAAAAACAAGAAATTTTCTCGTAAAAAAGTCGTTTTCACTAAGGTGCCAAGTTTGCTCAATGCAAGTCTGGAGTCTTATGGTGAGGCTTCATTTGATGCTGAGAAGAGCAACTAATAGCACTGATTTCGAGTGCAATGTCACCTCCATTGACTGACTATTGTGACCAAGTTGAGTCTCATAGTTTTGATGCTGAGAGACTCACTTGTTAGGACAAGAAACAGACTTGACTTGGTGTCTGATTGCAGACTTGAAGCTGGGTTCAGAAGTCAATGTCAAAGTCAATGATTTGTATCTTACAAGGTACAATGGAACCACTTTGAAAGCCTGGCTACTTGGACTGTGTTGGAGAGGCAACAATCAAGGATTGTTCAAACAATCAAAGGTTTTATATGATAATATTGACTTACAATATTGGTTCACACAACAAGACAACAACACGACAACAAAAAATAACAACAATAACAAGAGTTACAACAACAAAACATGATTAGTAAGGTTACCTTGAACCATAATGGTCTTCGTTATTTTGTTGTTAATTTCTGGAATTCTCACTCTATTATACATTTGGGCTTCCCAGTACAACTGGGAGTGAATAACAATTGTACAACAATAACAAAATGAACTCATTTTTTTCATCTCAACTTTAACATTCTGTAATCATGATTTTTTTTCTGTTCTCCTTCAAATTAATTGTTTTTCCATCTGAAAATGCTCCAATAAAATCTGTTAACATCAACATGAGTGTTAAATATCAACAATTGTGTACTGGAGTTGAATCTGGTTGAATATTTGAATGATTTTCACTTCCATTTCGGCAATCTGTTATCAGAAGAAGAAGAAAAAATTGATGAACTTTTAACATGAAAAAAAAGAGACTATTTATTTCATTTGACATCAACAATACAACAATTAACAGACAACAACGATAAACAAATTTCAAAGGGTTTTATTGATCATCATTGATAACAGAGTTACAAGCAGGATAAAATGAGGTTGAAATGTGAGCAAAACAAATTACTTTAAATACAATACAAAATTGCAGGAACAAAATATAAATGAAACGGAAAACACAGAAAACACTGAATTTGGAATAAATTTTCAAATAAATTAAAAGTTGAATGTTGACATTTGATTATCATTCAATTTATCATCTAATGAGGCAGTTTGAAAATTTTGCCCTTTCAACGGAAACTTTGGTCTCGAAATTGATTATTGTCAGCTAATTAGCATCTGTAATTAGTAAATTATTTTTCATTCTATTATCACAATTCTAATAGTTTTCTGAATAACTAAATATCAACTTTAATTGGATGGAACTTTTCAGGATAAAATTTGATTTCTCAATCAATTATCCAATTCTGAAAGTCTTTATTCACTTTTTTTCGTGTTTGTTTTACTGTTGCTTTGATCTTCGGTTTTGTGTTCACTCCTTTCACTTGTTCATTTACATTGAAAATTTTTTCTCTTCTCTTGCCTTTCATGATGCTTGAAAGGGAAGAAGATTTTTCATGGGAAAATATTGAGAAGAGAGATCAAGAACAAGAACAAGAGATGGAATAACAATGAACATGAACATGATGATGATGGTGATGGGGAAAGTTGATGGAGAAGGCGTAGAAGACAACAAAATGTTGGACTGAATGAGAGTTACAAGACAGTGATGGATTGACTGTTGGATTAGTGACGAGTAAAGGAACCGTTAAATGAATCTGATGGGCCAATTATAATCTCAGTCTCGGGTCCAAGGGTTGATTTAAGGGTACTATTGAACCGTGACGATGAACGTGATCCTCGTGCAAACTTACCCAAATCAGAGTCAGAGGTTGACTTACGACAACATGAGCCCAAAGTTTCCTTGAATGCAGAGCGAAACTTGATTGACATGATACTGTACAGAACGGGATTGATGGTTGTACTAAGGTAATAAGTTATCCCAGAGATGTAGGTTAACAGGTTATAAATAACGATCTCGGCCTGGGTCGAGCCAGATGCATATGTAGCCATGAGTCTTTGAGCATGGAAAGGTGCCCAACACATGAAGAAAGCCACAACAACGGCAACTAGAAAACGATGAAAAGGAGAAAAAACTTTCGATTAGATTCTCTGATTTCAATTGTAATGCTCATTGATTATCAACTTAAACATGAACGTAAATGGATTTTAATCATTTCATTATTAAGTCTTGATAATGGAATTTAATTTTTAAAATGATTTTCTTTTTTCCAGTTTTCTTCTCTAATGGATTCTTGCAAGTTAATTAGTTATTCATAAAGTTGCTCAAATGGTTTCGTTTCAAGAGGAAAGTCAATTTTTAGTTGATTCAATGTACAAACATTTTTGCCTTTTAAATGACAATTGAACAATCATGTTTACAAGCACAATAATGATAACCTAAATACGTCCAATTAATTGACTCGACATTTGTTTTACTATTTTTATTCCTCTCTTTTATTTTGACCCAATTTTTGGTTCATCTCTTGGATTTCACTTATTCCGATTAAATCAGTTACGATTCTTGGAAAAGGAATGAAACAAATTGTCGAGTTTAGGTGAATCTTTAGAGTCGACATATTTCACAGAGAAACAAGTTTAATAGCAAATAAAGAAATGACTGATTTAATCAGATAAACTGGGATGAAAAGTCTTGAAGATGATCTAGTTATTTACAGGTTTAATGGGATAAAAAGTGGAAAACAAGAGAAACCTTTATAATCTGGTTTTACCCTTATTCAAGTACAAATATTACTCGTTATTGTTCAAGAAAATGATTGATTGCCATCTTCAAATCACTTGATAATATGCAGGTTAAACAGACTCAACTCAACCTAGAACAGCTCATTGTTTAGGTTTCACCCTTAGTCTTGTTCAGTTGAAACAAATGTTGAGACAAGTTTGAGACAATTGTCAATCTTTATTCTGACCAAACATTTGAATGGAAACTCGAAGTTAATTGGTAAAAGGAAATTAATTAAGCCCAGAGCAATTAGATCTGGAGTTGTCTAATGAAAGAAAAGTGTTAATCAAATCAATCTTCTTGTGTACTTTAACACGGAAAAGATGAACATTCCAAGAACCAATTTAAACATGGAATTGTGTTTCGAATCCAAACTGATTTAGACTTTTTTTCGATGAAAAATTTCTAAATTGTTTGTTAACCTTTTTTTTCTTGCTTTATGGCAAAGTGTGAAGTTAAGACAAAGAGTTGATTCTATCTGTTGGATTCTGAAAGTTCATTGATGATCAAGGAAGGGAAAATTGGTAGACAAAAAAGTTGTCAAATTTTCGCTTGAAATTTTCTTCTCAGCAAAAATGTGATGAAATATTTTCCACTTGACAAGATATTACTGACTCAATTTACTTCAAACATTCAACCGTTTGACCCATTTTCAGTGTTTAACAAAATTCTTGACACTTATACTTTAGAAAAAAAGATAATCTAGTTTCTGAATCTTAACAATTATCATGAAATTACGGTACAAGTGTAAAGAAAAAAAATGAATAGTCTTCGAATAGAGAATGTTACGGAAGAACAAGTTTGAGTGAACAAAATTTCAATGCTTTTTTTTCTAGTTGATTAAATGAATTATCATGACAATGAGAATAAAGATGTTGATTGGTTGCAACAATTAGATAATGAAAAATGAAACGATAAAAAGGAACCACAAAAGTTGTTTTCCTTTACAAGGTTAATTCAATTTGTGCCCCAATTTTCATGTCGCCAACTCTTCTAATATTACACTTTTTATTGTCCGATAAAAGTATGATGAATACATAAAAAAGATTCATTTCTGAAGAAAAGATGAAATTCAGAATAAAGATTATAACAATGAGCCTTGTTCAAGTGTCAAAATATTTAACCATCAAATCATCTGAACTCACTGAATCAATTGATGAAAATCCTTGGCCTAAGTAAACACTCATTGTTGCCGCACTCGAGGATCATTCTGTTGGTTCATTTAACTCGACAACTCTCATTGGAACAAAACAATTGCTCGAATCGACACCAACAATTTGGGTTAAACTGATTGACAGAGAAATTGAAAAGAAACAATTCTCTCGCAAAATTATCAAATCTCAGTCCTTCGAAAAACAGATTCTCGAAATTTTCGATTTTGAATTGATCTTTTATTTCGATGAAATTGGATGAGCTTTGAGCGATTGAAATATTCGTTGATTTGATGAACTCGAAACCTGCGCATTAAGTTTCTTCAAAAGATGTTCACATTGAGATATAAACATTTTTTTACTGTAACTCAATTTTTTTCAAGTAACTGGGAGTTTGAATAATTTTCACTCCCAGCATTGAAGAAACTAACAATTGAATATTGTTATTAATGATTGTTGATTAACAGAGTATATGAATAGATAAACTCAATTTGCAGTTATATTTTTACTTCTTTCATTGTAATCAATTGTTACATTTTTTGATTGTTATAATAACTGATATTATCTGTAAAAGCATAATATACTTTGTAAATTTTGAGAAAATAAACGAAATTGAATAAGAATTATAATAGAAATTTGTTTTTCTTTTTACACTTTTTTTCACTATTCACTGAAATTCCTAATTCTCCTGGGAGTGATTCTTATTAGATTTTAGGTTATCAAAAATTCACTCCATATAATCATCATTTCAGCTATCATATTCATTATAAATGAATTGTATGGTAAAATGAATAACAATATTTTGTAAAGTGTCAATCGAATCTCTTGGTTTCTTCTTTCACTGTATCATGAAAAAGTATCATCCAATCGGCCATGATATCAAGATAATAATTATCAACATTGAGAGTAAAGAAGACAATTTTGTCATTGAATGAGTGAATGAACTATTGAAAGTGTATTTAGAATCGACTGGGAAGCTGTTATTCGTTGGAGTGAAAATATTGGTTCAACAAGATGACACTTGAAATGGTAAACTGAAACGTTGAAATGTTCATCCAAGCACGGAATGGAGAGTCACAAGGTGAAAAGAAAACCAGGAAAAATCGAAACATAAAACTATGTTCATTTCATGATATCATTATCATTACCGATATTCATAATATTATTGAGATTCTGAGTTATTGAGAGTAAATAAAGGAAAGAAAATTCCTTTCGAATATTGGCATTCTATTCAGAATGTTTTCGTTCTTAAGATTTACGATAAAAGTCGAGAATTCTTATAAAAGTTCAGAATGGAAAATCAGTTGAACAAATATCGAATAAATTTTTGGATGAAATTAAAGATTTGATTGCAGATCGATTAATAGCTTTAAAATTTCTTTTGCAGTTGAAAGAGCGAACAATTTTCTGAACAGAATTTTTCGTTTTCGCTTTTCTCGATTCCTATTTAAATGCAAGTGATTTATTATTTAGCAAATTAACTGTCCAAATGTTTCATAATTGCATGTTTTCGTTGCTCATTGTTGGTCTGATGACAATGGAAGAATGTAATAAATTGGAAAAGTTATCGCTTATTTTATGTCGAATAATGAAATGCACTTGTTTTATGTTCTCTTCGTTTGATTGATTACATTATGATTTACTTCTGACACTGTAAATGATCGCTCATCATTGAGTGTTGTTAAAAGATGAGAATGAAATGATCTGGAAAAAGGTTTATTTGTCTTCAATCCTTTTGGTGCTAAACGATTGTAAGCAATTGAACAATGATTTTGATTAGTGGTTCAATAAAGGGAAAAGTTTCAATTTTATTGATTACCAATGAATAAAAAAGCAACATGAAAATGAATCATTTCATGAAGAGTTGATAATGAAAATAGACAAACTCATGGACAAGGTTAAGATTAAAACGGAATGAAAATCGGAAAATGAATAAATAATAAGTTCGTTATTGATATGAAAACAAGCCTGTGAACCTTTCTCGTCATTACGCCATCAATCATGATCATTAGGCATTAATTGAACTTCATTTGTTGATTCAATAACAACTGAATAAGTTGAGAATAGAATTGTTCATTTGCAATATTTCCAACAGAAAATCAATTCCAACTATTGATGGTGAAAATTACAGTTCAATTATTCACTTAATTGGTGAGCTTGATTGATATTCCGAAATTGACGGTTAAATACGTTCTATATTAAATGGAAGCAAAAATTTCGATCAATCAAAATTAACTTCGACTTTTCCAGTTTTCACTAATTAAACACTTTATTGCCTTTCATTGTTTCATTGATAGTCAAACTTGTCATCACAATGTAATGATATCAGTCTTTCAGGTGACATGCAGGTGAAGCTTGAAAAATAATAAAAATTTTGTCTTCTTCATTAGCTAATTCAATCTTAAATGTTCAGCTAATCGATAATTGAATATTCAACAGAAACCAACGGAGAGTTCAATTTGAGCAGATCGATTAATGTGAGCAACAATAATATCGATAGAAAGGACATAAAATTTCAGAAGAGAATAAATGTTCAGATTCTGGAGATTGGATGATTTTTCGCTTTTAACGAGGAAAACAGTTCGTTGCAAGTTCGAAAGTTTTTCCAAGCAACTTTATTTTCTGTAAAAATCGAAAAGAACATTTCACTGAACTGTTTTTATCAATCTAAAAGTTAATTTTGACCGATTTCGATATTGAAAGATTTGCTGATTTAATTCGCTAAAATTATTTACTATTTGATAGTCAAAAGAGTTCTGAAATCTATAGACAAAAATAGGAAATGTTCAACTCTGAACTTAAAGATGAATATTATTCTCTTCTTTCTTCACGAGAAAACGAAGCGAAAACTTGGATGAACATGAATTGCTAGATCATCGCTAAAACCAAGTTTATAAATTTCCAGAAATGATAATTTAAATAAGTTTGGATAAGTTTAGTTTTACAAAAGGAATATTCGAATGTCATAAGTTCTGTAATAACAAAATTTATCGGATTGTTGAGTGATAACTTTTTTTGCTCTGTTAACAGTCAATGATTGATTCAAATTTTTATTTTGCAAATTGTTGGATTGCCCAGAATTGAAGTAAACTTTTGAAAGCTCATTATTTGGTTGAGAAAATATTTCCCTCAATAATAAGGTTCATCCAAAATAGCGGCATGTGAGAGTTAAAAG